AGCAGCAGCAGCAGCAGCAACAAGGAGGTTGGCCGCCGTCGCATACACCATCCAAGTCTAGCCAGGCTTCTGTGCCATCTCAAACAGCTTGGGCTGCACAACACGGTCCCAACGTCCAGGCTAAACCTCCACAGATGGGCAGTGCAATGTCGCAGCAGCAGCACTCGTGGCAGGCTACGCCTACCCAGCAGTCACATCCTCTCGGCTTGAGAGAACCTACTCCACGTGGCCAAGCAGTATATTCTGCTCATGAAGCACAGAGCCCCACTGGCAACGTTGTCTCACATCAACATCATCGCTCGCTCGATGGTAGGAGCCAATTCCCACCGATGCCTGATCCTCGGGATCGCCAAAACCTACGGAGAGGCGAGCCGGTTCCGCCACAGGGTCAGCCATACGTAAGATACGTCAATACCCCTGGTCCTGGCCATGGTGGCCCTGGTGGTCCCCCTGGACAAGTTCCTGGACGAGGAGAAACCCTGCAGATATCAGGATGCAGCAGATGTCCCAGGCTAGAAGTTATACACCGGGACCTGCCAGTGCCGGATTTGATGGTATGGGTCCACCACCCTCCTCCTCGCTAGGCTACCCAGAGCAAATTAGGGATGCTCAGATACGCGACGCGCAGTTACGGGAGATGGGCTCTAGAGATCTAGGTCGCGATCCTCGAGTCATCGGCAGGGATCCGCGAGAGCTCGGTCGTGACCCTAGAGAGGTAGCCGCTCAGCAGCGGGAGCAGCATGCGGCACAGTTCCAAGCTCAACAGCAACATGGTGTCCCCGCAAATGCCACCCACCCACAGCACATTCAGGTCCAGGGCCATCCTCAGCAGCACCAGATGCCCCAGCATCAACAACATGTTCAGCAGCAACCGATGCAGCACGACATGCGCAACCCGGTTCAGGCATCTCATCAACAGTACACTCCGCAACACCACCAAGGCGGCATGATGGGTAGACAACTACGACCACAGCACCAGTATGACCAGCAAGGGCATGGCCCCGGACCGGGTCAGGGGGATCCTAGAAGGGCTGGCTAGTTATCTGCGGGGGGATCTCAAAAGGCTGGGAATTGGATACAGGTCCCGGCCGGAATGTGTTCGGCGTGTGGTGGTGAGTAATCTCCTTTGTACCACTTTTGGGACCAATTACTAATACATTGACATCGAGTAGGTTCCATGCGGCGTAGCTATGTCATGAGCGGTAAACATTTTTGTTACGCGTGTTATACGCGCCGGTCACCGGGTAGGAAATGTATAAGGTGTGGTAAGTCGCCCCGTTCTCGTGGGTAACCTTCCTCGCTCACAAGATGTTGAAACAGGCTATGTTGTCGCCCCGGATTAGCGTGTCGGGAAATCACATGATCGTCAATGCGTATCCGGTATTCAAACGTTCAGGGGACATCGATGGTCAGATGTGCTCGAAGAGGAGGCAGAACAAGAAGCGGGTGAAGAGGATGAAGAGCGGGCGAATGACAATCAATAAAGAAATACATGGTTTAATCGAAACTGATAGATACATACAGCGATGATAGGAGGAAACATCATTTGGGCGTGGGCGAAAAAAAAAAGGGGGAAATACGCTAAACCTAGATATATGTATTCGTGTAGAAACGAAGGAAGCGGAAAGGCCTACACTGCTCCTTCCCGAGCGAGAGAGGCTGCAACGGGGCCCGCCCGGCGAGTCTGCGGATTCTTGCTTGCTATGGATGGATTGATTCCATCAGGCTTGGTTCGGGTTTCCATCAAGACGGTGGACGAAGAAGTGATGGGTGAAAGGATGGATGGATGGATGGGGGTTTAAATAAATTTGAATCATGCATGCATGCAAGCAAGCAAGCAAGGAGGGTTGTCTGCTGCGCAGTGGTTGTTGATTGCATCAAACGTTAGACAAAGAAGAATAAATAACAAGTATAAAATACTGTTTTTTATTGTTGTAACCAAATTATATTATCTTATGACCTAAGGACGGAAGGAAGGGGGATTCGGTTCTTTTGGAAGACAAAAAGATGAGGAGGGATATGATGGTGGGCGGTGGATGGTGGATGGGATACATGGAAGGCATTTTGATGCAACATCAACTGATGAGTAAGGTGATGATAAGTAGGTAAGGTTGATGAAGCTTTTGCATGTGAAGAAGCTTCAACGTCACGATACTCAAACGGTGGTAGAAAACAGTTGCGTGATAACTGCATCTTGCGAGGCTTCAAGTCCTGAATTCAAAAAATATTTTCCTAAAAGAGAAAAAGAAAAAAATCTCGTCGAGGGATAGCTTTATCACAACCCACGTACCTACGTAGTAATTGTAGTACATAAAAAAGGCCGTGTATGGTAAATCCCGGGCACATAATCAAGTGCTACTGAAGTTGAGGCAGTGTATAAGTATGTAATACTTCAACATTGATACTTTAAACATTGATGGGTCTTTATGTGTGTATATGTGTATAATCGTGTTCGCAAATCAAAGATTGAAAAAAAACCAAAAAAAAAAAAACAAGGCTAACAAAGAACTGGGTATCATCATTTCTCCAAGCATATCACTCATCCTAAACTTCAAAACCTCGCACCATCCACCACTCCTTTAGAGGTAACATCTGTCTACTCTCCTCCGTGTCATCATCCGTCGTCCATTGTTATTGCTTTCCCTTCTCACTCTCATCCCCCTGCAACTGCCCATCTCCCTTCTGCTGCCCCTCCTGCACCCCCTTCCCCTCCCCCGCTCAACTCCCTCAAGTTCCTCAAGCTTCTCATCAATATCCAGCGCGGTATCCAGCGTCCCCTCCCCCTCCCCCTCCTCCAGGTCATCATGCGTCTCATGTCCATCATCCCTCCCATCCCCATCCCCTCCAGTACCCTCATCAGAAGCAACACCAAGTCCATACCCCGGCACGCTAATCATCGGAAACCCCATCGGATACGCACCAGGCGAACTCCCATCCCACGCCTCCGGCACGAATCCTAGTCCGGCGGCGGTTTGGCCGACTTGTTTATCTGAGGGGCCGTAGTAGCCATCCAAAGAAGTGTGTTGTTGTTGGTGAGAGCGGGGGATGAATTCGGCTGTTTCGGAGAGAACATCGAGGGGGTTGTTGGTGTCTGTGCTGTCGTTTCTTGCGTGCGGGCTATTAGGGTTGGGACTATTGTGGATGAGGTTGGGGTTGGGACTGCTAGGATTACTAGTCCTTCTCGAAGCGGGTGATAGACCGCCGAAGGAGTTACGCGGCAGCAGGCGATTATTATTAGGGTTGACAGGGAGAATAGGGGATTCTCCAAATATGGTATTGGAGGCGGTAGCAGTTGCGGGTAACTCGACGAACATGCCACTCGAATCAAGCTCGGGGACGTCGTTTAGTCCGCTGCCGGATGCGCCTCTAGCATGACCACCAACCAAGGGACTTCCCACGCCGTGCGTGATCTCGCTTCCGTCGGCGGAAAGTTCGCTGGCGTTACTTTGGTGCCGCCAGTGGTTTTGGTTTTGGTTGCGGGTGCTGTAGTGATATCCCAACCCGGCGGTGCTTTGGCTGTCTACGCTCTCACGCATGCCATTGTTCTTGTGGAGATGGGTACCCGGTGGTGGTGAAGGGCCGTCGAAGTAGCCCGTGTTCGGATCGGGACTGACTAATCCGCTCCCGTTATTACCGCCGCCGCCGTGAGGTGAGACCATGCAAGCATCGCTCCCTGACCTGTTGTGTCTACCACCATGTGCCCCAGGCTGCGGCGTCCCCACCAAACTGCTCGTGTTACCCGTGTGATCCCCGGGCGTGTTCGTCTCGGTCATGAACATCAGAGGATCGGCGCTGGCGTTATCAGCGTCCGAGGGGGCTCTAACGTGCAGGAATCGGCCGGATTGTTCCATTTCCGTCTTGGAGGCGCCGGTTTTGGAGGTCTTGGTGTACGAGGCTTTGGAGTGGTAGCCGGAGATGGAACCCTTCTTGGATTCCATGGCGGACTCGACCCGCTTGAGACGGCGGATGATGAGGAAGGCGGCGATGATGACGATAATCAGCAAGGCAATGGCGCCGCCGATTATGCCGCCTAGCTGGGCGCCCTTGAGTCCACCGCCGCCGTCGTCGTCTTTGTTGTCTTTGGGAATGGCGGAGGCTTTGGGAACGGAGGTGGGCATGAATTTCGGGATGACGCCGGCACCATCGTCGGCGGCCGTAAGAGCGGGAGGAGGCGTGGGGGTGGTGAGGACGGCGGAAACTTGAGTGGTGGTGATGGTCTTACCGCCAGAGGTGATTGTGAGGATATCGACCAGGGTGGTGCTGAAGGGTTCTGTTGAGTAGCAGGCGTCGACTCCGCATCCCATGCTGTTTGGGCAACAGCCGTAGTTGTAGGAAGATGGACAGAGATTATAGTTGGTAGGGCACGACGTGAATGTGTTTGTTACGCCGTATGGTGCTATACAGCCTCTCACGGCGTCACAGACCCAACCCTCAGGACAGCATCCCTCTGATATCTGTTAGTTACAACGAACCACTGAGGTCAAGACGGACATGTAGAAAAGGGCAAAATGAACTTACGTCCGGCCGTTATGGGACACCAATAATATCCTACTTTCCCGCACGCCGTACCCAATGCCGCTGTCGTCGCTGAGCAAGCATCGCTTGCACACTCATACTGATCCGGACAACAACCTCCACCCAACGACTCGGGACATAGGGAATGGTTGACCGGGCAGGTGAGATCGTCGTCTCCTCTTCGTTTGAGCCGTAATGGCTGCGGAGGAGGTGTGATTTGTGGTTTCTTTGGGACCCTGTGAACCGTATCCTTCTCCAGCAGTGCCGCCTCCGTCGTTTGCGACGCCATCGCTTCCAGGCCGAAGAGAGCCATGATAAAAACCGCAACACACGACGAGCACGACCAAACGCTACGCATGGCGGCTCGTTCTGTTTCAAATTTCGAATTGATTATTTTATTTCCCGTTTCTGCTTACTGTACCTCCCGTCCTGGACCAGTGTTGGTTTTCGTCGCTTAAAGGCGTGGTCTATGCCGTCAGCCGCTGTGTATTGTCGAATGCGCCGCGAATGCAGATGTTCTCTAGAGGTATTCACCCGAGAGTCGTAAAATGCTGAAAGAGGGGAAAGGTGAGTTGAAGGAGGCGTTTCCGATCATTAAACGGGTTTCTGAATCAGTGCGATGAGGTAACCACGAGATCGAAGGATCAGACCAGAGTTTGGGCAGGCAAGGTCTTTTCTTCTCTGTCCGAACAGGGTCGCTGGCGATAAGACCCAAGAAAGCAGTAATAATCCTGCTAAGTGAGGTGCCTATTATTGCTGACAGAGGACCCGGTTCTTCCTAGAGGCGGAGCAAGTGAAGCGCCACGGGCCTACGGTTGGTATCCGAAGGGAACCACCAGTAGGGCTGAGACAGCACATTAAACGCGGTGCGCGCAGACGGGTGATGGCAGGGCAGGCCGCCGACAATGGTTTCCGATCCCTGGTAATAACTGAAGCGTGATGACGATGATAACGATGGTGGTGAGATTCAAGATCCAGAAGCTGAAGAGAAGATGAGAGAGGGAGTTCAGCTGAGGTAAAAAAGAGAGGACGAGGGATGATGATGGCACCCGAAATCCCAAAGGACTGGGAAGGGATCGACCATTCCCGTCCGGTTCCTGTGGTTCCTTGTGCTCTCATCTTGTGAATCAATACCACCTACCTGAACGCAGCCTAGCTCCAAAATCCTACTGCGAAGAATATTCCACCTCACCCACATTGCCATTTCGGGCAACCATTGAGAAGCTCCCATGCAGGCTGGGGAAGCATTTGGAGTGACTGCTCATACAAACATGGTCCCTCTGTCGGTGGTTTGACTGAATGTTTGACAGTCGTCGTGCCTCATTCTCACTGACAGCCCCCCTCACGAGCCAGCCATGGTGGGTGTTTTCCCTCTGTGGCGTCGGCTCTGGACCACTGGCAGCCAATGTGTCTTTCTCTTGTGTGCATCGCTAGTCTGGATTTCGGACATGATGATTGGCCTACGAGGTAGTGCCGAATGGAGGGCTTTCATGGCCAAGCCGTCAGAGAATGGTGGAGGTGTCCAAGGGAGTGCAACTCTGTGGCTTTCGCATCAAGCAATGGTCCGATAAATCGAATATCGATACGACGTTTGTGCTCTGGTATCACTGCAGTAAACTGCGTCGGCGCGGCGGATACGTGAGGATACGGCGAAGAGTAAGGACGAGGCCACCAATGAAGCGGCCCATGGGCGGCCATGGTGACTTGCTTGTGCGCAAGCCGAAGTGACCCAACTGCAGCACTTTTACTCGGAGTGGAGGGTACGGCCGAAATGAGTGAGATGAGGGACTCCTCTCTAGCCTTGGTATAAAACCCAAGACACCTTCCCTTCTGTGAGATGCTAGCGCATGACTTGTGATGGAGGTTAGTGGGATGGATGATGGGAGTTGTGAGAGATGTAAGCGCTTACTACGCGCGTCACCACCAGCTCGCCATTTTGAGAAAATCTGAAGGTTTGTTACCTTATCAGAGAAATAAGTTTCAGCAGGAGGGGGATGTGGTTTGCCTTTTCTTATTCGGTTGCCTAGGTAGTCATCTCACCGGACTAGTTGATAGTTTCGGGTGTGGCATAGCCGGGCTCCCTCGGTATGATTATTCAACGGTGTTTGCGCTCCCAATTGAAGTTATTGAACAGCCGCGATAGCAGTGAAAATACCCGGCCGTTCAAAGCTCTCTTGGTTCAACACTTTCTTCCGTCTGGTTGTGAAGATGATGTTGTTGAAAGAAGTGGAAAGTCAACCGTGCGTGCCGACGGATGTTGGAGAATAATTGTTAGTGCATATTACTGTTGACACGTGCCCACAGGTGGCCAAAGCGCGCTGGAACAATGGGACAATGGCTGCCCCGTCGGGTTCTCAGCGAAGTTTGGGGAACAACAACTTGCACATGTCTGGACGGGACTCTCTCCTTGTCCAACGTCCAGGTCGACAACCTCAAGCCACCTCCACACTCTCACCAGTACAACGACAGACGGGATGTTGGGATCCGTCCCGGCTTCCAACATGATCCTACGGCTATATCGAGTCGTTATATCATCGGGCTGAGCGGTGTGGCACAGCAACGGGTACCACAGAGAGAGAGGCGCTCTCTTCAGTCAAATCATCTGATAGCCATTTGGGAAGGTGGCTGAAGAGGTAGCATCATCGAACGTCGTTAAACAACGGTTGACGGGTAGAGGCATAAAGATTGCTGCGCAGGATAAGGTGTCTCAGGGTGCGTATCTTGGGACCGACAAGGAGGTTAGGAGGCTGCGAACGGTGTCCTGCATTTGCTTCGTTACAACACATATTGCTCGGCTTCGTGTTGGCTGGTAAAGGTGGTTGGTGAAGAAGACATGCCGAGCACGGAATCAAGTCTCCCCGCATCGCCAATCTGTTCTGGGATCTGTGCGCAGTTAGATCGCTATAATAAGGGACGGAAGCCATCACAGGTTAGATTCCGGCATGTCGGTACGATAGTTGAGAGATTGCCTGCTCTTGCCCTGCTTGGGGATAAAGGCAGCGTGCTCCGATCAACATGCCCGGCGTCATCGGTCCGAATACCAGACCTGTTGCTCACCGAGGTGAAAGTCGACCCGACTCAGCTGCCGTGATTGAGGAATCCAATCTATTCCAACCGCCGTTGTTGAACGAGATATACACTTAAGCACAATATATCTCATCACAATGCGGCTCTGATGTTTCGGATCACGGTTAATGACGCCAACCCTTCTTGAGAATGGCTTCAGGTACGGACTCAATGTCAGTGGATCGGATCAAGGTGACAGGTCTCTGTTGAAAAAAGGAGTATAGACTCCATCTTCCCCGCGTTACTCTTTCTGGGGAAAGGTGGAGGGAAGGTGGAGGTGGAGGTTACCGAGGTGGGGGAATCTCCGCACTTTCACCCGTTCCTTCTCCGCACATCTGGGCCAAATAACCGGACGTTATGCCTCTCCAAGAAAAGCTCGGAGGCAGACCAGCGAACAACTTGGAACCTCCAATTGTCTGGGAAGAAGAAGAAGAACAGGCTTTTCATTCTTTTATGCGCACCCCAACAGAGCACCCTTGTTCGCCTCTCCCCAAACTCGGCCTCCCTCGTGACCTTTGCTCACAAGCGAAGACATTCGTTGTCGTCAGTCAACGTGTTGGACGTAGCTGGCTAATAACCTCATTACTCCTATGACATATCGTAGTCACCGCTCCTTGCTCCATCTTTTCATCATGATCACAACTTACTCGCTTTGGTCATGATCTGAAGTTCCCCCAACCCACCATCAATAACAAAACAAGGTGAGCACCGCTTTTTCACCTTCCTTTTACGAGGTACCGAATAGGGGGTAAAACCAGTTGGATCCATCATCTTACTCAGAACTCCAACTGAACCTAGTTCAAAGCTTTCCATCGGCACTTGGCACAAACCCGATCCCACGCAAGAGACGATGCTTTCTCCATAATCATATCCAACAAGATGGATCCCGCAAGTGTAAAAATGCTTCTTTATACACGACTGGCTCCTCCAAAGGAGCCAAAGAGACGATCAAGAGCCGGTAAGTATCCACCCGGAATGCACTCCTCGGCCCTAGTTCTCCCGTTAACTTGGAACCAACCTGCTCTAGGCTGCACCTTTTGGTACGTTATTCCCTGTACCCGCTCGGTTTTTCGTGAGATTGCTGTCCCGAATCAAAAGTAGCTGACCTCTGGAAAAGCAAAGAAAAGGTTGGTCCAGTCCTTTCCCCCGTCTTGCAAGTTTTGTTCTCTAACCAAGCATCTATACCACAGAAGAAAAAGTGTGATGAGGGACGCCCACAATGTTCACGCTGCGTCGAGCATGGAGCGACCTGCGTGTATGAGGCCGTGCGGCCTCGAAGGCGTCGAAAGACCAGCCTAGCGACATCATCAACATCTAACAATGATGGCCGTAGGCTATCTCTCCCCGGGAGAATGTCGGACTTTGGCTACGACAGCGATAGCGTGAGTCCTCCTGAATTTTCAGAGGCGGACTACCAGTTTCCACCAACACCAGACCTCCTTCAGAGCAACAACTCTTGGAACGCGCCTTCACCTACGCCGAGCTATCCTCTCATCTCTCCCACGGAGTCACTCTTCACATTGCCGGACTTGGGTCACGTCGAAGAGTTGGCTGAGGATGCTAAAGATGGTGATGGATATGTGGCAGAGTCATGGACAAACCAAGCAGCAGTCACAACAGTATCACGACCAACGTCATATTATCCAGACTTGGCCATGATAGCACCATGTCCGGTAACATCACCTCTGTTCGAATTCCACTCGCCGGCATTCTCGGAGTTTACGGACCGCCCCAACCGACGAGCTCTTGTGGATCACTTCTGCAACATCCTCTCCCACCTAATCGTATTCCGGGAGGAGAGTGGGAATCCGTTTCAACAGTTGGTGCTGCCACTGACACGACAGAGCTCGCCTGTACTAAACGCCATTTTTGCTCTTGCCAGCGCCCATCTGGAATATCGAGGGGTTCAAAATGATGAGCATTCGCTCTTCTTCCACAATCAGGCCATCCAGGGACTCGGACGTCTAATAGAGCAAAGTGCCAAGTCGAACCGGAATGAAATCCTGGCAACTATTATGCTGCTCATCTACTATGAAGTGGTAAGCTTCTATAGCCGATTGTCAAGGTTGGGAGTAATCCTTGCTAATTTGCCCCCGTTTAGCTGGTTCAAAGAGGACGATCAAATCTCGTAGATGGTCACCTCAAGGGGGCACTCACCATTATGTGCACCAACCCCGAACCATTAGACTCAACCAGCATCTTTCTTGAACGGGTTCGCACATACACACCCCATCTCAACTCTACTTACTACTAATCACTAACATACTTCTAGGCCTTCCGTTTCTACGATGTAATAGCCGCCCTCTCCAACGGCCGCGCCCCCCTCTCCGCCGCTCCCACCGCCGGCTGCCTCATGCCCTTCCCGCCTCTCGGCGCCCCCATCGCCTCACCCCTATCCAACGTCGACACCCTCCTGGGCATGGCCACCACTTTGTGGCCCATAATCCACCGACTCTCCAGCCTGGTCACCCTAAAAACGGACCTGCAAGCCGCCATCTGGAGCAACGCCTCGGCCTCCAAAATCTCCGTCTTGCGCACCGAACTCGAATCAACAACCCAAGCCATCGAAGCCGCCTTATCACGCTGGCAACCCCAACTACCTCCAGGTTTCGTTCCAGATGAACAAGAAGAAATCGCTGAGAGCCGCAACAACCAGCCAGTTGACATCATCTCCCCCACCATTGCCGAACGCAGCCGTCTCCACTCCATCTGGCACAACGCCCTCGCCTATCGCCACTCCGCCTTCGTCTACTTGTACAGAAGCGTACAGTGCTACCGGCGCAGCCACAGAGCTGTGCAAGAACATACCCACCGGTCTCTGCTACACTGCGCTGCCACCGTAAAACATGAGGGACCCATGGGGGCATTGCTGTGGCCGCTGTTTGTGGCGGCGTGCGAGGCTGTGACAACCGAGGATAGAGGGTTGACGGAACAGGCGTTTGAGAAGGTCAGGAAGAGGCAGGGGATGAGGAATATTGAGCGGGCGTGGGAGATTGTGAGGGAGGTTTGGAGGAGGGCGGATGAGGCTGAGGTTAAGTCAGGGACAGGGTGTGGGGTGGAAACGTCAACAGGGGAAGTAGAAGAAATGGGAACTGGAGGGGACTTGTGGAGGCAAGTTAGCAGGGAGATGGGGGTTAGTGTTGTTTTTGGGTAATGAGAGGAGAGGAAGCTGCCCGATTGAGGAAAAAGGGCGTTGTGATTCAAGCAGGTCAGGAGACAGCAAGAAGTCGATCGAATGGAGAGAGATCTCATTTAGGAGTGTTGCGGAGTGTTTGGCGGAGAGGGGAAAAGGTTTGATGTCATGGCATGATATGGGAAATACCAAAATGACCCGATCACTATTCTTTCCTATATCTTTTCTGCTTCAGCTGACGGCTTTGGAGCCATGTGAAGCAAGTGGGTATAAAAGAAGGTATCACCAACCTACAACGCCAGATACAGGACGCTTTGGAACAGGAATCTGCATGGGTTCATCGTCCCCTGTGAAGTGGAGATGGCTTCATATGTTAAGTTTTGGGGCTTCCTTCCCTCTGGAAGAAAGGGCCTGAGAAGCCCGAAAAGCATCGTGGAAACGCTTGGATCTTAAACCACTTTAGGTAAGATCGAGCGAGTCCGAGACTATAGGTAGTTACTGTATTTCCGTCTGCAATGGCTAGAATAGTTGGTGATCCGGAGAAGACTCCGTGATGATTGAGCTACTGCACGAAAAGGCGTTCTGATATTTACAAACCTGCAGGGGAAACACAGCTAGCTACATAGCTGCCTTTCGGTGAGCCCGCCCCCGCCTATTGAGGTTACACAGGCAGACAGGCCAAGGAGGTCCAAGCTCCGCAGCACAAACTGAGCCTCTAAGCTCAAAGATGTGAAGTCACACAGAAGTTGGGAAGTTGGGGAGAACAGAAGCGGGGTAAGAGAGAGGCATCAATCAGCATGGAATGAGGGCGGTGATACAGTCCTATCTTATCTAATGTAAGTACCCGATATACCCGTCCAGGCATTTCAGGACATCTAGACTCACAATGCCCTAAATGAATGTCCACAGGAAGGCCGCAGATAATATGGGGTATTTATTTCTGTTCTCGGTGCTTGGAGTTGGGTTCTCCGGGTTCGAACCGGAGCAGCGGCGTCGATGATCGCTGGGCTCCAGCAGCGGGAAGGAACATTCGCTGGACGGGGGCCTGGATGCCAGTGGAGTCGGACGGAAGCTGCACGGCAAGCTCGACACACCTTGGGTAATGCACATCATGAACTTTGAAAGGTGCGATGAACCTGCAATTAGGGTTCTACTTTGACCTCAACTTTCCTGTAATTCTCCTGTAGGTCCAATTTGTTCCTTGGACCTCGTCCTGGATCCCCGCCAACTTCAGTGGTGTTCCAATGTCGTGGTTCTGTCAAGTGTCAATGCGACTCCCTCGGCGACATGGACACCTCGGATAAATCTCCCCATAGTGGACTCCACCGACAGTATCACCGCCGTCACCATCACCACCAAGCACCGAGTCCATGACACCTTCGCTTCAATTTTTCTATTGACGAGCGAGGAGCATGAAGCTGGAGACGTAACTAGGTGATGGTGCTGCTGCTGCTGCACCTGATCGGGGTCCGGAATCGACACCATACACACAATGATTGTACACATCACATTTCTCTTCTCACCACTGCATTTCCTTCCCCCTCCAATCACGACGCCGGCGTCGATTCGTGTCGGGGACGCGATTCGCTGAGGGGCTGCAAATAGAGTGCTTTCACGATATCCGCGACATCGGCATCCGATAGTGAAGCATCGTGGCCGCCGCCCGTGGTTGGCTAGGTCTCTACACGTGTAAAAGCCGCCGCCGCCGGGACGTCCTTTTGCTTTTCCCCGTTGCCCGTCTCCCGTTCGCTAGAAGCAGGCCACACAATGGAACACGATGATGGGGGAAGTTGGGGACACAGGCAGCCTGGACACAAAAAGTGTGTTCTAGCCCAGCCCTGTCAACACGTCCAGTCCCGCAACTAAGGTAGGAATGGGAAGCGTGCGTCTCCCAATCTCGCCCGCTTTTGCCTCTCTGCCGCGCTCCATGATAAACCCACCAACCTAACCTATTCCCTCTTTGTGTTCTTGTTTTTTTCTCCGAAGCGCTTGTCTTGTTCCTGTTCCTGTTCCTGCTGCTCTTCTCTGCTTCTTCTTCTCCAGTCTCATTCCGTTCCCCCCAGACACCAAGCATTTGCCCGGGGCCACCACCGCAGATCTTCGGTCGCGCTTCGGACGAGGGATCTGCTTGTTGCGATCCACCTTTTAGGTCACGGTCATCGTGCCATCTCTTTCCTCCACCTTGGAGTCCTCCACTTCGTTTCCATATTGGATCCCCAAATCCAACCACGACACACAGCACTTCTCATCTCTCCCCTTCCATTCTTTGTCATTCCAGCCATCGCCTCCGAACACACAAACTACTGTACGCGCCACCCAGGTACTTCCCCTTTCATGTTTGCGCCTGTGTTTTGGTGACGCCTGGGTCGAGTCTGATACGACGTCAGGAACCAAGCCTAGCAAAAGAGCGAAATCCTGTGCTTGCGCAGCTTCCAGGTTGTCCTTCGAGATCGACATGCAGAATTAACCCTTAGAATCATCGCCTCAATATTTCCCCATACTTCCACCTCTCCTTTTGGCCAGTCCTGCCAGTCTAGAACGAAGGATCTCTGACGTACCGATTGCTTGCACACCACCTGACTACTCATTCCAACCTAAGCCATCTTGACCGTTATTCTTCAAAACCCTTTTTCCGAATCCCGAAAATGATCGTTGCCCTCAAATCACTTTCAACGGCATGACCGATGCATAGGTAGTTATGCTATTGCACGTCTGTTAAGCGCGTCTCTGCTCTGCTTCTTGCACGACACACGGCAAGCCAACACAAGAGAAAGGAGAACAGAACCTCAAAAGTTTGGAGGCTCATTCATCATTGGACGGAAGCTCGGATATCAAAGAAAATCTTATCTAGGCAATTTGGCCACGCCGGACAGGAACCAACAAGCCGCGTACCGCTCAAACCCATACTTTGGTTGTTTCTCCAGCTGCCAAGACTAGCTTCCATCATCAGCTCACACATAGCCTTCCCCGCCATCTTGGAGGTTTGCCAAGCGTCACCACTCCTCAAGACCAACCTCACTTCTCCTCATCCGTCCCAACAACAGTCCTTGGACTATTCACCTCAGGTTCTACCCAGGGGCCGGACTGAAACAATTCTCCCAAAATTATCTGGCAAACCATCATGGTTTTGCTATAAAGATAATGCCCGAAATGACCCTGATAACCGCACCCCTGCCGCCTCCCAAGCAGATCCGCTTTGTAAACAACCAAGGCCAACCCCCTTCCAAGAGGCGGAGAATCAACGCAGCGTACGTATCCCCCCTTTTATATACCACATCTGTCTTATGATATATGCTTCGTCCCATATTGTAACCCACGTGGCCGAGAACGCCCCTCTATCAAGCCCGCTGCCCGAGGAAACAAGGAGGAACCGGCTGTATGAAGATGAACAAGAGAAACGATGCATGATTGTATTTGGGCTCTGTCTAAACCGAATTATCTGAACAGATGCTTGACATGCCGCAAGCGGAAGACCCGATGTGCCGGTGAGAAACCGGTCTGTTCGACCTGCACCAAGAACGGTCATCAGTGTCAAGGTTATAACGATCTGGTTGAGCGAAAGAAGGAGGACGGCCGGAGCAACGGCATAACGAAAATGACGAAAGGTGATCACAACAACGTTGCCGGGGTAAAGAGGGAGGCGGATGATGATGAGCATTCCGACTACGAGGACGAGGAGGAGGAAGACGACCTTCCGCAATGGAAGAGCAAGACGGCCCCGGCAGGCAAAACGGCCGGCTTTGCTGTTGTTGATGGAGATGCTTCCATGAGGCGTGATTCGATCCCAAACCACAATTATTCAGGCACCCGACCACGAGGACCTAGTAATGATTGGGGTCAAGATTCAAGGTCACCGAGTTCTACAAGAACGGCGAGACAATCCAACTCAAACGGCCGCCGATCACCGACACTGCATCACAACCACACCGTACGAAGAAGGGACCGTATACCATATTTCCGTTATTTCGGTCCCACGGCTATTGTCCCTGGGTTCAAGCAAAACCTGCCCAAAGAGCCCTCGCATAGGGACCCACGGTTTATGAGACCTGGCTCGTCAGTCGCAACGACACCGACGCCACCACATCACATACAGCCCAGAACGATCCAAGAAACACTCAAGGATATTCCTACCCTGGAAGACATGCCAGTATACTCCACCGACGACTCTAAGCCGGTACCCGAAATCATCAAAGTCTTGGTCAAGACCTTCTTTGTTCGTCTGGGTTGCAATTATCCCTTCTTGAAAGAGGAACGCTTCATGCGCCAGCTTGAGGCGAAGCAGGTAGAGCCCATCCTGGTCGATGCCATATGTGCGCTGGCTGCCCGGTTCTCTGAGCTGCCTACCTTCACCACGGAGCAGGACGGCACCAGAGTGCCCAAATCCGAGTATGGTGATGTTTTCGCTCAACGAGTCAAGAATGCCACTGTTGACACATGGTCCTGCCCGTCAGTCGCGGCTGTCCAGGCCCACCTGCTCATGGCATATGAGGCTTTCGGCGCAAACCAAGACAGTGCACTTTGGATGTATCTGGGTGCTGCTATCCGCATGGCTCTTGACCTAGGGCTTCAGAAGCAGGAGGGTGTCAAATACCAAGGTTCCCGTGATCCGTGGTACACCAGGAGGTGGCTGACTAAATACAACGATGACGGGAGCTCGCCTACGGACGACCAGGAAGAGGAGGAAGCAATTAGTCAGGAAGAACAAAAGGAAGTGGAGCAGGCACGCATCGACACGTTCTGGGCAGTCTTCATGCTGGATAGAATCATCTCCTCCGGCACGGGCAGGACAGTCACTTTGCGAGACGATGACATGGATTTGGAGATTCCCGAACCAACTCTCGATGAACAAGGATGGCCAGATCCCTTCCCAGCTTGCATCAAGATAATTCACCTCTACGGTCGAGCGTCAGATGTTCTCAACAACATCAGAAATGCGAATGATCTTACGGAGGAGAGCATGAAGAAGCTGCGGCAGATGGAAAGCGACTTGACGATTATCTATTCGAAACAACACGAGCGGCTGGTATTCAATACGCACAACTTCAAGCACTATGTCGAGGCTGGCCAAGGCACCATCTTCATACTGCTTCATTTCTGGTTCCATGCCATGATCATCATGCTCCATGAGCCAGCACTGCTCACGCCATTTGGTAAACTCACCAACATCCAGCTGCTGTCTAACAGTCGTGAGCTGGCCAGATCGAGCGCGAAGACCATTGCGGATATTGTTGCGTTTGCCGAACTCATCGATCCTCAGAGCTACATTGGTAATCCGTTCACTTCGCAGCCGATCTTCATCGCCGGATGCGCCTTCCTCAAGGAATCCGCATTGAGTGCTTCAAGCCCACCATCACGCGAGCCATCACCAGGACCCAGCAATAAGAGTAACCCCACTTCAAGGACACATAGCGGACGTTTAGGCATACCGACCGAGAATAGGCCGCGACACTCCTTGCTCACTTCAGCCGCGGCTGCAAACTACGCGCGCTGTTCCCAAGCACTTTCACGCGTTGAACAGTACTGGGCAGGAGTCGGGTACATCATCAACGCCATGGAGCAGAGGTCACAGGGCATTGAAGACTGTGAGACGTTTGCACCGGGTGAGCTCGAGCGTGTGCTTGCTCGGACTCGCCAGGCTTCGGTTCAGCGACTGATGCAGTTTGAGAACCCGATCCCACCTTCGCCAGGCGTGCCACCTATTGCCTTTTCGCTTACTGGTACGACGAACTCGCCCAACTCGAATCTAACGAGGCTGTATACGAACCCATCCGGCACGACAAACTCGCCTAGCGCTAACTTGACGAGGTTGTATACGAACCCATCTGGAATGACGAACTCGCCCAACGGCAACTTGTCGAGGTTAAATCCAAACACGTCCAATCCCTCCGTGTCCAATCCTTCCATGCCACGAGCTGCTTCGCCTCTTCCGCCTCCACCGCAACCTACCACGGCCGCGACGCCACCAGGAAACATGATCTATGATCCGATCCGACAGGATACGCCAACGGTGATGTTCCATCCGCCGCCGCCATATCCGCAGCCTGCTGTTTCGGCAGTAAGGTATCAAGGTCGTTCATCTTCGTTCAACCACCTCCGCGATAGGCGTTCCACTTCCACTCTAAGCAGGGGAACATCCCTCAAGTACGAAACACCAGGCTCAGATGACATGACGGTGGGATCAGACAGTCCAACCATCAGTGAATCGAACTTCAACGCCTATGGGAAGAGTCTCAGCCCAGCCTTACCACCGCTCGCGCCTCCACCTCAGCGGCATTCATACATGAACACTCCATCAACGCAACATTCAAGCAACACTCCATTCGATAACGCCCTCTTATCGCCCTCATCGGGAACCATGACAGATCCAGGAGGGATGCACCATCAGAATCAGAATCAACATCACAATAACCATCAACAGCAACAGCAACATCATGGGCACAGTGGTCATAACGGCTCGCCTTCCTACCAGAACCAAAACCAGAATCCTTACCAACAGCAACAGCAGCACCATAACTCATACGGCAACGGCAACCACAACAACAATACCAACAACAGCAACGGCGATACTCACAATGCCTGCTATCCTCAACCGACGTCAAGGCCCAGCCCCAGCCCTGGACTGGGCGTAGTCGACCCCTTCAATCAAAACACCTTTTCCACAGGCCTTTACTCGGCATTCACGCCCGACTTCATGTTTGAGTGCGACGAGATCAACCTCCAAAACCTACCGGACGTTTTGGGTCTGGACCCCGTCGGGGACAGTAACATGATGGAGTCACTATCTAGTATTGACGCGTATGCCTGGTGTGGGCTATTTGACGAGAGCTTTATTACAGGCGGCGAGGGTAGCGGGAATGGCAGTGGGAATGGGTCGGGTAGTAACGGCAACGGTAGAGGAAACGATGATGATAGTGGAGGAGGACGGCGAGGAGGTGATCATGGAAATAGGCATGGGAACGGACAAGGAGGAGGTGGTGATGGACAAGGTGGTGGTCATAGACAGGGACACTGACAGATGTCGATGACCACGATGATGATGGATAGTGGTGGGCGGTGAATATGATGATGGCGGATGGGAGGCAGTTGTGAGTAATTTGTGAGTCAACTTGAAGGGAACAACGAGGTATAATATGGGAAATGATGCGTTAGTAACAAGGAATGAAACAAAGACGGAACTGGGTGGCTTGGTGCGGTGGTTGATGATTAATGATAAATACGCTGAAGTAATATTAGCTTTTGACAGCTTTGGATAACGGTGGGAAACACGGGAGGCAAAGTTGAATGGATAGTTTGGTGTCGGGTGCAGTGGGTTGGGTGAAATAAATTGGTTTTATGTTCATGAATTCGAGTGTGCAATTTCAAACGGTTGTGACTGAACAGTCAAACGCAGACAGACATGCATCAACTTGCGGAGCGCGACAACCATCACAACTATGAAATTGCCTATGCTACCCACCAACAGCCTCACACCAACCATTAACTAAAACAATTTTCTTCCCAATGTCCCAACCACTCAGGCCAGGAATCAAAGTGAAAAAAAATGAAAAAAATTGGTAGCGTCTCTTTGAGTAGCGTGTCATCCTTAGTGCAGGGGCCATGCTAATCTTCTCTGTATCGTTTCAAATTGACCAAATTGCCCCGAAGGGCGAAGAAAAAAGAGAGGAAAAATAGTTAAAAAAACGGTGTTGGGTGGACGGGGTTTTATACCCTCTTTGTGGGAGTCTGGGGAGCAGGAAGAGGAAGGGAGGGATGGTCTGTGCACGGGTGAAAGTTTGCGGAGGGAAGGGGGTTTGGGTGGAGTCTTTTGTGGGGGTCTGGCACTTGGTGGTGAGAGGCTGACGGGCTGGCGGGCTGACGGTGGCAGGTGTGGCTGGAGATGCAAGAGGATTAACGGTGCACGCTGGTTGGCGCTGGCAGCTGTGACGCTCAGCCACGTCTTGTGAAGAGGCAGGAATGCGGCTGGGAAGGTTGTGGCTGAGTTTCTCCTAACCCTTGCCCAAAGAACGAGTTGAGTCACGGCTCAGCGCGACCGGTCCTTCATCCCATGTCCATCCGCTGCAACGACAGCACGACAAGGAACCGCAAGCCGGAAGGAAAGTCAAGAATCAGGTTCATCCGGATTCACCGCTCTTCACAGTCTTCGGAGCCGAGAAAAGACCACGACATCCTCAACAAATCCAACCTCTCCAGATTGTCTCGACCCGAGGTGATCCACCTTTGTTAGATCAGATAAGGGGGACCTTGATGGATTTGCACAACTTGATTTGTCAAAAAGATCTAATCGATAAGGCTCGTCGCATGCTCATGCAATGGATGGACCAAGCCGAAATTTCGAGAGAACCCCGAAATCGGTCCCACTCCGCATCCTAGCGAGAGGCCTTTTTTCTGTCCTGTGACAATGACTGTTTGTGACTGATGAAGATACCGAGTCACGATAACCAGGGGTGGTTGTTACTCACATGGTCTGACTGATTTTGTCTTTGACTAGTCAATCGCTTGTTGTTGTCGTTGTTTTTGTAAATAACTTCGTTTTTCCGGCGTCAATTAAGCTTTTATTGTTGTTGTTATCGTCGTTGTTGTGTTTGTTGTCTTCTCGTCCCTGTCTATCCCGTCCCTGTCTATCTCGTCCCCGTCGCCGTTCGTTTCAGCGAATCCACTTATACGTCGTCCTAATCTGGGGTCTTCCTCCACCCTATCTCTTCTACTGTATCTACCCTTTCCCTCCCTTACCGGTTGAGCCTCTTCTCTCTTACATCCTCCGTCCCTCTCTATCCCATCCTATCCGGCCCGGTCCCTCCTCTCCGTCCGCCCGCCCGCCCATCCGTCACCATGGCCTTCCGCACCGCCCTCCGCCGGGTCGCCGCCGTTAATGTGCCTGCCACCCGTGGCCTCGCCGGCGCCGGTGCCGCTGCTGCCCGCCGTGCCTATGCTACCACTCAGCTCACCCACCCCGACCCCACCGAGGACTCGGCCAGCGGCAAGATGGTTCGCGAGCACGCTCCCTACATGGTGACCACCTACTCTCGCCCTCCTCCCGTCTTCGTCAAGGGCAAGGGCTCGTACCTCTGGGACTTGGAGGACCGCAAGTACCTCGACTTCACGTCCGGTATTGCCGTCAACTCGCTCGGCCACTGTGATGAGGAGTTTAGCAAGATCATTGCTGAGCAGGTGCGTCTTTCTTTCCTCTCTCTTTCCCTCCCGTTTCTATTTTCAAGATGGTCGACTAACAAAAGACTTACTTCGCAGGCCCAAGAACTAGTCCACGCCTCCAACCTCTACTACAATCCCTGGACCGGCGCCCTCTCCAAGCTCCTCGTCGAATCCACCAAGGCCTCGGGCGGCATGCACGACGCCTCCTCCGTCTTCATCTGCAACTCCGGTTCCGAAGCCAACGAGGCCGGTATCAAGTTCGCCCGCAAGGTCGGCAAGGTCCTCGACCCCTCCGGCAACAAGGTCGAGATCGTCTCCTTCCAGAATGCCTTCCACGGCCGCACCATGGGTTCCCTGTCCGCCACGCCTAACCCCAAGTACCAAGCGCCGTTCGCGCCCATGGTCCCCGGTTTCAAGGTCGGCACCTACAACGACATCGCCTCCATCGACTCTCTCGTCACGGAAAAGACCTGTTCGGTGATCGTCGAGCCCATCCAGGGCGAAGGCGGCGTCATGCCCGCCACCGAGGAATTCCTCGTGGCCCTTGCCAAGCGCTGCCGCGACGTCGGCGCCCTCCTGCACTACGACGAGATCCAGTGCGGCATGGCCCGCACCGGCACCTTCTGGGCGCACTCCTCCCTGCCCAAGGAAGCCCACCCTGACATCCTCACCACTGCCAAGGCGCTGGGTAACGGTTTCCCCATCGGCGCGACCATCGTCAACGAGCACGTCGCTAGCAAGATCAAGGTCGGCGACCACGGCACCACCTTTGGCGGAAACCCTCTCGCGTGCCGGTTGGCGCATTATATCGTCGGTCGCCTTGCGGATGGCAAGCTGCAGGAGGGCGTCAAGGCCAAGAGCGAGGTTTCCTTCAAGGATTTGAGAAGTTGAGGGCCAAGTTCCCGGAGCTGATCAAGGAGGTTCGTGGCAAGGGACTCATTTTGGGGCTGCAGCTGAGCGAGGATCCTACGCCTGTTATCAAGGCTGCCAGGGAGAGGGGACTGTTAGTTATCACTGCGGGAACGAACACGCTTAGGTTTGTGCCGAGCTTGTTGGTTAGTGAGCAGGAGATTGAGGAGGGGCTGAGGATTTTGGAGGGGAGTTTTGAGGCTGTTATGGTTAAGGCTTAGATTTAGGGTCGGACTTTGTAGGCTTGGGGTTGTTTGTGTGCTTAATGTTTGAGCGGGTGTGAGTGTTCATAGACGGTTGTTTTCGGGGTAAACATAAAAAGGCCTGGCTGGGATGGATGGTCGGATGGGTGGTGTACGGTTGACGGTGTTTCTTTCGCAAAATGGGATGGCAAAAAAAGTTCAAATTCTTTCACATGTTTGCCTCCATTGCTATTCATCGCTCCTACTGTTGATGTCACAGCTGCCCAGGTGAGTCTGGCTACCTCTATGCTCAATAGTAACAGCTGTGATGGAAGGAGATTGATCGATCGTCCAATGACGGCTCAGCCATGCCGTCATGTCTGAGCCCTTGTGATCCGGAAGGAATGCGTCTCATAATGAACTAAGAAAAGCTCATCCGGTCCGAAATCTAGACTCACTTCAGAATATAGTTCCTGAACAAGTAAGACACCTCTGCGATGCCACTTTACTTCTCTTCTTGACGACTTGTGTCAGAGTTCAAATTACCGGCTTGCTGGCCTCCGTGGTTGGTGTACCTGCTGCTGATAAGAGCTTTTTAGTGTGTCCTTTACTCTCTCGTTGTGTTGGAGGCAGGTCGGTCATCGGCTATTGAGGGAAGGAAGCCATACTCGTCGTGTATGAGACCTGGAGTTTGGGAAGGAATGTGTCTGTCTCATCTCTATTGACCAGTGACTACACAGCAGAAACATACATCGAAGTCTAGACCTTGCTTAGCATAGTAAGCCACGGCTCCTTCCTGGATATCAGCTACACCTCAAACCCGGTCGTTATGTTTTTGTCTTCGATCTACACGCCAAGCTGTCCTTGTAGATGAATACTTCCATCTACATGCACCTCTAGTATGTCTCCAAATGTACGTACTTTCACGGAGCACTTACCCAAAATGCTATCGAGTAGGAAGGAGTGACAAGACAACCCCTTACTCATCTCCCTCCCCTCTTTACTTGCCATCGGTTCAGGTTTCGCGTTGAGGTGCCGTTGGCTAGTCTAGACTACCAATCTCGAACACGTGAAAACGTGGATACAGCAGAAGGTAACTCAATATCCTCATGACGCTTGTGGACATGTACATGGGTTGGTTTTGCCCGCTCTGCTGGATGAATAATCTAGAAGGCAAGCAAGGGTTGCGGAAGGTGTTCAATTCTATCTATATTTTCATCACTCGATAATGACTCGGATACGGAGATGATTTGGTGATCCAGTCCAGCCTGTCTGTCTATGAAGTGACTTGATGGAAAGAGAATGTAGTGTAGCTCTAGGCAAGACCCGTTCGGTTGGTACCATTGCTGGTCATTACAGGTAATCAGCTCATGTTACTTCCTTCCCTCGTTTGGTCTGGCTCGGTTCGGTGATGAAGTGAGTGCTTCTTCGCCCGGTCTCTAACTACCTGTAGTCCATCTTCCATTCACTGACCTCCTGACTTACTGTATCATCTCCAGCTTGGGCCGGGGCAGCCTGGTGATGATGGGATTAAGACTGATTGATGTCCAGCACCCGACTGCCGTTGGCCATGATGACGGTGGCATTACCGTAAAGTGCCGTGAAGTTTGTAAGATATGCCAACTTCGTGTCTGGAACTTTCTTTGAGAAAAATGTGCGTGCTTGACTACCCTCTACGGTTAATAGCCGCGGCAGCCAGTTCGGCATGTGATGAGTAGGTAGGTACGATTCTAGAAACTGTGACCAAACACTCTTAGGAACCTTAATCTCCGTGTTCCTCCCATCCTACCCCGTCGAGCTGGTGACGAAAGGAAGGTACGGTCGACATCCGATTCATACTTTCCTAGAATGCGTGATAGTCAGAAGCAGTATGGAAGGAGATACCCACCCATCACACCTTCCGCCCCTTCCCCATCAAGGCCCGTTTCACCCTCGAAATCATCACCCCCGAAATCATCCCAGCTCTTGTCATCGATTGGCGCGTTCGATGTGCTCTAGTGTGATCTAGCCCATCCCCAAGATCTGGGGGAAGTAAACACCATCCTGTCTAACACCCATCATTGGGCACCCAAGGCACGGCCCGTGATGAGACCTGATGGGACCTCCCAGAATTCCCATGAAGCTTGTGGGGTTGTTCTCATTTACAGTTCCTAACCGAATTGCAACTCACCCTCTTTGACCACCAGATTGGATGTTTAAAAAGATGCTAAACCACCGGCCCGGGCCCGATAGGTCCGGCAGGTCCGGTAGGTCTGGTACCGGGGGCTGGTTATCTCCGCCGGAATCACGGAGAGCCAGTCGTTGCCCCAAGACCTAGATGTCACTAGTCACTAAAATGCCGAGAGGAGAAGAGGAATCTAATCTTCAGTTCTGTTATTGTGGGACGTTATATCCGTGCAAGTTGTTGTGAGCCAGTCGTTCGTAAGCAATATCAAGCTCGTAGTAAGGACAACGAGCAGTTAATCTTCGGTTCAGTTAGTGACACGGAAGTTCACCAGTGAGCAGCACGAGCACGTATCATGCATGGTTCCCGTAAAATGAAGTGAATGGCAAAGTTTTTTGCTTTTTCCTTAGTAGTAGTTCTATGTACACCGAAACGAGTGAATCCTTTCCCCTTCCCTTCCGCCTTTTTCTTGGTATCCATGAAGTAGCTTGCCTCCCTTTTTGTCATTTCATCATGAAATTTTGAAAATGTAAAACGCCTTGTCATAAAATGTTGTCTTTGCTCTTCTGCTCTGCTACTGCCACCACACACATGTCCAAAATCCGTTGTTTGTCCAACGAGTTTAATCTTGATCTTGTAATATTCAGAAAAAAAAGGGTTTGGAAAATGTACGACCCATCCAAGTAGGTGTGTACAATGTATAAACTGTCGGCAAAAAAAGAATGTGCGAATTGAAAAGTTTTTGAAAATCCGATCCCGTCATGAACAGGGATGGAGAAATGCGCGAAGAATAGCCAGCTAGCTGACCAGATATCTGAATATTGCAAGAAAAAGAACGAAAAGACAAACGGAAAAATGGAATTGTTACATGCGGGGTATCATTTTGTGCTGTGCTTGCCTGTTCTCTAAACGGAAAACTCCCTCTTAGTTAAAAAACTTAGTTGGAGAGGTGAGCGTGGCCGTGACGCCTCTGGTAGCGACCAAGCTTGGGCCGTTGCCGAGGTGCTTCTTGGCGATCATCTTGAGCTGAGCACTCTCACCGGCGGAGCAGCTGGTTCCCGCAGACAACTGCATGACGGTGGACCAGGTGCCGCTGGCGCAGCGCTGGAAGGAGGAGCCGGCGATGCAGTTCCAGGCGCCCTCGGAGGTGCAGGCGGCGCCGACAGCGTAGGCACCAGCGGCAGAGCCGTTACCAGTACCGTTGTCGGGAGAGGTGCCGGTCGCAATAGGAGCGGGAGCACTGACGACGACGGTGGTGCTGGGCTTGGTGATGCTCTGGAGAGTGGTCTGGACGGGGGCCTGGGTAGTAATAGCAACGGCGGGAGCGGAGACGGAGGCGGAGCTCACGACAGCGGCGGCGCTAGAGCTAGGGGCGTTGACGATGTCGGTGGCGGAGGGGAGGAAGATGCCGCCCTGGCTGGGACCGTCCGAGGGAACAGTGATGAAGATACCGCCGGGGTTGCCGCCAGCAGCAGCGCTGGTCTGAGCGGGAGCGCTGGTGGTGACGGGAGCAGCAGCAACAGAGCTGGCGCTGGAGCCGGAACCGGAACCAGAGCCAGGGTTGCCAGCAGGAGCAGAGGCACCGCAGCTTCCCTCAGGACCCTTGACGGGAGCACCAGAAGCTTCAACCACATTAGGGCCGGGCTGGGGGTACTGGACGTCAAAGTTCTCGTCGGTCTTGCAGCCGTTTCCGATGTTGGCAACGAAGATTTGAGGGCGAGTGGAGAAGGCGGTAGTGGCAACACCACGCTTGTTGTTAGCAGCGATGGTGACGGGCGCGCAGTTCATGTACATCTCGCGGTTGCCGATGCGGTTGTGCCAGGTCCAAGCAAAGATGGCCTCGCCGGCCTGAGTGTCGGTGGGGATGGTGAAGTCGTACTTGCCAGCGAGAGGGCAGTTACCGATGTAGGACTCGATGACGGTGAAGCTGGCGCCCTTGTCGTAGCTGAGAGAGAGCTGGCAAGAACCGCCGCCGTGGGAAGCAGTGCCGGCAGTGGTCATGTTGTAGGTCTGACCAGGAACAAAGGTAGCGGTGCTCTTGCCGGAAGCAGTGCCAAAGTCGACGTGGTAGCCCTTGCAAGGATAGTCGGCGCCGGTGTCCTTGAGGGGAGCGGTCATGGAGTAGTCGATGCTACCAGGGTCGGCGTTGGGGTTGAACTTGGACCTGAAGGGGGGAGGGAAGGACATTTCGATGTGGGCGGAGGCGATCTGGGCACCTGCAAGCAGGGTGGCCACGAGGCCGGTGGTGAAGGTGTTGTACATCATGTTGATGGTGTTGATCTAATTCTTCTTTTCTCTGAGGGAGTGTGATTGACCGTAAAAGTCGAAGTCTTGTGGTCGAGTTTTTGGAGTGAGAGAGTGAGTTGCACGAGTCTTGGAGTTGATATTGGTTGCCGGGTCGATAGATGAGCACTGCTCTATGCTATTGACGCAAGTGAACAATAGGAAGGAATGAATAAGGTCGTGCCGTTCTGTTGAGTGGCTAGTCAGGTATTGTGGTGAATGGTTCGTCTGAAGAATGGGTTGTCTGAGTCAGGACGAAAGTCGTAGTGAAGCACCAGGCTAGTGAATACGCTTTGAGACAATGGCTGAAGAGCCGAACAGGACTGGAATGTAGAGAAGGTTGGTTTTTTGAAATCCCTTGACGGGGTGGTGACAATAAGAATAGACTTGGAGTCGAAAATGAGAGAAGAAGACGTGTAAGGGAGTGTCGTGATCGACCAGAAATGAAGATGAGGTGTATCGGGGAGCTGGATGACTTTTATGTTTCCCAGCTGTCGGTTCGTCCAGAGTCGATTGGGTGGGAGGGGCCGTTGCCGGTAGCGCACCATGCAGGTACTTTTTTTTGTTTCGAACGCCACTCACTGGACACCCACTCGGCGGATCTAGTGTAGCCCAGTGTTTACATGCCCTGTCTCCTCCCCCTTCACCCCTGCGTCGTCCACACAGCCTGACAACCTTCTCCACCTTGGGGGTCTTGTCACTGCAGGTACCGCGCCGTCTGACGACGCTGAGTGGTCTACCGGTACGGATTGGATATCCCGGAGCACCTTGGTTCACTCGTGATGGAATGGCCACTCTGGATCAAGCTTTTTGGTTTTCGGGCTTCTGGAAATGTCGCGGCCTTCTCCTAGGGTTGCCGTATTGGGAAGATATGGCCGCAAGTGTGTGAGTGGGCGGCGGGTGAGTGGGACGAGTGTATCACCGGCTCCTGTCCAGTGAATGGCTTGTGATGCCGTGTGCTTGGATGTCTATGATCTCCGTGCAATGTGTAATGTAGAACTGAAAAGTGGTATTGGCAAAACGTGAGACGCACTCGACCGTGTTATGTGGCCGCCGTTAATGGAGTCATGAGGATGATCACTTAAGAGGTGGCCTTCTCTTGGACGCAGAGCCGCCATGGATGAGACTGAGGAGACCAGCCATGGCAACGTGACTGCCATTCTTTGGACTGTAAGGTTTAAGGTTGTCGCCGGGTTGTCAATCCCTCTCAAAGCGCGCGTTCAGCAAAAACAACAGGCGCATGCTCAGCGGCAGTGGTGCAGTAGCAGCGGCAGCAGACGCAGTGAAGCAGTCAGGTCAGCGGCATGCAGCATCCAATCGTCCAATCCCCATGCTTTGGTGCCTGGCTTGGTCGACTTTGCACCAACAGCTGGCGGCCCTTTGCTCCCCGTGATTGGCCGGGGCAGAGTGGCAGCCGGTGGAGCCAGCTGGTATGGAGCCGCCCGATTGGCAGTTCGGCAGAACCATCTTTTTTCGCGAGGGGCCTCCAGAGAATCCAGAGAATCCAGGAAGCCTCTCATTCTGAAACGTTCGCCCCCCTTCCTCGCTAGACTCGCACGCATGAAAGGGGCCAGTGCCACACCTCTCATCCGTTCTTCCTATTGGTTAGACAATACCTGTCAAGACGGCCAAATCTTCGGAGGACCAGAACAGCGGTGGTTCGTGGGCTCGTGGTCCGATGGCCATCAGTGAGGTGGTTGACGAGTCCGAAGACGTCCCAAGACATGCCATCCCGCTCTGTCCGCCATAACATGACCCATGATGCCCGTCCATATCCCATATCCCCGGGCTGTGTTAATCCCTCACTCTGGAATTAGTCAACGAGTGGACAGCACGCCATGGTCCAGAAGCAAGTCGCCTGTCTGAGGACGCCGTCAACAGCAAGATGATCGGCAGGGACCACTGGAAGAACTGGGACGACAGCGGACGACAGCGGACGACAGCGGACTTGGGTGATCAACCGGCAACCACTACCACCATCACTCGGATTCTGAAGCATCTAGCCGCGGAGCAATCGCTCAATCGCCGGATGATCAACCGAGAGGCCGTTGTTTCTACGCCCGTATGCCGTATCCCATTATAATCTGTGATTCTCAGCATGGAAACATGAAGACTTTTTCCGGTCTTTGACAACGGCCCCCATCATTCACATCCGCCAGACATACAGCAGGACAAGTCATGACTGCTGCGGCAAGCGGCGTATAATCCAACAACACAGTCACGGCGTCACCGCCCAAACGTAGGTACGCAATCGCAAAAACTGCTTCCTGTTTCCTTCCTTTTCCCAGCAAACGGACAGAAAGAAAGACGTAGAAAAAAATAAAAAAGGTCGCTATGTGCGGCGTCACACAAACAAGGGGAGACGACAAAATCAACAAAGTGAATCCAGATGCTCGAGCCAGTCGTATCCCGAATTAATGCCATGACGCAGAAAAGTGGCTGTGTGAGGCGCATTCAGCCGCTAGCTGAGGCCACCACTGTGGATGGAGTCTGGTCGGGTGCCTTCAGCTCCCGTCAGGCGATGGTCCCAAGTCAGCTCCTCCACCGATCCAGGGGTTCTTGACCCCAGGTTTTCGGTTTCATGTCTTCGGGTTCCCCTGGCTCTATCCTTTTGTTATCACATCAAAAGTTGGAGAGGATACGACGATGAGACAGGGAACATGAACAAGTGCAAAAAGAGGAGATGATGGGTGGTTGCCACCGTCGTCCGAACCGCCGGCCGCCCTTTCCACTGGAATGGAGGCTCTAAGACTTGAACAAGGGACGAACACCTCTCTCGTCAACGATGGTTTTCTACACTAGGTATGGAAAGGCAAAAATAGCGCCTGTAAAACCTCATCTCACAGCCTCTACATCGACATGTACCACATCGACGACGGGAAGGATTTCCTTTCCCTCTTTTCTGTCCTACACTGCACTGCACTGCATTTACAACTCAGGAGACACTGTCCGTGTTACAAAGTACACTACAACCGAATCCCCCTCCTTCCCGAACGGGATTCCCTGTCCGACCCCGACTGTACCCCTGGAAAGCGGCGCCGGCACACACATATGTACACACAGACACAACACATGTTCACATTCAGCACAATGATCAAAGTTGCACACCGAGGTGGTGTTGGTTGTCCAAAACACGATTGCTTCTGATTGTCAACTGCCGGTGACGGAGAGCTAAGCTCAAGTCAAGCATTTTTCCCTAACTTTCCCTACCTCTATACTAGTTTCAACTGGCAAGGCCATGGAAACAGAAACAAAAGAACGCCGCATAAAGTGATCTCCAATTCTAGCTTTTGCGCCTCGGACATTTTTGTGTTCGTTTACTACCTAGCGACTAAGCCACATGGGACCTTACGAGACTCGTCGATGCTCGCGAGACTTGCGAAACTTGAGAGGGAGACCCCAACCTTTGCTGATAATGCAATGTTCAATAGAGGGTTCGTCTCGGGTCGGGAGGGGGTATCACTGGCGCCCTCTCGCGCGCGTGTTTCAAAAAGAGGTGGTGACGGTTGATTTGACGGGATGATTGGCCGGACGGACGGCAATTGAGTTGAGACTTGCAGAGAATTATTCCAATGTTCCAATTGGAAGAACTGAAAGGGAGTAACAATGATCGAAGCAAAGGCGCGATAATCTTGATCAATTATCCTTCCACAATTCCAAAGTTGGATCTTGACTTGGAACGGTGATGGAATGTTGGCTCGAAAAACATACCACAAGTGCTGTACACGACGCTGAGTATAAGCTGACAACCTCAACTGCTTGCTTGACATTGTTCGGCAAGCAGCAGATTGGAATAGATCTGGGTTTCTTCTAAACACTATTCTCGCTGCTGCGAATTCTCACTGCTCCCTTGTTGGCCCCCAAGAATAGGAATAGGAATCACCGCCTAGCTGCACGTACTTTATATTGCGGCAACGTCGTTGGTATGGCACGGTATGGGATAGGGTACCATTGACAATACTATTTCCACAACAGACCGTTGCAGCTACATACATACCACTCCCGTCTTACCACACCACATCAGTGCAGAAGCATTACCTGCTTGCTACTGTACCTGCTACCAACTCATGCAAGTCATCTTCCGTCTTCCATCTTCTGTACCTAGCATCACCATGATCATCATCATCAACTGGCCAACTGGCCGACTGGGTAGGTTGGTGGGTAGGTATGTCGTGACACCCACCACCTTCTACCCTCGCACTCATTGCATCGTCACTCAAGTCACCCAAGTCAGATGCTTACACTAGATAGATGCCTTGCGTACATTGGGGCCTACATAAACAGGTAACATAGGTAACATAGGTAACGCGGGGAAGTGGGAAAAGATCGAAGCCATCGAAGGAATCGAATCGACGGGATCTCTTTCTTGTTTCTTGGTCTACGTATGTCAGACTTTTGTGTCCGTTGCCATTTGCTATCGGTATGGAATCGCGAGTTCGACACCAACCACCACTCACTCATCATGGCATTACACACCTCACGCGGCTCGGTTCGATTGATCTTGTCTTCCATCGACACTACCTGATAGGTACTCGACCTAACCCACAGAGATGGGTATCTCTCGAGCGACCCTATCTATCTATACTCGCACCACGAGGCAATGAATGCAGTGTTATTATTGATTTGTGACTGCGTTAGACCATGAGCTCGTAACATCTGCTCCCGCTGACAACCGTTCTCGATAGATATGCAAACAACCATAACGGTGACCCAAGTCTTCTTACAAACGTATTACTCGAGTCTTTGACGTGTCACTCGCGGGTGGGGCAGGCGTCTAGACCCCCAGTCGACTCCAGTCGACTCCCGTCGAGTTTTTGTTGAGTACGAGATACAAGACATGAGATACAAAAAAAATGCCTGGAAAAGTCCTCTGTGCCCGATGGTGTGGCACTTGGGAACCCCCAATGGGATTCCCGTGCGCCCGTTTCTGTGCCACCTTCAAATTAGTATTTGTTGGCGATGGCGATGGTGAGGCAGACATACCGTTACCCACTTTCCCACTATTGGGAGATTTGAGATTTGGTCTGGATGAGTACCTACGATCCTTTTGCTTTCGGCGCCGCGTGTCAAATATTTGGGGGCTTTTTGGGTGTTCAGTAGGCCAGTTTTGGTGTGTTCAATACTTCAGCTTTGAATTGAAAATGAGGCTTGCCACATCTTGATGTACTAGAAGTCCCTCCAACAAAGAAGATATGGCACATGAAACTGGGATTTTGAAGACCACTAGGTATTCAGTTTGGTTTCGAGAGATTACATACGATGCTCTCGTTGAGGCTGGAAGGCCATCCATCATATTCTCAACTATTTGTGGCCTTGAGGGTCTGTACATACCTCTACAGTCTAGACTTAGATTTCACTCCTCAACAGCAAAAGGAACCATAATAATTTTCTTACTCGAATATAAGATGATATAGCCGTTCATAATCCTGATAACATGCAAGCCTTAAAAGTTATATTATATGCCTCTCACCTCCCTCCTACCTGCTTCCTACCTTTAGACAATAAATTGTTCCCAGCATCGTCGCGCCCTCCACCTGGACGTACTTGTCAATACTTCCTCACGACAAACTACCCAACCCGATAAAACCTTTCACTCTAATCATGCCTCACACTTCAGCTATACAAAGATTTATTTCTGATACTCCAGGTTTCAGATCAAGCACTCACTCCGAGGCTGAATGGTGGAAACAATGGCCATTGATAAAAGTGTCAAAAAATCCGGGGAGGCAAACATTGTACCCCCCTACCTGATCAGGAAGAGAAAAAAAAACCAGTCAAGCCGCATGCATCATTTCTCACATTCGATTCGACCACTCACGACCTCCATCCCTTTGTTTGGTGATTGCTTATTTGGGCCTGTCTCTCTTCGTTGCTTTTTCCTCTCTAAGCTCTAACAAGCAGCAAAAGCAACCACAAATAGTAAGAGGGGGCTTTACATGATGTGAGCAGCCCGTAAAGTGACGAGAAAGGAATTCTGCATGGTTTTCTCCAAGATATCATATCGTTGCTAGATAGGTAGGTATTGTCTAAAAGCAATCATGACTCCTCAAACAACTTGTGTAAGCAGCTGTCACCATACCTAACCACCATCGCTACCATTACCACGACCATCAAGCATCCATCAAGCACCCATCACGTCCAACTATTTCTTCATTTCTTTAATTTTGTGCTATTGACTCTGAGTCACCAAACAACCATCAGTCAGCTAGTTGACAAGTTTAATCTCGCTGCCATGTCACTGCCATGAGCCGTACGAGAGAGGGAGACTTCAGCTTTTCATGCTTTCACACTTTCATGCTTTCATGTTATCTTTTCTCCTCCTCCGTCGCTTATTCTCCAGAACTCATTCAACCCCCAATCCATGCTTTTCAAATTCAAACCACCCGAGCGCTCGGCCATTCATCATATTAACACATGCATACTGTACCTACGTATTTGACTCAAGACAAAGTATCAACACAATTTTCTCTCTCGCGATCAACGGCCGAGCCGGTAGATCCCATCATCGTGGTTTTCTTATCAATCCCCGTCCTCGTACAGTAGCACAACTCATCTCGCCTTCCCCCATGTTTGTCCCAAGCGGACGGAAACCAGCAGCTGTCAACATCAACTTGTAGATTGCCCGCTTGAGTGCGTATGCTCGGATCCGAACGGGGCAAATATCGGTAATCAGCAGCAGTAAAGGCGAGGTGGCAGTGACTAACTGTCTTGCGTTGTCAGTCTGTTGTGCGATGTGATCAAACTAGACACTCGTTACTCACTCACGCCACCGTAGTTGTGATAGACCATTCAGGTGTTGGGCGGGCATGGAGTTCACTTTCATTCACTTATAATAGTCCCATCATATAACCTTACTCGCTTCATTGATGCTATGCTAGCTATGTAGCACTCGTCCTCGTTCTCACTTCATCATCCCCCTTCTCATTCCATCCATCGCGTGCTGATATGCTTGCTAGCCATATGCTACGCCACTCTCTGATGTACGCCTGGCAGCATTTTGATACCAGACATATCCATCCTCTTCCCCTGCGAGTCATCACCCTCGCATCTCCGATAACATAAATATCTTCTCTCTTGAACACCTCTCCTTCGACACTTCATCATCATCGATGTCAGCCTGCCTGCCTACTTGCTTTAAAGTAGCACAGATCGCACCCAATACCCCTCCTGGTTCATAACGTATTACCCCGATACCGATGGGATTCATCAGCAGCGAGGGGTCAGAGTCAGCCGTTTGCTGACGTTTCGGTTCTCGTTGATCTTCGTCTCTCGTGACGACGCGTCCCTTTCTTCCCCTGGTTACTCCTTCCGCCACCTGAAAGCTGCTTTACTGGATAGATGTGGATAGCCAATTGTGGTGTGAAGCTGACTCCGCTACACCCTCAAGCTCAAGAACAGAACGCTTGGCAAGGAGTAAGAGGACCAAGTCCAACAGTGATTCATAGTAGTGTGTGTGTGGTGTGGTAAGATGGCGTGGCGGAAGGCCGATGGGTAAAGCACACTTTCAAGTGAAGGAAGGACTATATAAATGGCTTGTAAAAAGAGATTATTGATGAGTCGCTCTCAGGTGAGCGTCTTCCAGTAGCTTTAAATGAATGGCAAGCAAAGGCTAAAATGGTAGTGGTAGTTGTCGTGTGTCGCCTTTCTGGTTGTTGGTTGTTAATCTCTTTGAACGCCTGTCGCCCACCCCCGCGTAGCGCATCGCTCGAGCCACTGTTCGACAAGGTGACGTTATACATCACCCTGTTCTCGTTCTGCTTGCTCACAGAAGGTTGACCCGACCAACCTGGCTCGACCCGAGTTACTGGCTTGGCGACTTTATCCTCTATCAAGCCCGACATAACACCCCCATTCCTGCCAGGCCGGAAGGAGCAGTTTATAATCCAACAAGGCAGTGGCCATCAGCAATCCCACTGCAGTCACCCAGCCGACGTGACATGCTGGCGGCCAACGCGCCCTCATTGAGCCCGCTGGTTAGCGAACTTGCCCTGAGGCTGCTGCTGAGGCACAAAAGCAGGCTGCTGGTACTGGACAGCAGGGCTCATTCCATAAACACCGGGCTGACCTTGCTGCGAGCCCTGGTGCACCATCATGGGCGCCGATGGGCGGCCCGGGCTAGGGTATCCGTTCGTGCCGTTCATGGGCTGAGGGGGTACACCGCCAGCCGGGATGAACTGGGGATGTCCAGGATACATCTGGACCTGAGGACCGGCTGCCATCAATTGGCCATTGGGCCCTGGGATGAACTGCGGCTGCATCATAACAGGACCGCCCATGTGGTGTTGCTGCTGGGGCATGAACTGGGGATTGTTCGAAAAGCTGCGGAACGGTCCCATCTGAGGCGCACCGCCAGGCATGTACGGCTGCATCATAGGCTGGCTGTACTGGAACTGACCAGGAGTGCCCTGGGGATAGACCATGGCCGCATGTCCCATCCTAGGCGACGCGAACGACTGTTGGGAGTTTGAGTGCATCATCCGATGATCGTCAGGAGCTGTGAAGGGGACATGAGGGGCATGTCCATGTTGGCCTGGCTGCATCGGCATAGGCGGCATGTGAGGCGACTGCCTCGGGGCAAGATTCTGTGCGCCATGCTGCATGTGGATGGGCAGCTGGTGCTGATGGTGAAACTGAGGAAGGGCATGAGACGGGTTGGGCGTGGCATTGACGGTGCTCGGGACCGGGTTTCTCTCTATGTACTCGGTGTAAGTCATGTTCATCGTAGAGTCGGGCTTCTCGTTCTGAGGATCGGACTGGCGCCAAGTTGGAGCGGTCTCATAGGCTGGGCGAAGGGAACCGTTCTCCTCCCATCTCGTAGCATGATTCTGCATAGTAGGCTTCTCTTCCTTTTCCAAGAAGGCCAAGATATTGCACTTCTTAGGGTCCACGTCCTTGGTCTTACGCCTGATCAGCTTTCCAGGAGGAAGGGCTGAAGCGCCCACAGGCTCGACAACAACGTTGTTGACCGAGGCGCGGGGGCTCGAACCCTGGCTAGGGCCCGCAGGACTAAAGGCAGGGGCGAAGGGGGTAGCGCCAGGTCTGAACTCATGGATCAGAGGGTTGAACTGCTTAGCAGGCGGTGGGACACCACTGGTGCGACGAGCAAAGGAAGGGTCTCCATTGTTGGCAGGGCCGGTGGGCGCAAGACGCATATCAGGACCCTGGGGATGCTGGCCCATATGGGGATGCTGCATCTTGTGCTGCTCAACATTTCGGAGGCGCTGAGACAGGTTGCCTGTCTGCTGGCTCTGGGACATGTGAGGAGGCGGACGGTTTCCGCGGGTGTATGGCTGCTGGTGATAAGCCGCTTGAGGATGCTGGTAAGAGTTGCGCTGACCCTGGTGACGGCTCGGAACGCCGCCAGCTGAACTAGAGTGCTGAGGGGCAGTCGGGCGCGACGCGTTACGGGAATCGGCCGTGGCGGTGGTTGTCGAGCTGGTTTGCTCGGTAGCGGTCTTGCTTGCACCCTCCTTGACGGCACTGGCCTCCTTCGCCTTGAGAGCAGCCTGCTCAGCCTTGATCTTGGCCATTTCCTGGGCGTTCTTCAACGCCTTCTCCTGGATCTCCTTCTGCTTTGCTGGATCCTTGGCAATGATAGAGATAAGGTCAGATGGCACCGGGGTTGAGAGCTTGAACTCGTTATAGAACTTTCTGAGGTCGTTCAACCTGACATCCTTGTCTGCCTTGTTCTTGGCTCTCTGGGCATTCAAGGCACTGCCACGCTGAGCGTTCGCAAATTCCTTGAACGAGTTTAGGAGTCTCTGTTCAATTCCCTGCTGCTTGGTGCTAAGGGTCTGTGCAGTTGCAAGTGCCTTGGTACTAGCCGCGGCCTGAGCCGGAGCGGCACTCTTGTCAGTAGCCTTTGCGTCAACAGCCTTGACTTCAGCTGTCTTCACATCCGGCTTAGAGTCGACCTTGGAGTCCGCGGGGGTGCTGGCAGGAGCGGGCGATGTCTTGGTCGATTGGACGGAGCTCTTAACATCAGGAACAGTCTGTGCAGGTTGCTTCTGCGGGGGTGCCTTCAACTGAGACGAGATGATAGCCGGGTCTACAGGAGCGCCCTTGACGGTAGAGTGCGCGGCAGGAGCACGCCGGGCAGGAGGCGTGTACTTGTTCTCTCGGCCGCCAGACAGGGGAGGGAAATCTTGTCTCCGAACACCACTGTACCTGTTTTATTCGTTAGTCGGCCCTAGTACCCCGTTTTCTTCTTCACGCCTGTGACTTACTTGTCTTCCTCGTCACGATCATCTCCGCCCTGGAAGTCCATGACACGCTCCTCAGCCACGTGTGCGGTGACGGGAGCACTGCGCTCAATCTCACGGGCCTTGCGCTCCGCAGCGGCCATCCTCTCCTTGTATTGGGGGTGGCTCTTGTCGATTGTCGTGGTATAGATGTTTTCGTCGTAGTCAGTCCTGAGACCGAAGAGGCGCTCATTCGCAGCGAACTGATCCCATTGACCGGAAGCGTTGGTCTTCTCCAAGCTATCATCAAGCCCATCGGTAGAATCGGGCACCCAGCGTTGCAGAGTTCTCTCTTGGAAGCGAGAGTTGGAGATGGCGGCATCGGTACGGAAAGACGAGCGATTGCCTGTAGAATAGTTATGTTAGTCATGAACGAACAAGCAGGGATAACGCAACCGGTTTGTCCCATACCGTTGGCAGGCTTGCTGTCGGATTTGCCCAGGTTGTTGATCAGGATAGGACGCGCGTCCATGATCTCCTTCTTCTGGAACGTCATGGTTCCTTGCTCCTTTCTAGAGCTCCGTTCATTTCGGCCGAGTTGGGCAGCTTCTTCTGCGTTACCGTAGTCAGGCGGCAGGTGTTGGGGTCTTGGGTGCTGGCATAAGTACCCTCGAACTCGGAGCCGTTAGCGAGGGTAATGCGTACTCGTTGGCCCTGAAGATGGTTTGAGTAAGCGTCAGACTGTGTGCAATGGCAACCAATGGAAGAAGAGCGGGTAGTCCATGTAGCAAGAGGCGGATGGCGCAAGTGACATTCGGTGTCGTGGACGGCGGCCATGGTGGAGCAGCTTGTTGGGCTAGGGGAGTAGGGTCCGCCAAGGAGCTATGTCATGGATGTCATGGATCGCGAAAAAGGGGAAAGAAAACAACAAGCAAACAAGAGTGACAACGAACCTCGCGAAGGGAGCTGGTCACAGGTTTCTTATCCTGTGCGCTGAAGTTGTTCTGCGGTCTGGCGGACTGGCCGGTGATGGGGTTCTTGGCCGAAGTCCAGGCCTTTTGCTGGACGGGAGGGGCAGACTGTCTGTGCGGATGTCAGTCTAGAGTTACGGCGCCGAAGGGGGTTTGTTCGTCAAGCGGGCAAGAGCATGGCAATGGGAGGAAGAGATGGGAAGAAAGATGGTTCCGCGACGACAATGGAAGTCGATCTGGAGGTGGATCCCAAGGTCCCGTCTAAGGGGTCTGACAGGATGGATGGGCAAGCGTGATGACGGGGGTCGGGTTAAGGTGTGGCTTTGTTGTTGCATCGGTGTGCAGCTGCCGTAAGGATTGGGGAGCGACGGGCAAGGCGGAAGGGCAAAGGCAGTGTTTGAAGGGGCAGGAAGGGTACAGAATGGTATCTCACCTGTTCTGCTGGCTGGAAGTAGCCGGCACTGCGTCCGATGTCCTGGCTCGTTGCTGGTCTCCCAGCTTGCTGCTATAAAGAGGCCGGGTCGCGGGGGACTTGACGTCGGGCGTCGACGACTGCGATGGGGTCGAGGCTGTGGTGGTCGCGGGCTTCGCGGAAGCTGGGCGGTTCTCCATGCTGACTTCCTGCGATTGGGGTCCCAGCGAGGGTCACTGGTCTCGCAGTGTTGTTGCACCTTCTTCGTCGGGGAGAGGTGTTGGAGATGTGGAAACGACCACTTTTTGGCCGTGGTGAGAGGAAGGGTGCGGCGGGCGGCTTTGATGGTGCGGTGCGGTGGGTGCGGCCAGCGGGAGCGGCAGGAGGCTAGGGGGACGCTCTGCGGTCGGGGGTGTTTGCACCAATTGGACGAATCAGAATGATGAGTGCTCGTCCGACTGGATCAGTGTCGACGAGATGGATGTGCACCAGCAAAGCAATGCCAGTGAGAGTCCCGCTGCGTCGACAGGACAGGCCCGAGTGTCTTTCGCGTGGAGAGACGTGGAGGGGTCCAGTAGTGATGGCGGGTTGGGGTCCAGTCCGTCTGGGGTTCCGTCGCCGCTTCGGGCTGTTAATTGCCTGCTGAACACTCAAAAGGTGAAGCGGGCTAGACCGTCAGACCGTAAGATCGTGTATTCGGTCTGTAATTACGCAAGGTGAAGGCTTCGTAAGTAGACACCCGGTTCAGAGTGCAAGGGCGAGTCTCGTGAGGAATAGAACAACGCCGCGTAACGAGTGCATCCAAGTCCTTAATTTCTAACGGCAATTGGATTTCGAAGTCGTGCTCGGTCGGACTCGAAAGGTCGTCTGGTTGGATTAGGGGGTTGAATGGGGGCGTCGCTAAAATGCAGAGGTAGGAAGTACTGCTTGTATTGATGTGAATAGTAAGTAAGCTTCGACCGGATCTCGTCGATGGCGGGGTGATGAGGCACGACTATGCGGCTCTCAGCCCAGAAGACAAGGAAGGGATCAAGGCTAAAAGTCCTGATGATGGTAAGTATTAAAAGAGCCGACAGGGGAGGGGAAGAAGGACTGCTGCGATCGATATGAAAAGCGATCAACAGCGGTGGTGGGGGAGCAGGGCGGAAGGAGAGAAAGAAAAGGAAGCTTGTCAAGGGGAATTTTGGCGGGACCCAAAACCCTGGGCGAGTGTGGAAAGCGGACGTGGATTGGCGGGGAAGGTGTCGAGCTCCCGTCTTGTGAAGTGCAAGTCCAGAATGGTGGGCTGCTTAGGTCTGATTTCCTAACAGCAAGTGAATTGTATGAATGTCCCTTTCGCTGGGCGGTGTTGCACGGCCACACCAACGGAAAGAACCCGTCTTGGCTGTCACAATTAACTGATATAATAAGTTTGGAAGCGTTCGCTAGACATTTAAAAAAAAAATTATAGAACAAAACATTTGATGTGTGCTTTTGAGAGTACCCGACGCATGCAATACCGGCAGCTCCTGTTGACGCAGACCACGGGCGGTCGGCCCCTTCGATGTCCGGTTGAAAAGAGATCAAAATGTCCATCCGAAACCACCGCAAGCGCAAAGGCCAAACCCAAGTCCCGCCTTTTGCATTGTGGCACGCGAAGCAGTCAGAAGGAGGTTATCTTCAGAATCATAACTGGGTGAGTGTTACAATACTACCGTTGAGCCAAGCCATCGCTCAGCCGACCCTGGGCAAAGAACAACCTGGAACAGCTCAAGCTTCGATCTTAAGTCGGGAGACGGTCTGGAAGAACAACCTCAAGAGAAGCACGGACCCTCTGCCTGGGTTAAGAGAACAAGTGCAGGCTGCGAGTTCTTCGCTGAGAGGCTCTGTATCTCTAACAGATGCCCTTAAATACACCACTACTACCCCTGTGTGCTCCAACTATTTCAGTGCCTTGGTGTGCACCTGGGTTGTTTATAGGGAGGAATTGCAGAAGTCTAACATACCACTAACACCATAATGTGCCGTACACATTCGTCGGCTTGGAACCAACGATCAAGCACGTGATCCTTCCCGCCTTTATGTTTCCACTCAAGCTTGGGGCACGGTAACTTCACATTCACCTCGAGCACATTCCATTCACGCTGCTGTTGGCGCGGCCAACATCATCTCCTCTCTGCCAACTGCATACCGTATAATTCTGGGGGATAGCTTTTCAACACCCTAGGAAATCTCTTCTTAAACCCAAACCTTAAGGCACCTAATGCAGGGTTCAAAGAGGGATTCCCAAGATTGTTGAAAAGCTATCCCCCGGAATTATACGGTACAATACATAGCAGAGCGTAGATGCATGGCGGGAAGCCTTCTTCTTTCTCCGTCTTACAGGATCTCCAGTCGGCGCTACCGATAAATCCGGGGTACTGGTGCACTTAAAAAAAAAACGATTGCTATGTCCTGACCTAAGGAGCCACCCCCGACGTCGAGGTCCTCCATGTCAGTGACGGTGCCCCTGCAATTTCCGGAATGACTTACACGAAACAAATGATCGATTTGACACCCCCATGGAATGGATGTATGGAACAAGATCGTGAGACCATGCCACCTTACATACCTGAGGAAAAGTTCGAGATCTCTTCCATGCAGATATAATTTTATTTTCAATGTGTTCACATGTGCTGCGGTTTTGATACATACAGTGACCGGGACCGCCATCTCGTCGGCCTACATAGGTAAGCGCTCATCGTTGACGTTTTTGCCGTTTTCGTTAGAATTCTGGATAGCAACGAACTCTTAAACACCGTATCCGCTTCGCGAATCGCAATACCTTTAACCAGTGCCCGCTAGGTACATACCTAGAGGATTTACCATCCTGTCCACACCTCGTGGCTCTCTTGGTCAATCCTTGTTTGAGGCAAACTGTAGTAGCAGATGAAAGCGACAGACGGTCACTTGTCTCAACAGTGCAAGACCAAAATGATCTTTGCGAAGCCGGAGGAGAAGGGGAGCTCATAGAGCTCATGGAGGGACAATATCAACATCAACAGCAAGCAGCGTCGGGTGGTGATGTCATTGCGCGCTTATATGTTTTTCACCTCTGCATTCTTTTAACCATACAGACCATAGCCGCGAATTTACACTACTACTGTCGTTTGGCATACTTTACCGTTCATCATCATCATCATTTTAAGTGAGGTAGCCTCGTGGCACAATCCCCAGACCTCTCTCTCTCTCTCTCGGAGGGAGGTCTTAGCGGGAGATCGACGACCACCATACACCTCTGCATGGATATAAAATGTTAGCGTGTTTTTTTGGTGGTGGCGAGAACTTTAAATTTCACACAAGAAATCTCTGGTCCAGCTAGTAATTCACCCCTGTTTCCTGTTTGGTCAAGGTACCAAGCTAACGTTTTACATCCATGCAGAGGTGTACACTAGATGGCATGGCACCCGACCGTTCGGCTCTCGTGATCCGTTCATACAAGTGTGATCTTGGCCGTCCTGGTGTTCCTGCAGGTACGCTTGATCGGTCGGATCTTGCGTAGCTTTCACAATATCGCCTCCTTTCTCCGGTTTGAGATGTGATCTACCGACAAGGAGGGTATCGAGGATTTGGATATGATGCAGTTCTTTATGGTGAACAGTATCCCATGAATTATGTTTGTGCTCCAACAGCAAATTGAATTTGTCCAACTACCGTGATATTAATGGCAACCAGATAGATAAAGTGAGTAGCAGACAAGGAGCCCATTGACAGGACAGGATGACATTTAGATCGCGAAGGACATCAACTTCAGAGAAGACCAACCAGAAAAAAAAAGACAAAAGGGACGAGGAAGTGAATAGTGCAAGGTCAACTGAACGCAATGAGCCAAAAAAAAACACAAAAGATGAGGTCGTGCCCGGAATCGAACCGGGGTTGCCGGAATATTCTGATGGAATTCAGAATCCGGAGTGATAACCGCTACACTACACAACCGGTTAGGTTGTTTGATATTTATAGTGGCTGAACCCAGTACCTATAAGCTCCACTCTAATCCACACCTTCCCCACGCAACACCAATCGATAAGAGAACATACAACACCACTGCAGGAAGACACTCCTTGCTTTGCACCACTTCCGGTGATCGCTTCGATGTTTATATACTTTCTTTCCTCCAACCGACTGAAAAGTTCTAAACTACCTGACGTTTCGTCCCTCACTTTGCCGCCGCAATCTACCACTTTCACCCCCTACTAGAACGCCGAGGACATCCCAACATCTTATCTCCCAGATCTGCCAAACAATCTGATCTCGATGTGACCTACAATAGAATAGGACAACGAGACCATGCCTGTGGTTGAAAAAGGGCCTAACGAAAATTTACACCACGGAAGAAGTATCGGTAAACTTAAAGTATCCATCCACTTAGTACCTGTAATATCTTCCGCTTCGCTGCGATATTATCACGGCCTTTTTTTATATTTCTACTAACTAGGGCGCTTGTTTCCCTTCCGGTTGGAAAGCGCGCAAATGTACCCTATGTTCCTTGAGCGCTTAAAGAAGGACAATATTTCTCGGGCGGCTCAGAAATGTGGCACGAGATTGAGAACAATGGTCAACTGATGGATCAAGCGGAATGATAACCTATAGATTTCTTCGGCTTTCGAAAGACAAAGGAAACAAGCATTTAGCCGCTTTCCCGACAGAGGCAGAGCACGTGAGCCACTCTACCTTACAAACCGGGCTGGCTTTTGGTACTTGAAAGCGCCAAGGAGGTGAATCATATGCCCTACTACCTATGGATCTTAAACGCTGGAAATGAACTTGATTTGTATAGTTTGCCTTCCTTGTATCAGTTAACCTAGGTGATGAGTATTTGTGAAGGATCCAAGTGAATCCCCCCTTTTCATACAGAATCCAAGCAAAAGGGCCCGTGGCCTGGGTAATTCATCCTTGAAGGCTGAAACCCCATGCCACCCATGGTCATCCTCGCTTTGCATGCCTCGTTAAGGAAGAGAAGGCGGGAAGGATCATGATTACCCGCACATCTCCAAGCTCTGATACTTCCGGTACCCAGCGCTGTTCGGGGCAATCTGAGGCTGAAAATACGCCACATCACATCACAGCCCGCTTCACGCTGGCGCATAGCGTATGCCTGGTACCTAGGTAGGCGGGTTGTGAAACCCACTGCGGTCGAGGTTGACTACCTCAGGATGGAGAATGGACTCGGGTGCTGAGCCAGCCAGCCTTGTGACACCATAGTGACCGAGCATCTGTATCAGCGCATGTGAGCCAGAAACACATGTGAGGCAGTGGAAGCTCCATCAAGGCAAGCCTCTGGAGATAACAGAGCACAATGTAGAGAGCAATGAGAAAATAGAAATTGTCCCAAAAACCGAGCCGCCAACGGCAAGCCCCATTAAGATTCAAGTGTGGTCTAACTGTAGGTATATGCAGAAGATGAAGATGATGGTGAAGAAAGTGTGTGTGTAAACCGAGCCCGACAAAGGGGGGCTCATGCAGTAGTAGGTGAAGAAGAAGAAGAATAAGAAGTCCATCCATCCATCCCATGAATGATGCCCAAGAAGTGAAGTGGGTAAAAAAAACGCCTTTTGGTTCCCAAACCGGTATAGTAGGTATTCCCGATGTAAACCACCCATCCATTTGTCCGTCCGTCCCGTATCATCCATCTGGTCATTCGAGTTGGTCATCATGCATCGAAGTCAAGGAATATGCGAGTCCCATCCTGAGAAGTCATCAATGCCAACCAAAACCAACCAGTCCCGTGTATACCCAAGCCAAATAACCAAAATTACTACCCATCATGACCATCATTGCCTTATGGTCATGGTCATGCATGCAGGTGCTTAGATGGCAAACCCAGCAGCAACAACCAAGCCAATAACGACCATGCCGAACTCGCTCTTGCGATCCAAGGCGCCGTTGGTGGTGCCGCTAGCCGAAGGGACAGCACCGGTGGACGAAGCACCACCGGCCTCGGAGGTGACAGTAGCAGTGACTTCCTCAGTGCCCGCTGAGGGCTTGGTGATGAAGGTGCTGTTGGAGTAGATGCCGCCGGCACTGCTGGAGATCACACCTCCAGTGCCGGTGGGAAGAGGAGCGGTACCGGTGGAGAGGATGGGAGCGGTAGAGATAGGGGCGCTGACGGCCACGGAAGTGCTGTGGGCGGAGTGGTCCTCGGTGCCGTGGGCAGCGGCGAGGCCGGCGAGGGTGGAGATGAAGAGAGTCTTGAACTGCATTTTTGCTGTTTGTTTTGGTTGTTTGGTGGAAGAGTTGTGTGGTGTTGAGTAGCTGGTTATATGCTTCTTATGTTGATATAGCGATTGTGTATATGCCTGTCTGATAGTTGAACAAGACCGGGTGGAATCGTTGTTTGATTATTTGAATCGAAGTCGTGTGGTTTTAACGAGTGTGTGTTGGTATGACCAAAAATAAGAAGCGAGATATCAAAGGAAGAGAGCAAGACAGAATCTCAGCTTCATTGCGGCACACAGCCCGTCTTTTAATACGAAGTCAGGAAGCAATAACAATGTTTGCCCGGTCATCTGTAAACGGTCTGGACCTCTGGACCGCACATGCTCACTCTGATGATAGGGGGAGCGGACGCAACAACAAACAAGGGTCGACCCCCGTATCAAGGAGGCCGCATTCATGTTAATCTCGGGATGCAAACATCATGGCGTCCAATGTTTCTCCCGCGTTCAAACTGACAAAAAAAGAAACACTGACTGGTGGGCTGGAGCGGAAGGGAACCCTGTGATGGGAGTGTGGTGTGTGGAAACGGAACCGGCGTGATGCAGCCAGCCGCAAAAAAGAGGACAGGGGGGTGGTCAGGAAGCGGACAATGCGAAAGCCCACACAAGCCCCTTCACTTCAGCGGTCTCAGTGGTTGCATCTCAGTCAGTTCAATGCAGGCCGCGTGTGTCCAGTCGTTCGAACACGGGAAGATTACCTGGGGGTGTGGGATGCTTCAACAAGGATGCGTACGCGATCCCTCGAACGCCTCAGTGGTCCTCCTCCGGTTAGCAAGCAACCACAGAGTGAAATATGATTGGAGCCCGGTTTAGTGCTGCTAGGACAAAGGCAACGTTGAGAGGGCCCCCTTGTCCGCATGGCCTTGTGTGGCTCTAGGGAATTCGATGGAGTGTTTCGAAAGTTGAAACGGATTGCCATTGCATGTTTTGACGTCTTTTCTCTGAGATTTGACGCAGTGAAAAGGGGGCTTAAGGGAGAGTTCCAGATTCCGTAATCTAGATTGCGCGGCCTGGAAGGAATGGCCTTGCAAGACACAGCTTGTGACTTTTGACTTGAGGCTGTCAAGACATCTTGTGCACCTTTTGCCATGTATAATGGAGGCACAGCTAGGCATAGTTCTCTTTTATCCAGATCATCACTGCGGAGCATTTCTTTTTTGCTCAAGTGTAGGGCGTTTGGATGGCGGCAGAATAGCTGCAGGTCCGCCAGCCATTTTGGATCATATATGCAGTGCCACGATAGTGATGCGACCCGGTCAACGTTATATGGGCGCAAAAGGGTGTGGAATAGATGGCTACTTGCCTGTCAGTGGTTCGACGGGATGATGTTATCTTGATGGTGGATGATCACCACATTGGAGCGGCAGCAGCAATACGAGCAAAAGCAACACTCGTGCTTTGTGACTGAATCTGGATGCTATTGTCGTAGGAAAGATTGCGATAGTCAGACACTCTTTGAGTTGTAGGATGGGCTGGGTGGTGGCCTCGGTGGCGTTACCGAGTCACTCGAAGGGTGGCAGTGACAGGATCGCTGGGCTGAGCTGATGGAGGGTGGCCACGTTTACCCCTAACCCTCAACCTTCTGAAGTAAGGATCGCGATAGGATGATGTGTCGCCTTTTGACCACTGGGTCGTACGACCGTCCATCAGTGTCGAGTCTGACAGAGAAATAGATCCGAATGTAACTGTGTGCAATGAAAATAGAAATTCGAGAAGGACGGTGTGCCTCGAAACGAGTGGCATTTGTTTTTGGGCTGGGTATGGAACGCAAGAGAGGTATGACGGTGGAATGGAACACTGAACAGAACGAGCTGCCGAACATCGACCCCGAACTGGAGGTGTCAGTTCTGTTCCAGTACCCGGGAAGACGAGGACGGTTTGGCAGGCCTGACTTGGCCATTCTGACAACACCTGAATTCCGACAAGGCGCAGGTGACGGCGAATCCACGACTTCTTGAGGACGGAGAAAGCTCAAAAACGAATATTCGTATCCTCAGCAACCTCATCGGTCATCGGTCTCACGACCTTTCGCACCACCGAATTGACGACAAGCCCTAAAAAGCCATCTTACCATCGTCGGCTCGTCTTCGCCAAAACTTCGGTAAAACGCGCGGATGAACAATCTCCATGCGTACGAACTCCGCCTGCGCGGGCGGGATGTGCGAAAAGAATGTGGAAAAAAGGACATGGAAGGAAGAATTGCAAACGTGCGAATGACCTCTTTGTTGCCATGGCCAAAAGAACAAATGGCGGCGGCGGACGAGAACGGCTTCCACGGGCCGTGATGGCTCAACTTCGGGAGACCGAATGCACTTCCGCGATGCCGCCAAGACCGCGGCGGTGTGGGGGGGATGACCCCCCATTGACGCTGTACAGGAAGGGGGTGTTCCCAGTCAACTGTTCCTGACCAACTGGCTTTTTCCAAATATTACAAGAGGCTTCTACAATAAATAAATTGTAAATGGACTGTTTAAAAGGCTTAGCGTTTGAAATTTGCAACCGTTTTAATTTTTTTAATAGTATATCAACCGTCTAAAATTATCACCAATTTTCAATGATTAAATATTAAAAAGTGCTTGAACTATTTATTTATAATAGATTAAATACAAGTCTTCTTTAAGACGTTTATTTCTCAAAACGTTAGCGGATTAAGTACATTTTTTAAAACTTGGTTAGTTATAAACGAGTGGGAATTTTCTCAAACGTTTAACACCTATAGATTTATTGTACACGAACGTTGGATAAACGTTTGCTAGACCTCCCTTTTTTTTGTATAGGACAATGTCGCTTTTCCTAGCCTGATTCTTGGAAAAAGCTTGAATGTTTGGCAGTTGCGGTTCTGGAAGCTGCTGTTTTCAGAAGAGACTTTTGAAGGAATTTTGAGGTTCTTGACAACCTACCTAACTGCTTGCCACTTAATATTTCAGCGGACAGCGGGTTTGTTTCCGACTTGATGAACAACACCTTGAGATTTCTCCTCTTTCTATTTACGACTTTCATAGTTTGAAAGGGTCGTAAGCTTGACGACGCATCGCTGAAATCAGGACCATACAGGCAAGGAAAGATGTTGACAAACTACAATCCCTACCGGTGGCCCGGAACATTAACTTTCAGTGGGAAAAAGGCCCAGAAATCTACCTCATTACGTAGCATTTTCGCCTTCTTTGAATTTAGGCTTGGTGTTCTGGTTGGTCAATCATCGCCAATCTGTCCCCAAACTCGACCCCAACCGCTCCAACCACTTCAACGACGACCGCCGCTATCGACGCCGCCTCCGGCTTGGCTACTAGCTACCAGAACGGACCGCTTGATCTTCGGTTGATTGTTTACCGTTGTTCGGATTTTCCATCACACACAGACACACCCCCATTCGTCATCTTTCTCCAAGCAAAGTAATTGTAATGTCGTTATTGTAACTCCGCGCATACCTCTCTCTACGTACCGACTATCCATCCCCCTCGAAGACCCCGCGTTCACAGGGCAAACCTCTCGTCACTTCCATCAACGCACAACTAGCCTGACACACCTACCGCCCAGTCTCGTAGGGGTTTCCGGGCCGTGAACAAACTCAAACTGTTTCCACGAAAGAAAGAAGAACCAGCCTTGCAAACTAGGAAGCTGGCGGTTGATTCTCGGACTATCGTCGGGTATGGACCAGGCAGACCATGAGGGGTGAAGCATCGTGAAGAAATTCGAGTACAAAAGGCTGGGACTTACCGTAGCTTTCAAGTTACTTGAATAAGTCAAAGTATCGGCTTGAGTTCCAAATATCTTTACCGACGGTTGCATGGGGGTATTGGAACCTCAAACATCGAAACAACCAACAGCCCGGACGGGTACATCAAGCCCGAGACTCCTCTTGTCACATTCCTTCCTTCGACGCTTTAACTATTTTATATCGTCACCATTCAACCCCAAAAGACAACCACAACTATCACGCCCAACTCTTTCCAAGGCCACAATGACCTCCTCAACCCTCCCTCCTCCCTCCGACCCGGAGAAGATGAATCACCAACCCCACAACATCCAACCAGCCCCAACAATATCCAACACCGACCACAACCATGACCCCGAAAAACCTACTGCCTTCCCGATCGAAGGAGAGCCTAAACAAACCCCGACCAAAGATGATGCCAACAGCGGCACAGACAAAACCCCATCCGAATCACCCTCACCCCAGCAACAACCCGACCACGACGCCAACAAAACAACCTGGAACGCCTCCCGCACCTCCATCGTCCGCTTCCTCCTAATCTGCTACTCCTTCATCCTAATGGGCATGTCCGATGGCGCCATCGGCGCCCTGATCCCCTACCTGGAGACCTACTACTCCATCTCCTACACCGTCGTCTCCTTGGTCTTCCTGTCGCCCTTCATCGGCTACTTGCTGGCTGCTTTATTCAACAACCTCATCCACCACCACTTCGGCCAACGAGGCGTTGCCATCTTGGGCCCTCTTTGTCGATTGATTGGGTTCATACCCATGGCCTGTCACCCACCTTATCCCGCGCTGCCGGTGGTGATGTTATTCACTGGCTTTGGAAACGGGATCGAGGACTCGGCGTGGAACGCGTGGGTGGGAAACATGAAAAAGGCTAATGAGTTGTTGGGCATTATCCACGGGTGTTATGGGCTGGGAGCAACGATTGGGCCGTTGATTGCCACGAGCATGGTGACGAAGGGCGGGCTGGAGTGGTACACGTTTTATTATGTGTTGGTCGGGGTGAATGGTGTTGAGCTGCTGGCGATGACGGCGGCGTTTTGGACGGCGACTAAGGAGGTTTATCGGGCGGGGATTGCGGAGTCCGAGTCGGAGGATGTTGCTGATGATGTCGATGAAGAAGGTGCTGCTGGTGGAGGAAACGAGGGGGGCAATAAGCGGACGACAACTCGCACCGTCATGCGTGATCCTATCCCTTGGATTGTCGCCATGTTCTTGCTGGGTTACGTCGGCGCCGAGGTCTCGCTGGGCGGGTGGATCGTGACGTTCATGCTCAAGGTGCGGCATGCGGAACCCTTCAATGCTGGGCTGACTGTCACCTTCTTCTGGCTGGGACTTACGGTGGGCGAGTGTTGCTGGGCTTTGTCACGGGTCGTATCGGAGAGAAACTCGCTATCACGGGGTATCTCCTGCTGTGCATCGCGCTACAGCTGCTGTACTGGCTGGTGCCGAGCTTCGTTGCCTCGGCCATCTTTGTGTCATTCCTGGGTTTCTTCCTCGGTCCGCTGTTCCCTGCGGCTATCGTGGCGGCTACGAAGCTGCTGCCACCCGGTTATCATGTGTCGGCGATCGGGTTTGCTGCGGCCTTTGGCGGCGGTGGTGCGGCCATCTTCCCGTTTGCGGTCGGCGCTATTGCCCAAAAGAAGGGCGTGTCGGTCTTGCAGCCTATTGTGTTGGCCATATTGGTGTTTATCTTGCTGATTTGGTGGTTGCTTCCCGGCGGTTTGAAGCCGGGAGGTCTGGAACGGGCGCGGGAAAACAAAGAGAAGGTGGGCGATGAGGTGCGGAAGGGGTTCAAATGGTTGAAAGGGAAAGTTGGGAAGACTCAATAGTCGTTTGCCATTTGTGAATACGGAGTGCAACTGAGGCGGATCGAGTTTCAATGCTCCAGTTGCACGACTGTACTCGTTGTACGAGTATATTTATTGAAATAGTACCTACAAATATGCCACCGCAAGACCATTGCCAAAGCAACCAACTTCCACCATAATTGTCATAGTTCTCACAATGTTACACATTTAGGACCGAAATTGATCTGTCCCGACCGCATTAAACCCTGGAATTTGGTCTAAATGAGACCGGACTGCCAGGGCAATGCATTACACAAACCGGACCGACAAGCAGGTCAACTTCTTGCACTCTTCGGACTGGTGACCATTCAGGCCGTGGCGTTTCTGTCCCTCATGTCGTGATAAAAGCTCCACGTAACGTAGCCTCTTGGGCCCACGCAAACCAGGAAGTCTTCGTCCGCCATTAGCGTAAATGCACTGTTATCGTCAAAGTCATGATTCCTCAACCGATCGTAGGCGGAAGTGATATCGAGGCCGTAGACTGGTTGAATGGAAGGTATAGCTTCGACTCTTTCCGTCAAATATTGTGAGACAACGTTCGAACCTTTGTAACCCGGCATCACCTTGCCCGGCTTTGAGGGTGTATTGGCGAGGCACTCTGTAGAACGGTGTTTGACGGGGCTGAACTCCTTGAGCGGGTTAAGTGACGACGGACAATAGACGGGAAGATCGTCCATCGCCTCCAGACGCTTTGGGCTGTTTAGTTCCGATACCAGTAACATGCAGAAACGCAAGTCATCTCTTTTGGTGGGTGCGCTAATGATTTCGATTTGCTGGCCGCCCCAGCAGGTGAATGAGGGCGGGGACTGACCAGAGTGAGCTATGTTGTGTATGAACGGCGATGTCGAGACCGAGGCTGTCAGGGCGTTAAAGAAGACCGTATACCCAAAACAAATGTCATCTTCATCGTGGTGTGCTGCATTGTTATTGTCCTCATCTTTGTAGAATTCTTTGGACTTGGGAAGTCGCCCCTTTAGAAGGAATTGGCAAATGGCGTAGTTGCCATATTGATCGACCTTGGGCTCACACGTACGAAAGTAGTCACGAGTGGGGGGTTCGAATCCTTCGTCGTTGCGTACCAGAAGCGAGTGACGGAATATGATGTCGAAATCACCTGTACCCCACTCCCGAGTAAGAGAGTAAACCGGAGGAAGGGTTGTACTATGTAACCGTAAGGTCCCATTGTGGTTGAATTCGTGGACCACTAGCTTGACGTTTGTCTCGGATTCGTCCTGGAGAGCAAGAAGATAAAACGTATCATCGAGAAGTGGATGAGGAAGAATACTAAGTATGTCATTCCTTCCCTCGGATACCTGTAGAAGGTCGCCAAGTGCAGCAACGAGAACGCGGTCAATGCCGACTTCAGGGGCCGCGCTGGTGTCAACTTCCCGAATACCACGTTTAAACGTCCAAACATAGACCTCGGAGTCTTTGGTCAAGATGTAAGCACGCTTCCCCTTGGTCCTCACCTGATAGATACCGGCAGATGGAAGAGTCACTGAGTCATGTTCACCCGTCTCAAGGTGCCATGCGTGGCTAGTAGAGAGATTAGTATGCAAGGTATGGAGAAGAAGGTCTGAATGTGGGAACAAACTAGGCCCTGCCTGCCGATACGACGACCAGCTCATCACCCAAGTTCTCTACCCGGGCGGGAGAACCATGGAGAACCACAGAAATAGGAAGTTTGTACACTCTACGTTGTTGAGTTCGCAAATCGTCTACAAATGTGAGAGATGAGAGATTGTCATCAATCCTTTGGGGCATCCAGGCCACTTTTCCATTACAGTATTCAAAACTGCTCCATGGCTTGGGTACATCCGTTCCAGTGGGAATGCGGTCGGAAACATGACTGGAAAAGTCACCGCCTGGAAAGATGTCGTCCCAGTCTTGTACAAGATTGGTAGGTTCCAAGGTGAAGAACCTGTCGCGAGTGAGAGGGTGAAGCCACGGAGCAGGGTTGGAGATGGTGGACTGGAACAAGCCCTGCTGTCTGATACTGAACTTGCGAGCGGCTTGGTAGAGCGAGTTGAGCACGCCTTGGTCTGTATCTTCGGACGATTGCAATGGGTTTCGGTGAGCGTAGAACTGGAGGAAATTGGGCATGTGGTGCTTGGCCAGAGCCCTCACGACATCCCGCTGAGACCACGCCTTTCTCCACGCCTTGGACACGTTTAAAATGTTGAAGATATCCAAACCGCACAAGTACGGAGAGACCCCAACGAGGATATCAGTCGGAAACTGGGAAACAATGTCTACTTGCGCGGACACGCTCTGGAGATGTAGTTTGACGAAGCGCGTTTCCTGTGGCGTGAGACATGAGATGAGGGTTCGCAGGTTGGCCAGCCGCAACCCCACGTCTGGCCCGAGAGCCTCAAACTGTTGAGCAAGCGAATCCTGCATGGCTTCGGGAATGGCTGAGAAAACATCAGAGAAGCCGGCGTCGGGTTGAAGACGTTTGACTCCCCCAATGATTGAGAGTGGTTGATGTTATGTTGGTGGGGAGAAGGTGAAACTGGAATAATTTGCAACGCGTGCTGATTGGGAAAAAGCATTCGTATACAGCAGTGTGCATGTCTAAGGGTTAGGGTTACAGATGGGATTCCTCTTGAGGGGTACTGTATGCAGCCCAAGTCTGCTCGCCTGCAACTCGTCATGGCTGACGAGAGAATGACAAAGTAAACAAGTGGGATGTTCGTGGATATGTTATGCGTGCAGTGTTGGGAAAAGATTTCCAGAAGGGGGATGAATTCCACGGTCTGGAATAACACCGGCCTCGAATTGCTCCTTCCCCTTTCCTCACCAACCAAAGGGGAGGCAGTGAAAAGAAACCATAATATCCATCAACACAGCTCTCCCCATCCATCCACAGCTCAATAGAAAAGAATTTGATCCCTAACATTTCCACCATTACTCGCATCCCTAGCAAGCCATTTCGCAAGCACCTCCCTAGCCAACACTGCCGCCCTCAACGCATACTCCGGCCCCGGCAGCGCTCCGTCCACCGGCAACGGCGGCGGTCCAACCGAAGGATCGCTAACCAGCCAAGCTACAGGCTCTTTGGCAATCCCGGCACATTTTGCTCGCATCTGTTCAGCCTCCTCGACCAGAAAGGCCCGGCCGATAATAACAGCCCGCGGCTGTCTCTCGTACTGGTGTGTTCCCACATTGTTGGGTAGGGAGACTTCGGCTTCTGGAGGCGCATGGCCGGCGAAGATGTGCGGAAGTTCGGCAAGGGCTGCTTCGAGGGATTGGACAAAGTGGATTGCTGTTTGTTGAGTTCTTGTGTCAGAAAGTAGGGTCATGAAGGAATACTCGTCCTGGGGTGAGATAACTCTACGTGCCTTCAATATCCGGCTGCAGGGACTTAGCAACAGTACCTCCGATCTCAACCCTTTTGCCAACGATTACCACGGGCAGAGGCTCTTTGTTTTCTGTAAGTTGTGTGAGAGACATCCTGACTGTTTTCGTGGCGACGTCCTAATGCTGGAGACAATGGTATATATTGACAGACGGAGTCAACGTTGAATCTGACATGGCATCGGGGATCAACAACAATTTAATAGCCTACCATTATCGCCGAGATTGAATACCATCGGACTTTGAAGACGGTGTTAGAATGCTGACTACTCAGTTGATTACCAAGACACGTCCCGCCGACCAACCAGCAGCGGCACATACTGGTTGATGGTTCGGTCTTTCGGTCTTTATCCTGCGAATACCAACTTTCGGCGTTTTGACACCAAGGGAACCGGAGGAAGCCCATCAGAATCCAACAACTCAAACCGGGGGTGCTGTCCGTGTCATAAGCCCACCGGGAGGACGAAAGTGCCACCATGAAAGACAAAGCACACATTTCCACTTTACGGGTTCACGTCAACGTAACTTGAGAAGTGTTTCTCTATGGTAATGTTTATTGGTATTCTAGACAACCGCCAAAGCCTTGAAGGCCCACGACAGAATAATCTCTACTTTAACCTCAAGCTAACATATGCTGAACCTCCACCCAGACCCGATCAAGAAACCGAACAAGGAAAACCAACACGACATCGAAAACGCCACTATTAGCTATGGCTGAAATGCACCATACGACACAACTCCCTGATCGTTGCTCGACCTAACAATGCTGCAAACCTGATCCCGACCAAACAAGAGAAAATCTCAGACAATCCCACTCAACAAGTGTATAAACAAACGCCATAACTATGCTATGATAAACGCCGCCACTTTCTCTACCCAATCGTGTCCAAAAACAAAAGCGCCCCAAATCGGATCAAAACCCTTCCAACGAAAAATCTTTCGTGAATCCTCCATTGAGTAGTACCGCAGCCAGCCTCCGCCTCTGCAGTGTGAGCTGCCCTGCAGTATACGACTTCTTAGGATTGAGCCCAAGCGCGAGGCAAAGAGCATTTGTAATAGTGAAGACGCCACAATCGTACCCGTTGGTTTGACGGGGAGCTTCGTAGTCAATCGTCGACCATTCTGACGCTACCCACTTGTCCTCAAGCGTGACCCTGACCCAATTGAGCAACCTCTCTTTGACCTCGACATCGCCTGCGCCCGCTCGCATTGAATCCAGGTGCGCTACAGTCCGCTTCCCTGGCCGTACAACCGCCAACGTCCAATGTAGGCCACCGCAGATAGGAATGAGGATGGTGTCGATGTCAAAAAAGTTCTCCTTTCTGACATGTGCCTTGCGCATCAGGCGCCCGCACTGGGTTGGCCCAGCATTCTCAAGTCGTGGCCAAAAGTACGACGTGAAAGCAGCGCACTTGGGTTTGGTGTCTTCGGCCCCCGCCGACTTATTGATGGCATCGGCGATATGAGAAATACTGCCAATGATCACATTGTCGTTCAGCCATGCCTGAGGTTCGAGCAACTTCTCAACAAAATCGCGTTTTGTGAGCGGCTGACCGTCTAGAGTCTTGGCCAGTTCCGCGGAAGGGTTGGCATGGAGCACACTGGAGACTTTCTTTTCCCAATCATTGCTGAGGCTTCCGATCAGGGGGTGTTTGGGTGCGCGCAGACCGGTCCGCGAGGCCTGTTCTGCCTCTTCACGGCGCCTCCTGCTTTCCTGTTCTTGTCGCCGCTTCTCCTCGCGCCGTTTCCGCTCTGCTTCCTTTCTGATTCTTTCGGCTTCTCTGTGCCGCTCCTCGACGTCGCGGCGAATACCATCCCCCCACTCGTGGGCCAGTTGGCGGCTAACCTCCAAGTCTTCGAGCTTTTTTGTGGCAATTGCGAGGTCGTTATCAGCCGCTGACTGCTGCACCTGACTGGTTGCCGATGCTTGCTCCAGCAAAAGGCTGGGTTCCTGTTGAGATGCTTCCGAGGTGGCCCCCTCTGTTGCTATGGTATCCTCTCGGTCCGCCTTCCGGAAGAACCGATCGAGAATCGAATTCTTCTCCCCACGTGCCCCTTGAGAGTTCTTTTGGTGTCTGTCGTGGCGGATTCGTTGCAGAATTTGTCTCCGTACCCTGAAGTCGGGCTCCGGCTTTGGTTGTTCCTGAGCGCTGGCTTGGAAATTTTCCAGCATTTCTTGCCGGAGGTCACTAAGGAAAGGACCATATTTGGCCTCGTGAACTCGGAGTCCCATTTCCGCGTCATCTCTTTCAACCTCCTTTTCTGTCCATCTGGTAGGATCCGAGACGGTGAAGCTTCTGCTTTTATCCACCTTTGCAAACCGATGCCGGTTTCTGGCGGCTTGTCCAATGTTTCGGCTCGCATCGTTTTCGTAGTCTTTGACGGAGTTTGAAGCTTCGGTGGGGTGGTGCCACTGCACGTTGATGGCATCTTTGAGGCTCATCACTTGGACGGGTATTTCTTTAGGCGGCGCGTAGCTCGCCACGGGCGCAATAAAGTCGAGTCTTTTGGTTTTATCGGGGGTCGCGACACACTTTGGCGATCCAGGGGTTGGCCATTCTTTGGGCTTTTTGAGGATGCCTTTGGGTTCCAGGATAGGCCGGAACTCATTGACATTGATGGGTGTATGTTCGGTGTTCGGTTGATCGGTAGAGGGAAATTTATATTCCCACCGATACGCAACGTTGAGATCGTTTATGGGAACTTCTTCGAAAGCGGAGTCCGGCCCGGTGGGGAAACTTCCGGGGATTGGCGATGACTCGTTTGCGGTAGGCTTGATGTAACTGGGGATAATTTCGTGCTTGTGGACGGCATTGGCATCCACGAAGACCTTTGATAAAGCTTCTTTGAGCCCCTCCATGCCGTCCATATGATTTTGCAGCAACCACGCGATAAACTCCGCGGCAATTTTGGCCTTTCGATGCAACGTCCTTTCGTGTTTTTCTGGCTTGGCGTATTCCTCATACGCTATTGTTCGCGGTGGGTTCGGAAACAATGCCTTGTACCTATCAAGGTTATGCTCGTTATACATTTCTTCTATCAGCTCGCAGGCTGTGAAGGCGCCATCGAAGTATAAATCTTGTGCATCACGCTGTTTCGTTTCCCGTACCTCTGCGCTGTCGGTAGGAAGCACAGGCCCGATCCTTGGAGTGTCGGTCATGAGTCTGTGGATTGCGATGTTGAGGTCGAGGTCCTCTCCAAGGCTGGGGTCGAAACTCCTCCTGAGGTCTTCAAGTGAGTCGCTGTAGGTGACTTTGGAGCGGTGAATCAAATCCAGGCGATGGTGTAAAACCTGCAAAATGTGTTCGAGCGCATCTCGTCCGATGTAGGAGGTTGCGTCGTCGACCCAGGAAAAACCCAGGAGCTCATTAGGGTCTGCATCCGTTGAAGGCGAGCAGTGTCGTTTCAATCTCTTGACTGACACGATTCCGTTCGCATCGTCAACCTTCCACGTCTCAACGATTTCGTGTTGGGTTTCCCCCTGGAAGAAGCCGGAGATGAAATTCCGGAAATTGGTAAATGGTGTGGCCATCGTATTTAGAGCCTGGGTAGCGAGGGCGAAAGGGTTTATCCACGAGCTTTCCATGGGCGATTCGGACGATGACGCTGGCTCTGGCTCTGGCGGCTCTGGCGGCTCTGGCTCTGACGCTGGCGACTCTTGCTCTCGCTCTGGTGTCTGCAGATGGGAATACTGCTTAGCGTCTCTTCTCGTCTCTCGCACGTCCATGATCAAAGCAGGAGAGAACTTACATCAACGTCAACTGCTGCCGGCAGGACCCTTTTCACCGACTTGGGGTTGATGCCGCTTTGTGAGACGAGCTCAAGCTCGGTGGCCTCTGCGATGCGCTTGCCGTTCTTATTAAGATGGGATCGGCTCAGCAAGTCTTCGTACACTGGCCAATATGGGCACTCGGTGCATGCGCAATGCCAGTTGGGATCCGTTGCTTTCTGGATGACAGATAGGTGCGTCGGATCGTCGTCGCGGATGAAGAATCGTATGTGCCCTGTCCCAGAGAGCAGCGCTTCGGTTTTTGATGTGTAGATTGATGGTAGAGGACAAGAGCAAGTTCCCATGAAGTGCTGGTTGCGAATTGCTACATAGAGCTCACGACCGAAGCGGTCGCCCTCTTGATCTCGTTGTTCACGGAAAATTGGTGATTCTTCTGTTAAAGAAGGGACAATGGGAGTTGACAGGTCGTGATGTGTTGTTAGGGTGTTGCGCCGAAAGCGGCGCGGAAAGTGTAGTCTGACCATTGTAGTGGTCAGTCGCGGTGTTGATGATTTTGTTGTTTGGTGGAAGGAGGAGAGAAGGCAGAGGGGAAGTGCGAAGTGGGGGTTTGACCTACCAGCCCAAGTCTCGGGACTGAAGCTGCGCCTGCTGCCCGTACAATTGATTCAAGTCGCGTCAGGCACTGCGCGCCTGTCCTGTGGACGCGTCTGGCTGTTTGTGAAGGAAGGAGCGACCAGCTCTAGGGTAGGACAGTAGCACTTATATCGCCACAGAAGGAAGGCGCGGCGGCCCGGTGTGGGTCCACTGTTCCTTCCTGTATTCAGCGCTGTAATACCAGAAAAACAGCGTCGCTATGGGGGTTGCCAGTCGGGGCGGCACATCGACGCGGAGTGAACGATTAAAGTTGATGATATCGCCAAACATGTGATGCAGCAAGAAAACAGATGCTTTGGTGTTGAGGCTTGATGTGTGTGAATGGAACAAGACATTCCCGGTCGCACTCCATCCCCGCCGCAACGCTGCAAGAAGCTCGGACGTTGATTGGTGGTAGGCCCGCGCTTCTATTGGTTCTGTGGCTCTGTGGGTCCTGACATGATGGACCCACTACCCGCGCTCCCGCCAGTTTGAGCTTAGCGCCATCAGTCATCAGTGCCCGCCTGCTGCCGGCCACCCATGTGCTGGCATCCTCTCTGCCGTCATCGCGCCTTTTGCAATTCGCGATGGCCGGTGCACGAGCCATATCAATCACGAAAACCAGCTCCCGAAGTTTGGCAACACTTGCTCGTAAAGTAGACGACAAGTTATCCCGCGTGGGCAGACTTACGGTGGCTACTTAATACTGATTAAACAGCGGACTTCCTCAAAGGGTGCCATGTGCGGCGTCAACTTGAATCCGTTTTCGTACACACAGCAAGCAGACTAGGAAGCAAGTGTCTTGAGCCCTCAATCCTTTATTTCTATAGTTCTATAATGTCAAGCACTTCGCCAACGACAAATGAAAGAACCCCGTGCAACGTAGATCCCGCCTAAAGAATATTGAAAAGGCTGCGAAACGACAAAAAGTGACATTGCAAACTTTTCCGGTAGCCAATCCAAACCCAGCGGCCAAACGTCTAAATGCTCAACAAGGACCGGAAATCTTTCTACGAGGAGATGCTTGCAATGCTAAACACATCCCCCGATTGTTTTGTTCATTGGCGAGTTGGCCTAGCAACCGAGTGGACCCACAAGCCGCTCCCCTTGTTGCTGACCTCCCACCCATTATCCCCAAACTCCTCCCCCATCATTATACGTTCCTAAATGGTTCAGAATCGCGTTTATTTGGCGAGCTCTACACCAGCGGTGGCACCGAGGGTCTTTTTCACGTCGCCTTTTAGGGTTAGGGTTAGCATAGGCTTTTGGTGCTACTGGCAGTGTTGTGATAGGAGGGGGTGGTAGAGGGATTTGGGCGGGGGTTGATAATTTGGGTTGCGCGCAACGGCAACCCAACACCACCCAGAATTCCCAATACTGCCACAAGCCCCTTTCACGGATAGGAGGAAACTTACCATAGATGGCGAACTGGAAGGCAGTAAGGGTGCCGACCATGAAGAGACGGGCACCGATACCAGTGTAAGAGCCCTTAAGGCCAAGCTCCTTGGCGATCTTGACAAGACGGGAGGTGGTGGACTCGCCGGGAGCACCGGGGGTCTGAGAGCAAGCGCGTTAGCATAATCCGGCTAGGTATTGGATTGTCTGGGATATTTACCTTGTTGATCTTGGAAAGCATGGTATCGGCGGGCTGGGAGACGATGGCAGCGGCGAAACCGGCAATGAGACCAGAGCCAAGGTTGACGACGGTCTGGGCAGAGTCGGACATGTCCTTCTTGGGGTAGACGTTGTAGACGGCCTCGGCGACCTTCTCGTAGACGACGAACTTGGACATGGTGTAGGGGATCCTGAAAACCCAGTCAGATGAATGTTACCATGACCGCCATACAGGCAATAGTGCAACTTACTGCTTGAAGAGAATGGGTCCGAAGCCGGCGTAGAAAGCGCCGACACCCTCGTTCTTCAGCATCTTGCCGAAACCGCCAATGAGGCCGCTAGCATAGGTGGGCTGGGAGACGAGACGGATACGGGTAGCCTCAAGGGGGCAGAGGGCAATATCGGCGAAGAACTCGGCAGCGGCGGAGGAAGCGAGGTAGACGGCAGTGCGGTTGTTGGTGGCGGTCTCGAGGCCGAGCAAGTTGATGCTCTGCTGCTTGAAGAACTCGTAACCACCGAACTTGAAGGCACCCTGGAGGAAGTAACCAGCGAAGGTAGGGCCGATACCAGTGAGGAGGGCACCAGCACCCTCGGTCTGGACGACCTTGCGGAAGCCACCGATCATGCCATTGTTGTAGGTGGCGGGGTCGAGCTGAATGCGAGTCTTGACGCTATTGTTACGCAGACGTGTCAGCAGCAGTTCGTGATATCTACGGGACAAGGCCAGTGGACTGTGGGATCCAATGCGCCCAATGCCTATGACGGTGGGTGAACAAGGCGGGACAACATACACATCGACGGGGGTGAGGGCACCGTGGGTGACGGAGCAGCAGATGGCACCAGCAAGAGCGAAGCGGGCATAGAGGTTGGCAGCGCTCATGGGGGGAGCAGCAGCGGCCTTAGCCTTCTCGACGACGGCGTCGACCTTGGGGGTAGAGCTGGCCATTTTGGATATCTGGGTTTGGACGACAAAGACTGAGTGGAGATGGGTTGACGGGGAGGAAAAGAGGGCAAAAAGAGCAATCGGGCGGGAAAGTCGTTCGCGACGGAGGTTGGCGATTGAGCCTTTTTGGAGAGTGGAGGTGGATACGGAGGCACGGGAGGGTGGAAAGGCCGGCGCTGCGGAAAAACAATCAGAGACGCCAGCAGAAAAAAATTGGTCCGGTAATTCCCGGGTCCGGTACTGGCCAAGTACCAATCCCCAGCGGTGCTTGTACCCCTCTATCCCACACCCCAGCTTGTCAGGGGCTCCATAGCGCTTACCAGCCAGGATAACAGGGCCGAAAGTGTTTGAGAGGGACCCACGAGACGTCACCGCGCACACGATTCTACACTAGCGCGACTTCGGAGTTAAGGACAAAAAGGCACAATCCATGACATCCCGTCCACGACCGGGTACGCCGTCCAGGTGCTCTGAGCCTGTGCAAACGTCGTGAAGGGTGCGTGATAAGGAACAACGATTAATGATAGAAGAATACAAAAGCAAGAACCTCGACTCTACAGCTTATCGCGTGGAATTTGCGCTGATCGTTGCTCATCGCGAAATCTTTGTGACATGATGGTCACCGCAATTTATGCAACCAATACAGGGAACCTTGTCCACACTCGGCAAAGCGCATATAGGTTAAAAAAGAAATCGAGGAAAGAGCACTTCACGACGTTGCCCAACTGTAGAAGCGGCAGTCACAACCTCAGCTAGAAGAGAAAAGATTGAACGGAGAAAATATTGCTTGTCAATTCTGTTGGGGCCAATGCTTGCACTTTAAGTACCAATTAACACTCAGATAACCTCGAAGCCTCAACACGACATCGCATCTTGACCCGGACGCAACACAACACAACACATCCATCCCCTGCTTGGCGCGAACGATGACCCTCCACGCCCTCCTCCCGCCACTGCATTGCTGAAGGGGTCAGCCTGTCAGCTTTGTCCCTTTCCGCATGTGCCTTGCTTGTCCGGCTTATTTGCCGTCGCGGGATTGGCTATGCGGAATAAAGATCTACAAACCGAACAGCCTTCAATGTCAGGGCAGCCTGGAGTACACGATGAAGGCTGTTGGAACGTTGAACAAGGCTGCGGAACTCGGGGAAAGCCATGTCATACAAGCCCCTCCGCGAGGCTACGAGAAGGTCGCCGAGGCCGTCTACAACGTCTACCCCAAGAAGCCCGCCGATACCATGCCCTCTAAAACCAAGCCATTTGTAGGGAGAAGGTATACCGACCTCAACACTCGCTGTAACTGGGTTCGAGAGTCCCAGCATTCTTTTTACGTTTCCTCTCTGGGTGTCATTACCACCCCATCCCATCTCAACACCAGTAATAGCATATAGCGCTATGTTAACGAGACGACAGGCAACGTCAAGAGACCTGGCAGTCTTTGCTGGGTGGTAACTGTTCCTGTGATACGCCCATAATCACTTAGAGGCGGACGACAAGCTCATGGGCTGGTGTATCAGTTTGTATCACGCCAAGGTTGTGGGGACGTATCCTAAACATCTGGGCTTTCCCCGAATGCTAGTGTTGTGAACGTATTTACGGTATTATACCACTGGCGTATTGTGACACCAGGCCAAGATAGAATCCAGGCATTGGACGGCCTACATCGCCAAAGACAACTGGCAATCCATTCCTCTACTGGGCTCCCTTTGCCTTCCTCCGGAGCTCGTCAGCGAGTCTCAACAGATAAAACTCCCTCGCCTCAGCCGGCAGCTTTTGGAAGCTGTTTGCGATACGAGTCACGTCCATTCTGCCTTTCTCGTACGCCGCCAGATCTCTGTTCCCATACACATCCTTGCCAGCTGCATAGCAACCGCCGTCGAGATCGCGAAAGAAGACGTTTACCGCAATGCTGCTGTCCGAAGTAGGGGTTGCCGTGTGCAGCCACAGTGGGGGCAAGAACAGGACGTCTCCTGGAGTCACGACAGCTTCGTGAGGATGTGTCACTTGAGCCAAGTATCGCGAATCACTCGACCCCCCAAAAAGAGTAGAAAAGACATCGATGCTCGAACTCGATGCCCCCGGAGCAAAGCTGAGGTGCTCAACATCGGACGGCGGGAAAAGAATCATGCGCTTCGAGCCACCGACTTGGCAGTACACATTGGCCATGACCTGGTCGAGTGTTAGAATACATACCAATACGCGATACGAGATGGGAGGACTTACATCGTAATGCAGCCACATGTTTACTGGTCCAGATACACGTAGCACGGAGCTGAAGAGCCTCTCGTCTACCAGAGCCAGCTCAGGTGGCAACACGAAATCAGTGGCCAACAAAGAAAAGTCGTCACTCAGAACAGCAGGCTTCTCTGTCGGGCTTTCAGTCGACAACGCCCTCAGATATAGCCGATCCCCTTTCTCGACGCGCTTCATGAAATCGCCAAAATCGGTCGTCACGTAACGGAAATTCTTCGTTGTGAAATCCATCGCAGGTGTCGTGGAGTCGTGGATTACGACCTAGGAAAGGACTGTCTGTCAGTCATGGACATGGTCAAGGTAGTTTTGTCATCGTTTGCTTGCCCTGGCTCAACTTACCTTCCGATCTGTTCCAACCTTCTCCGCAACATAGTCACCGTTCCCCCATTTTGATACGCAGTCACCCAGATTTAGGCCTTCCAGAACCACCGGACGACCCTCACGTACGATCCTGGCAAAGTCTTCAGCATTTTCCAACTTGACCCGGGGAATCGGTTGAGTGCGTACGCTTACGCTGCCATTGACGTCGCCATCAGCAATGTCGGTTGCCTGATTTCGGAGAGGGAGACTCCTTGGCTCGCCGGGGATGATGTCGACTGTCTTCTCATGCGCCCAGCCATGTGCTGTGGCGGCCAAATCACCATTCTCCCTTGCAGCCGGCAGCAGAGGTAGCTCTAAAGTCGAGATACCCTTGTTCCAGAAAGTTCCCATGGAGAAGCATGTTGCTCCGCCACCCATGACCACCAAGCAGCGACCGTCCGGTGTGACAACGGGAGAAGTTCCAACCAACAGCAAAGGGCCTGGGTGAGATGGTGTCTCAGCATTTGCGGCCTCAGCAACAAGCCGTTGCGTGATTACGAGTTCGGTGCCGTCCAACGAGCATAACACGATCTCGTCTTCTAGATCCAGAAGATGGTTCTTGATAACACCACCAAGAACCAAGAAGTCAGTTTGACTTTGGGGCAGGCAAGAAGCGCCGAACCTAGCAAGAAGTTGACGGGAGAGTGCCTCTTCGGAGCCGCCAGCGCCAGACTTCACCTGTAGCGGAACAAACCGGACGACCGGCTTGCTGCTGTTGGACAAGTCCAGGTTCCATGCGAGAAGCTGATCAGCAATGAGGCCATCATCGCTCAAGCCGCCAGCAAAAACGCCAGAGAATGAGGCCTGCTCTTGACGGAGACAAGTGAGCGTAGCGCCATACACAGAGATCGGCTTGACGTCACCGGCCAGTTCGCATCTAATCCAGCCGAGCTTGGGCTCATAAAGAAGCCAGTCAGGGAAGATATCTGCGATTCCCCGTCCACCGGCGAGCAGTGCCAAATCTGTCTTCCCCAGTCTCGTGACAGAATGCCTGTAGAGTGGGATCGGGAGATCATGGGTGCGTTTCCACGCCCATTCGCCCTCATTGCCGTTACTCTTCTCCAACAGCCAGCAATCTTTGAGGGGTGTGGAGGGCGACGCCCGTCCTCCGACGAGAAGCTGAGCGTTGCCGCGATCCGTCAGTGTGTGACACATCCTCGTTGAAGGCCCGCCTTCACGGAAAGTGAACGGCATCGCCGTCTTTTCTTCCTCGGTACCATCAACATCGGCGTTCTTCGAACCGTAAACATCACAATTCTGCAACCTGCTCTTCGTTCCCAAGCCCATCACATTCAACAACTTCTCCTCTTTCTTCTCGGAACTCGAAGAAGACGGCAACACCGCCCCAGCCGCGAACCTCCTCTGACCCCTCTGGCCCGGGACATCATCCCACCTGACCTTGACTTCTCAACCGGCAAGCCCAACTCCCTTCCGTTCGGGATCCCCCTCTCTTTCTCAGTCTGTCCCTGCCCCTCCCTCTAGCCACCGTCCGAGCCCTCACCACACAGTAATGGCTCGCAAAAAGTGCAAACTCCTCCCACTCGTCAAACGGCTCCACCTCCTCCAGCCTGCATCTCTCAGCCGCATTGACAAACGTGTCCTCTTCGTCCGCCCACGCCTCCCACAGCGTCCAAACGCGCACATCTCCGCCGTCGTCACCACCCCAGCCTCGAGAGCGGAACCGCTCCACCTGCGAAGCTACCGTAGGGTAAACATCTACGCTCTTGATGGGCGTGTTGAGTTTATGGAAATGCGAGAGCATAGTGGACGCAAACGGGTGCGTAGGTCCTGAGGGTAGGAGTTGTTCGAGAAGCACAAACTCGGAGTCGCCGAGGGTAGATGCCCATTGAATGACGGCGTCGGCGCCGGGGGTCTCCATGTAGGTGATCGAGACCTCGGCAACGAAGAGGAAGGTGCATGCCGAAAGATCGCCGCCGACGGCTTTGGTGAGGGAGGCCTCAAGGGTGGAGAGGTCGCGCAGGTCGCAGCCTATTTGGACGTATTGGTCGCTGGTGAGGACGATACCCGTGGGTGCGGTGGTGGGGGCGGGAGCGCGGGCGGCTTTGGATTTGTCCTTTGGTTTGGGGGTCTTCTTGGGTTTCCTCGTAGCTGTAGAGTTTGCGGTCGATGGTGTTGTTGATGTGGCCTCTGCTGTTTTGCTCTCCGTAGTGGCAGCCGTAGTTGTAGTCGTAGCCACTGCCGTCTCCGTACCAGCAGTCGCAGTCGCAGACACAGGAGCAGTCTCAAAAACCGGCACCTCAACCCCCGTCAACATCCCCAGCAGCTCCGGCGTCTCCAAAACCGTCCTCTTCTTCCTCTCAATAAGATCCGGGAAATCAACATCCACAAACTTCACTTTCCCCTTTCCATCCCCCTTCCCTGCTGCTCCGAAGCCACAAGCATCAGGATACCTCGTCAAACACTGCCAAGGCAAAACATCGCTTCCGCAACCCAAATTCACCACCACTTTCCTCTTTCCCTCCGCTTCTGAGCCAGTCCTTTGGTCTTGCAGGAAGTTTCTGACTAGGACATCAATGACGTGCAACCGGAAATGATAACCTCTGTTGATCAAGGGTGCGCGCCGCTGGAATTTCTTGACGAAGAAGCGGAAGAAGTGCGGCTCGTTGGGGTAGTAGAGTTTTTCGACGGAGCGTTTGGAGACTATTGAGGAGTTGTTTGTCTATTGTGGTGTATGTGTGTTAGTGTGAGTGTGAGTGCCGGTTGTGAGAGATGGAAGGAGGTTGAAAAGGCGGCAGACGTACACCCATAACCTGATCATCCTGGGCTTTTCTCGGGTCTTTGGCGTGCTCATGGTGAATGGTGCTCTTTTCGTCGGTTCCCGACTTTGGTTTCTTTTGTTTCTTGTTGCTGGTGTATGTAGTCTTGGCCGGGCCTGCCTCAGTAGCCGGTTCCTCAACTATACCTGGGATTGCCTCCTCAGTGGTACCCATTTTGAAGACCTCAGCAGGTAGGTGTGAGGTTTTTGGAAATATCTGTGAGAGTAAGAGCAAGGACTCAAGACTCACAAGATGTTGAGTGAGAATGGCAAAATAAACTGGGGAAAGTCGATGCCCAATTGGTCAATTGCCGCGCTTGAACGAACGCACGGTTGCAGAAGGAGACAGTGCTTGCGCGGTTGCAGAGACACTGTGGGATCCAGTCGGCTAGCCCCTTTTTGAGGTCAGTGTGGTCAGGTTCAAGGGTTGAGGATTTTGTCAACGACGGAGGAGTAAAAAAAACTCAAAAAAGGCAAAAAGATTGTGTTGTGAGACTCGGATACCGGGAGTCGAACCCGGGGCTGTTGAGAGAGCAGTCACTCCTGAAGAAGTGAGAGTCAACGATGTTACCGCTACACCATACCCGATTGAACTGATATGGTCCGATTTTTGATGATTGTTCGGCCGCAACTTGCGATTATAATGGCAGTCACGGTATCAAGGTGAATACTTCAAACAGACTGGCCCCAATATGAAGGCGGTAAAGCACGGTACGTTACAGACCAAAATACCCAAAATATGCAAAACTAGCCGCTGGACGTCAGGTCCCGTATGTAGTGAAACCAGTGACCCAAGATCCCGTACCATGCCAAACTCCAGAACCCGTAGGTAAAACGTCAGATTATGCCCGTATATGCTCCCAAATTCCCAGACCCTTATTCCCATAATGATCCACCTTAGACCACAAATCCCCCTCTGTGCCCACCCGTTCTTCCCCTTCCAAGCCCACAACACCAACCCGCAGGCAACCCAAACACTAACCGCCATCGCCCAAAACGCGGACGCATAGCACTCGCTCCCGTAGCAAAACTGATCTTCCTCCCCTCCTTGGTTTAAAGCAGCCTTCTCCACGCCCGACTGGTAAACAGCCGAGTACACCAGGCCCCAAAACGTCGCGCCAAGAGCGGGGAACATGGCCACGATGCCCCAGTTGGTCGCAAAGTTCTCAACGCCCCAGATCACAGTGATGATGATGGGAGTGAGAGAGAACACAGCTCCGTAGCCAGCACCAACCAAGCCCGAGGCAACCCAGAAGCGCTCGCCGTGGTTTTGGATCCAACCTGAAGCAAGCGCGGCCAAGCCGACGGAGAGGGTGACGGCGAAGAAGAGCAGAAAAGATACGCGAGAGAGGGAGAAGCGCTTGCGTTCGAGCGTTCCAGAGGATGTAATCTGGACGTGGTGGGCCTGCGGGCTGGGAGCGAGGAGATCGGTCAAAGAGCCGGTGAGGAGGCGCACGAGGGTGCTGGTGATGCCGACGATGGAGACGTGGGTGGCTGCGTTGGTGGGTTCGCCGATGAATTTGAGATGAGGCGGGTAGAGCGTCTTGATGACGGTGCCGAGGTTGTTGATGAAGGCCTCACCGGGACCGATCATGAGGAAGAAGCCGAGGGCGAAGCACCACATAGTGTGGTCGGTCAGGAAGCGGCGGGTTTCGGCGTTGAGAACCCAGGTTTTCCTGATGCGGGCGTTGTCGTCTTCTTCTTCGGAGTCGGTGTCGTCGGCCTTGTGGGGGTCGAGAATGCCGGCGCTTTCCATGTCGAGGGGAGATTGCTCTATGGCGCCGTAGCCGGGTCTGTCGGCGGTCCTGCTGCCCTGAAGGAATGTGCTTCCATCCAGGTAGCCACTGCGCTCCAGTTCCTCGACAGCTTCATCGATGAGATCCTCCTCGTTAACGATCTTCAAGCCGAATGTGCCTAGGCAACCGACTACGAACAGCAGAATGCCAAGGAAGAGGAAGAAGTGGAACACGTCCAAATCGCCCTTTGTCCCATCCGCAAATCGCTCATAGAACACACGACTTCCCAGCTGGCTCTGCCACATCCCGCTCAGTCCAAACGCCGCGATAGGTACTGCAAGCGCTAACCCACGATGTTTCCCCCTTCCAAAGTTCTTTGCGCACGTCGCCACAGCGCTCATGTACATCGAGCATGTTCCGACACCGATAAACACAAACGCGGCAATCATAGCCCAATATGCCAACCCACTCGTATCCTCGCCATCAGCCAATGCCGGCGCCTCCGCCTCCCGCTTATACACCCCCGCAGCCAGCCCATATCCAGCCGCAAAGAACAGCGCTGAGACAAACGACAGCGGTCCTGGACCTACGCGATCACACATGTACCCTAACAATGGCACGGGCATGTAGGTGGCAATCGAAGCGGCGCTCGACAGCCCGTTGACCTCGAACTGGGTGTAGTGTAAACGTTCTTGGAAGATGTGGCCGTACATGCTGAAGATAGTTATAGAGCCGGCGCAGAGGGAGGAGAGCAAAGCCGAAGCGAAGGAGAGGTTTCGAGCTGAGGCAGCCGCGGCTCGGGAGGTACGGCCATTGTGGTGACGACGTCGAGACGGTGAGATAGATCGGATAGATGAGGCGCGCGAGGAGGCTGGGCCGATGGTCGAGGCCGAATCGGATTGGAGGAGAGGTGTCGAGGGAGAGCCTTGATCTGGCCTGGGAGCCAGGGTTGGTGATGCCATTTCGGCGGTTTCAACGATGTTGGTCGCTGTTTGTGAAGTCGTGGAAGATAGATCGAGCAAGAGAGATGGGAATATGGGTTTGATGGATCGATGGAGTTAGAGATGGTGAAAAGGGCCTGCTCTCTTTGGGAAGGCCGCGGTTGTTTGTGTTTAGTCGGAATGCTGCGGTTGCATTGTCACAGGCTCGGACCCAAGCCTAGAGTAGAAGGTGGAAAGAGATGGTAAAATGAAGATGTTGTATCGACGAGAGGAGAGCCGCGACAGATATCCTGACAAAATACCCGTCTCACCGATTGAAGAGAAGAAAGGATAGAAGAGGCGGAGAAGAGAGACGGGACGAAGAGTCTTGATGGCTGATTGAGTGCTCCTCCAATCGATAACAGCGACTGCAACGATGACGGAGACTTGACTGAATTGGTGTTCAGGTGACTGCAACCACTGATCCGGTCCACCAAATCAGGGCGCGAATGCAGGGCTAAATTCCCGCTAACAGTGAGTGGACCTCGCCGTGCCTGGCATAAAGTGGGCCTGAGCACCAAAATGCGGAGAGATCCACAAGTCACTGGGTCAGTTTGTCACCGCCTCCAACCCTTACCCTCGCACTTCCCTTCCCTAATGCAGTCCCGGACAATGGGGACTTCATCGATCACTCTCAAGTTCCATTCCGTTACACGACAGGCCGCAACAAGAGGTTCTGTTCATGATCGGTTTCAAATGGTGTTGTTCCAGTTCCTTTCAGATAATGGTTGATCGACGTGTGCCGCTAAGTTGTCGGGCACTCGAACGTTCTGTCAACGTTCCTTCCTCTAACGAAGAAGCGCATGCCTCCTTGGAAACACTACCGCTAAACGAGCTGTCAAGTCCACGCAATCACATCAACTTACCTCCCATCTTTAACCGTCACTGCTTCCTACTTCTGTTATCAAGGCACCATCATCATACCACATTACTGAAAGGGACGATGGCGCTTGGACATCAAGAAAGTGCCAAAGGACTTCGAGATACATCGAAGCAGCCATATCATTTAAAGCCCATTCATTCATCGATAACCACGCACCTGCCCCGTTAACAGTTGCAAGCATTTGAATTCCTTCATGGCTGACGTTTAACATAACGTCTACAACGAGGTGTGGTGTACCTGCCTGATTCCGATGCTCAGGAGCGCAAAGGACCTGTCAGATCACCTCCTGATCGGGCATTCTTCCATTTTCTGTTTAGGTTTCTATATGGAAACCACATGAGTGCCGCCAGTGAGTAAACCTACCTCATCAAACGGGTGAGGTATTAGGGGTTGTACCGAAGTGTACTTCCCCAACAAGAAGGACTGACGTAAGGAGCAAAAAAAACTCTGCAAAGAGAGGAGAAGGTCCATGGTGACGATGAAGGCCAGCCTTTCCTGATGATGTCGCAGACAGCAAGTTTGGAAACATAAGATCACAATTCTGTACGGATCACGGAAAGGACATTCATATCAGTTCTCTTGAAGAAGGTGAGTTCCCTGTCAAATCATGGGCTCGTGACTCCTGTGAGCACTCCCCTCAACGGGTATATAAGGATCGGTTCCCCCCATCTTCTCTTCTTTTTTTTTTGTTCCCTGTTCATCTTCAAGCAACAAACCCAACAACAACCCCAACAACCACTCGCATCTCCGACTATTCTCAAAGCCCTGCGTAGCAAATGTCAGTATTCATGACAGGTACAAATTTTCCCTTTGCACCCGGCGGCAGACATTATGTGTCATATGGATCTGTTTATGTCTTGTGGTACCGCCAAAACACCCAAGCACACGTACTGATCGGATTGGACTCAGGACAAGAAGTCTTCGCCAGTAGACATCCGGCACCGCGTATCTCCAGCAAACTACAAGCGAGCTATTTTGACAATGGACCAAGAGAAAATGCATGGGCTATCCATGTGCCTTTGAGGGCTCAAGCAACACCTTGACCCAAAGACGGTTCGAATCTCAAGAGAGACGCCATGAAAGATAGAGGTAAGTGGCTTTGGATCAGTGCCTCTTTCATTGTGAAAGTCTATATACTGACCTTTCATCTCAACTTTATAGTATCAGGCCAACGACGACTGGTAGTGGCCAATATCCCGAAGGCGATCCGACGACATCAATCCCCGAGTGCTCTCGTTTCAACTGCGATGATGACATTGCCTACAACTATCCCATCAATACAACAACACAGCACGTCATCACTCACAAGATGATCAGATTACGCTTTCCGCGCCGCGCTCGCGGTCGCACTACACTCCAAATATACCACAACCTATCCACAACCTATTAACTCCCATTGTCCCTTCTTTAATAGAGGAATCACCAATTTTCCGTGAGCAACAAGATCGAGAGGGCGACCGCTTCGCCCGTAAACTCTTCGTCGCCATTCGAAGCCAGCATTTCATGCACACTTGCTCTTGCCCGCTGCCCTCAATATATACCTCAAAGACCGAGGCGCTATTCTCTGGCTCAGGCCATATTCGGATCTTCATTCGCGACGACGATCCGACACACCTGTCAGTCATTCAAAAACCAACGGATCCGAACTGGCATTGCGAGTTGCCGCAACCCCAAAAACTATTGGCCAGTATACGAAGTCCTGCTGAGCCGGTCACACGGGCCCGCTCTTAACAACAACGGAAAGCGCGCTGCGGTAACTAGCGAGCCTGAGCTCATCTCTGAGAACATCCACCACAAGGCAGTGGAAGATGATGGCTTCGGACAAGAACTTTACGTCTCGATCAGGAACAACCACCTCATGCGGAATTTTCTCTGCCCAGTCTCGACTATTCACACGTCTAGAGGCAGCACTTGTCGCGACCCGCCACACCCGGCTTCATAGGATTGACGAGGACTGCTCAAAGCTCTTCTCACCTGATTCAACCAGCATTACCATATGGTCTCTGATGCATTTCATCATCTGAGTCATCATTACGAAGGACATTTTATTCGCTGCAGGACTCGACACAGCAGAGGAGGAGGTCTCGTATTGCGGAGGATAAAGATATCGAAATGAGAGATGTAGAAGAGATAGACAAAGAATAAAACAACTGGTTCTCCGGAGTACGCTATTACTGAAATTGCATTGCTGTGATACGGAATGAACTAGCAGTCTGGAAGGAGAACGCTGACCTGGATCTTCGTCATTTACAAAATCCCCGAGCGCAATTGTTCATCTCCAACCACACTGGCTGCACATCAAGACATGGACGTCGACATGTGGCTGGTAGAGGTAGGAAGTGCAGCAACAAGCATACGAAATTCGTGAATGATGCACATCGAGATGGAAGGTAGCCTTCCGGCAGTAGACGGAATGGCCTGGAACTCTTGAGAATTCTCGCCACCATGCCTGCATGTTTTGAACGCCGAAGGAGATGCAAAGGACCGGGACCGAAGCCCGAAATAAATTATATGCACAAAAAATGAGACTGGTTCTTGATGATGCCAGATCAGTATCTGCACGGTTGTTCCTGCCCTCCTTGGTCGGTGTTCCTTCCTCGCACAATTTCTTTCTTCTCCCCTGTCGGCCAAAAGTAGGTTCCGAGCTGCACTTGAACTTTTTTCTCCGGACAAATACAAGTCTCTGGACGGAAATCCACTATTGGAATTCCTTTCCTCTTCTATTCTTTTTTGGCGAAACTGCTACAAGAACTGGACCTCGAGAGATTATTTCGAACTAAGTATTTCTTTGGCCCCTGAGGGCTCTTTTCAAATGGTTCCAATAAAACTTTTCGTTACGATCACGGCCCTCCTCGCCTCGTTCGTCTCCGGTGCTGTTCTCTACGAAGAGGATGACCCCGACTTAATTCTCGCCGGCCAAGCTGAGATGCAGTTTGGTCTGGTCTCGTGGTACGTCCAGCCAACTCCCCTTGCACCTTGCACCTTGCACCTTGCCTCCCATACCTCTACTAACCTCCATTTCTCACAACGCAGGTTCAAAGACAACATCTCCATCACCACCGATGAAAATGCCTCCCGACCCACCAACACCGACGCCAAAGACCCCGAGGTCCGCCGCGGCCCCAAGTTCCACAAACGGTGCGGCTCCAACACGGTAATCTGCTCCGGCAAACACAGCGCCGACGTGCCCGTCTGCGAGACTTTGGTCCGGGGCATCCTCCCGCACCAGTCCGAGATGCTACCCGAGGACAACAGCCACTGGTCCATCTGCCTCGAACAAGTCAGCAAGCGGTGCTGCGTCAACTGGTCCAAGACCCCCCAGGGGGCCTTCTACCAGGACCTGATCGACGCCGCCGAGAAGCAGCTGTACAACTGCCAGTTCCGCGGGCAGGTGTCGGCCAAGAGCAAGGATGTGCTGCTGGGTTTTGTCTGTGTCAACCAGTGCATGGCGAGCTGGAATCACTGCAGCGGGCCGGAGTCGGATAGCAGTTATGAGAGGGGCAGGTATTATGGGAAGGGATCCGACTATGCGGAGCAGCCGGTGGTGGAGATTTTGCCGTTGCCTAGGCCACCGAGGTAGAGGAGAAAGGGGTGGCTTTTTTTTTCCCGTTGGTCTTTCTTCTCTTCTTCTTCATCGTCTCTCTTTTTGGTCAGGCTCTGCTCGTGCTGCCCAGAACGGGACAAACAGTTGCCATGTCTATACTATATTTTTTTTCCCGGCTATCTTCGGCCTAATGTATATAACGAATGTTAATTAGGTACCCATTCGTGTATAACGAGACCAGTGCACCATTAACAATGATGAGTGGAAAATACCCATCGCTTCTTCGTCCGAGGGCCTTTTGTATATCCCTAACGACGATGCTAAGGATTGTAGCGTAGTGGAACTTACAAATGACTCCAGTGACAAGCTAATCATCGTATGTTGAAGCTCCTCCGCGTCAACATCGATACATCCACGCTTACTAGAATGACAGGTTGTGGCCAAGATAATATAATCATCCAACTGGAAGCACAGAAAAGCTCAAAGAACATCCCCAAACAAAGCAGAGTGATAGAACCCATCCAAACCGGACGGCTTCTTGGTGTCACTGGTTGCTCAACTGTGACATCGCTGTATAAGCGTGCATTCCATGTTCTTTTCATCCCACAGAACATTATTCCATCTCTTGATATTATTACGGAATGGCATTGCATGCTTGTTTCCGTGACACTTGACGTTTTACCCATTCTTATCCCAAATCACATCAAAATCTTGCCATTACCCTTTGATCAACACCATTCTCTCCCACCAACTTCCCTTTGCAATACTCTCTCTCAGTCACCACCACCATTTGGACTTCAGGCATAGAAAAGCTATCAACAGAAGAGTATGTCCAGCTCTTCACTACATGACACGACGCCTACCACATTGGACGAGATGCATCACGAACTGTCGAGAACCCCACAATGACAAAATATAAATAACTAGCCACACATTGAAAAGACATGAGGAAGATTCAATATAGCATATTGAAATTCTGAAACAGAACATGCAAAGTAAGAATACCCTTTTGTGACGCAACAAAACGCATCAAGGATAGAAGGTAATAGCTTGTCACATATTGGAAAGGCATTTACATGACTAATTAGAGCATATTCAAGCTAAGATAACACGTTGGCCATAGGACAAAACGAACTAGTTAGTGATACAAAACGCCTGGGGAAGTTGGCTTGAGGTCTGGAGTTGAATTGCAGCGTCGAGTCAAGTTACCGTCGAGTTAAGTTGCCGTCGAGTGAAGTTGCCGTCGAGTTGAATTGTAACGTTGAGGTAAGGTACAGCGTCGAGGTGAGTAGTATCTTCGAACTAAATTGCCGTCGAACTGAATTACTATCGAGTTGAATTGCAGCGTCGAGGTAGGTTGTCCTGGGGTTGAGTTGCAATTCGGCTCAAAATCTTGGAGTTGCGTTGAGTTGAGTTGGATGAGTTGACAATATCTGTAACGCTGGACGGCGTGGATATGACCTGAGATTCACAAGGGGAAGCGAACCCATTACCATTTGGCAGACATATATTTCGGTAGGCACTTCTATATGTCTTGTGTGCGCGCATGCCCTGGTAATGTTATGAGGAACGAGCAGTGGAACTTACTTGTGGGTTTCTTCCACGTGTATCCGTATCTTGTGTGGGCGCATACCCTCACGAAACCATGAAGGAGGAAGGGTGGTGGACTTGTGCGTGCATTCCACTTTTTGGAAACTTCGACATCCGTCTCAAAGGTACGTACCTGTTTACTCATGACTAGTATCTTATTTAGTGACTCTTTCATCATCTAGTCTAGTAAAGATCCAAGATGGCTTTGGTTAGAACCTCCGGCCGCCGTCTTCCGCTAATGTCGTTCGGAGCGGAGCCGTTTTAGAGAGCCGCACACGGCTAGTCGTCGAAGACCGGAGGGGTTGAGTCACGGTACGTACACTTTAAACATTGCGAATTTGATGTTCTCGAAGAGTCTATCCACCGCGTTCGGCTTCCTCCCGAGAAGCTTCGAGCTGTCCACCAAGGTCCTCAGACGGGACGGGAGTCAAAAACTGTTACGTCACAGGTACCTCGGTACCTCTTCCAGCGCGATTGCCCTCCCTATCAGAACTCCGTTTCAGTGGTCTTAGCGCCTTGGCCTTCGCTGAAATGCGGGGGCAGCAGGGGTAGGTAACCACTAACACGAACATCCCTTGATCCCAGCTGCAGCATCAGATCAGTCACCACCTCCCTTCCACTTCGACGTCCAGCCCGTTGGTAAGGTGACTCTCACTACTCACGTCGTGCCGTGGGGGGACCGGGAGCTTCCGAAACTCTATGGCTTGGGAAAACGGGACAAATAACTGTGACGCTGATGAATGCCGAACTGGATCAAAGAGAGCCGAGCCCCCCGCGCTTGGAGCTTGGGAACGGGAGTCATCGTGACGGTGACTGGGCTGGTTGCATGCATGGAGCTCTAACCTCATAGGAATAGCTCTGGACTCTGAGCTTCCCCTCTTCAGCTACAAGCTCCGACTGGTATATAAAGCTCTTGACAGATCCTCAAAGCCATTGTTTATCTTGCATCCCCTCACTTGTAGTACTGACTCTACTCCCACACGGAGGAATTCAAAAAGCTATCCAGCTTCCATTACCACACCACCAACACCAACACCAACACCAATACCACCTCGTACCGACAACAACCGCAAAAATGGCACCCTCCAAAATCCGCATCGCGACCGCCTCCCCCTCCACCCAACCCACCACCCCCAAAACCCTCGCCCAAATCGCCCAACTCGCCCGCCGCGCCGCCTCCAACAACATCGACATCCTCCTCCTCCCCGAGGCCTACCTCGGCGGCTACCCGCGTGGCACCAACTTTGGATGCGTGATGGGCTCTCGCTCGGCCGAGGGAAGGGACGAGTATCTCCGGTATTTTCAGGCCGCGGTTGATTTGGGGGATATCGTTGGAGAAGGGGGAGCGGGCGGGTTGGAGAAGTGGGTTCGGAGGGAGTTAGTTGGTGATGAGATTCCGGGGGCTCAGGGACAGGAAGGAGACAAGGGGGAGAAGGTGAAGAACAAGAGAGGAGATGGGACCAGGGAAGAGTTGGAGCGGATCGCACGAGAGACTGGGGTTTTCTTGGTGACGGGGTGTATTGAGAAGGCGGGCGGGAGCTTGTATTGCAGTGTGGTTTATGTGTGCCCGAAGATGGGCATGATTGGGAAGAGGAGAAAGGTGATGCCTGTGAGTGTCTTTCCCCTCTTTGATCCTCTTTGCGAATCTTCTATTGAATTGCAAGCTAACCATAACGCCAAACTCCCAAACCAGACCGCCATTGAGCGCCTAGTCTGGGCCCAAGGCTCTCCCGCCACCCTCCGAGCCGTCAGCACCGTCATCCGCGGCGTCCGCATCAACCTCGCCGCCGCCATTTGCTGGGAGAATTACATGCCCATGCTCCGCCAATCGCTCTACTCGCAGAACATCAACCTATATCTCGCCCCGACCGCCGACGGCCGTGATACATGGCTACCCCTAATGAGGACCGCCGCCATCGAAGGCCGTTGCTTCGTCGTTAGCTCCAACATGTGTGCGCGCAAAGATGGGGGAAAGCAACAAGCCAAAACCAACGGTCGCCCTGTCCTCTCCCACCAACCGCAACAACAGCCTGACTTCAGCGCCATCGCAGACCCCTCTCCATTCACCAGTGATGGCAGACGCAGCTCCCTCGTCACAGAGGAAGGCTTCGAAATTGCCCTTCCATCTCCCCGCAGCGGCAGCCGCGGTCGTCAAAAGAAGATTCGCAGACAGTCCGTCTTCGACGAAGATGGTAACGAGATCGTCTTGCCCTGCTGTAACGAGCAAGGTGATGTCGAAGTTGAGGCGGAAGCCGAAGTTGACGATGAGACCGTGTCCACCATGACTCCCAAGACCTCATTGTCTTCTACTGCTGCTTCAGCTGCTCCGGCTCAGACAGCCAAGCCTGGCAGTAGACAGACTTTCAAAATCCCTGTCATTGATAGGTCGACCGGTGCCAAGACGGAGGAAGACTTTGTGTCTCGCGGTGGCTCGGCGATTGTCTCGCCATTTGGAGATGTGCTTGCTGGCCCCCAATGGGAGGATGACGAGGGCATTATTTGGGCGGATGTGGACTTTGAGGATTGCATCCGCGGGCGATTGGACTTGGATACTGCGGGGAGTTATTCGAGGTATGTTTCCTTGGCTTCGGTGAGAGTGATATGTTAGTGTCTATGGTGGGTGTGCAAGAGCTAACCACTGGCGGTGATTATAGAAACGACTCGTTCAAACTTACGGTTGGAGGACTTGACTTGTCGCCTTTGCCGTACCACTGAGGATGTGTTGGTCGCGCCGATATTTTGGGTAGGTGGAAGGATCATTTGTAGAAAGCTAAAGCGGCAGAAGGAGTCGAAAAAAACCAAAAAAAAACCGAATATGAACTGTCCAATATGCCTCACTTCGGCTGGAAAAGGCTGTTGCGAAGCTATTATAGGGGTCAAAAAACCTGGTACCCACGTCGGACAGGTTCCATCAGGGACTCTCACAATTAGGAAAAATCATGAGTTTTGATCTGAAGGCATGATAAAGGCGAATAGATTTGTGATGTACTGGTCGTAAAATGTTCGGACTATTCTTAGGGAAAGTCTAAGCGCGCCACCCTTTTCGTCTACACACGCCCAAAAAGATTCCAAGTTTCAACACATTGGGTTATGACTTCCCATGGAATTTTGATATTCTCTCAAAGTTGGTATACTCAATTCTCTCTCCTCTAGAATTCCCTGCCCGCATTACTTCCGAGGCCAAAGTCCATCGCTAACTGCGACCAGATGTGGAAGTATAATGGATATGTGTCTTCGAGAATCAGGAAAATTTGGGTGTGTGTAGGTAAAAAGGGGTGGTGGTGCGCCTAGACCTTTCCTATTCTTACGACCCTTTGGCGACGTACCGTGACCCGTACAGATCATCCAAGTCGTATTTTCCGAACAGAATGGGGCACCTCTCGCAAGAAAGCTTGATACTCTTCCATCAAACTCTCGCCGATTTCGAGCGTACCGACTCTGTACGCTGTATTTCCCGACCACTCTAGTATTAGGAACCTCCGAATATGTGTTCCCCCCGACCGTTGTACTTTGGATTGGTAAAGTAGTAGGCAATCCCAGGCCTCTGTGACCAATCTCTGGAACTGAATCATCCAGCTTTTGAGACACATAAACCGATTCTGCCCGGCCTCGTACACCGTTATGGAATTGTACTTCTAGAGAGAGATGATGATCGCCAAGGCGACTATGAGCATCGCAAAACTGAAGTTGGAGGACCATGTTCTCCACCCATAGGTACGTGGACAGTTCAGGTACGACTCTCGAATTAACCAAGGAAGGTCCTGGCAGACGGAGGAGATTTGCCATCGGTATATGGGAACCTTCATTGTCCTCGGCCCAAAAGGTTGCTTTCTCTTCAAGTTTGTAATTCCAGTAGTCCAAATCTCTTAAGAACCGATCGTATTTGTGGTAGCTCACACCGTTCCGGGCATTCCAGCCCAGCCATGCCCAACTGGGAAAACCATGTCGGCGTCTGATTCCACAATCTCCCCCCTGGTGAAACCGATAGGAAAATTGAAGAGAGTTGAAAAACTCTGCTGGCATGGTGTTGAGATGCCTGTATTGCGGCTGCTGTGTTTCTCGGTTTTGTGTGTCTTGCAAAATCAGTCCATAATATGTGAAAAAGTGAAACCTGGTCAGCAGGCCTCTGAGTGCGTCAAGAGCATCTTCCTCATTCGTCAGATGCCTCGCCGAATAATGTTCAAAATATCCGAGCATCCGTCGGACATCTTCTGAATGGTATTGTTCAGAATGTTGGGGATTGCCCCGGAGAGCCTCGTCTTCTCTTCGAAATTTATGAGTCTCAAATATCTGCGACCACTTTGGCACAAGCGAAGAACAAAAGTGTCCTAGTCTTTGAGTATCCTTCCAGAGAGAAGCTCTATCTTCGCTCCATATGCGTGTTGGGCACACAAAGTGCACCTGATACTCAGTAAAGATGAGCAGGCGACGAGACAGGATGGCCTCTTGATACGTCCATCCACGCGTTGCCCACACAGACTCACAGATTACTTCGTGAGCGGTGGGGAGAGATCCGATCAGCGACATAGAGCCGATGTTGACATGAGATTGCTCTCTTCTTGGTCTTCCAGCAACAGCGACACCAGGAAGACCAAACGACGAGTCCTTGCTGGCGGCTGCCACCATGGTCACAAAGCGCCCTCATAAATATTATCCATGTTCTTGATCAGGATGCTTCTATTGGTGCTGTCATTCTGATCAATGCAGCACTGGTCAACCCAAAGATAGCTTAGTCCAATGTTCTTGACTGCCATGATGGCGTCCTTGATGACATCGGGAGCATTCTCAGAAACAAAAAGCCTCGATATCGGGGGCCTCACAGGGTCAGAGTGCTGCTCGTTCAACATGCCGGTCGCTGAGACGTCGCCCCAGACATAATTCAGGGCCACATACTCTTCCCCGTCAGGTAGGCGAACGACTTCACATGTTTTGCAGTCGATATACCGCATTCGTACCAGGAGACCATTCTTTCTATTCTTCCTCTTGAAGTTACTGAAAAAAACAAAGTCCAGACATTGGGTGAGCCAGGACTTTATTAGTGGGTAATTGACAGAACTGGGGAAAACGCGGAGACCTTTGGGCACAACTGACAAAGAGCCTCCTCCATTGTAGTATTCCGATGATGCTGACATTGACTAGTCACAAGGAACGAAATAGCCGTTCGTCGCCAGTTTATGTCCTGAGCTATACGCGGCAGTGTCGTAGTAATCTTTCTCAAAGCTGTCTAGCGTGTTCTCGGTGAATTCCGAGATGTTTCCCGGAAAGACGCTGCAGACGGTGGCTCCATCAAGGGAGGTTAATTTGGGAAACGAGTATTTCGACACGTCGACTTGGATGAAAACCCTAAGGTGATAGTGGTTGAACGAAGGGAACGCCGGTGTGGGTGTTTGGGGCCAACGGATGGAGTAAAAGAAGCGGCAAAGTCTGCATGCCGCGTCTTTGTCGAGGACACCGAGGTCGAGCACACCGCAGTGACTCTTCGGCTTGTCGCCGCGTATGCCCATACTTGAGCGTTTCTTATGTCCTTGGGAAAGATGCCGTGGAAGTTGATTTGGAGGCATCTTTCGCAGAGCCTGTCTGAGCCGTCGCATGCTGTCTCGGAGTTCATGATTGGAAGGAGAACAAGGTCGATCTGTGCCGCGAAAAAGTGTTTGAGAGCTGACTGCGTGTGGTCTGGAAGAAGTGGTTATTAGTCGATTGATATGGTTATGGTGATGATAGCGTGATCCCACGTAATTCGCACCATCTCCGTTCGAGATTCAGTAGTAGCTTCCGTTCAGAATATAGTTGACGTGTCTGTGATGGCACCCAATTTCAGAAAGGCCAGTGATTGGTCGAGAAACGCTGCGTGGGTTATCACTCGGGCAAGAGCATAACAGTCTTCCGAGGCTGCAGATGGAAGGATTCAGCTCTTATCGAACATTTAGGGAAGGGGCACCCACAGACTCCCCAATGTAGAAAGAGCAGCTCATGAGCCCAGACGGCGCAACTCCGCATGTGACGAGCGTGGCTCACAAAGACCAGAATATTAACATTCACTCGTGGACTGATCAAGTTAGGCACTCCAGTAAAGGCCCAATATTTACCAGTATTTTTTGCTAGCGTTTGTTATTCGTCTAAATACTGTTTTGCTATTTTCAATGCATTGCACTATGCTGTCAGCTTCCGTTGAGAATTGTTGCGAAATATGTGTGCAGTACATGAAAAATCAATCGCTGTCCGGGACCGAACAGGTACCGAACCTGACCCCGATAGAAAGGGAGCGGTAGAAAAGGAGGCAAGAGGCAACGGCATCAACAGACTGACGGCCAAAAGGTGTACAGTTCAAGGGGCACGGTCGAACAACAGGAAGGGAACACTCCAAAACAAGACAGAATCCCGAAAGAATGCAGCAATGTGAAGCCAAACATGGTAAGGAGAAAACAACACAAGAGTCGGGTATTTGATGACCCAGAATGATTCAACAGCCCAAAAGCAGAAAGAACAAAGCCAAGGGAACCCCCCATTTCCCATAGCGACAACTACACCATGTAAAGGTATCCCATTCTCAGTTGACAATAACGCAGATGGTAGGCAGAAGAACAAAACGCCAGCACTTAAGCCCAAGACATACAACCCGAGAAACCTGTTCCACCCATTACCCTGTTCCTGTACCAGAACACCATCCCATACGATACTTGGTATCTTCCTGCCCCATCCCGTTTCCTCAGCACATTTACCATTATTCATTCCATCCTTGTCACACCTACAACCAGACTTCTTCATGCCCGCTCCTCCCCTTCAACATCCTCATCAACATTACCAACCCCACCACTGATCCTCCTCTCTCTGTCCCTATCCCTCGGACTAGCCAATGTATTGGGTGATGTCGCAGCCGTGAGCCCAACCAAGCTGCCCGCCGACGCAACTCCGTTCATAGGCGCAGGAGTTAACCCTCCGCCGATACTTCCATTGATACTCTCAGCCCTTCCATGCCCCAACAACCCACTCCTCACACTAGCCGCATCTCCTCCGACACCGGTGCCGCCGATGGCCTGCTTCGAATAAAAGCTGTTCCTGTCGCTGGCTAGGATCCCTGTAGTAGAAGAGTAGATGCTTGTGCGGTCGTTGGTCAAGGCGTTCGGTCCGCGATAGAGACCGCCAGGCGTGGTGGCGCCGCTCATGCCGCCAATTGTGCCGCCTTCCATGTTGGAACTGAGGACGCTGAGAGGAAGAGACTCCCGACTGCCTCCAAAGAGAGAAGAGGGCGCGAGAGCACGAACCGAGGCGTCAGTATCGAAGGAGCGCCGGCGGCGGCGCTTGGAGGAGGATGCGAGGGTCAGGATGGAGGCGTTATCCGTAAGCAGGTTGTTCGCCGTGGCGGTATGGTAGGTAGTCGGGTAGAAAGGCGAGTTCCCACCCTGACCGGAGGGTACAAGATGGGCTGGTATGGCGGAAACCGGAGTGGCAGTCGTCGGGAAAGGTTGGTTGAAGTGGATTATTTGTGAGGTGGAGTGATGAGAGTGATGGTTGTGATGGTGGTGATTAGGGCTGTTGGACATATTGGTGCTGTTCGGATTGCTGTTGTTGTGCGTGGCAGCGGCACCATTGGGCACAAAAGATTGTATTGTCGTCAGGGTTGTAGTCAAGGAGCGGACAGACGGCGCGGGGGACGAAAAGGTGCTATCATTGCCCCGACGGGAGTCGATATTTGCGGTACGCGTTGTGCCAGTGACCGAGGAGGCCCCGTAGGACGGCGCGGCCATGGAACACGAGGTCTCGTGATCGGTGACGACCGTCGGAGCTATAGTCGATCGACCGCCCATGGTGGGAGGCGGGTGGCCATCGGTTGACAACCTGACAGAGTCATCTGAAGGGTCTACGGATGTTGTGCTCGATGTTCTTGCGCTTCTTGTCGAGGATACCGAATAATGGCTGGTCGGCGGCGGGGTCAGGGCGATTTGAACGTGGTCGGAGTTGGAGCGGCCAACGGCTGAATATGGGTTGTTGTCGGCTTGCTTCTTGGAATTGTTCTTCTTGGAGCTGGCATGTCGAACAGCATCACCGGGCTTCATGCTCTTCAGCTTTTTCATCAGTGACGAGAAGGGTCGTCGGCGACCAGTCCTCTCGGGACGCTCCTCTCGGTCTGGCATAGGGTCAGCGACTGCATGAGGACCGAACTGGCTCAGCGGCGGAGCAGAATTGCTTCGATGGCGAAAGGCAGAAGCAAAGGAAGGCATGTTGGACAAGGGACGGTGTGACCGGATGGTAACGAGAGAAGGGTCTGGGCGGGGAGTAGACAGTTGATAAGAGGTAGGTAGAGGTAGGTAGCGCAAAGATTAGACAAGGTTTCAGATGAGAGAATATGTACCGTGTTGACAAGATGTAGCCGTCTCGGTCATGGTGGTCGTAGTAGAGGAAAAGTAAGGTAGGTAGCCGGAGCAGGAATTGGAGAAGACGGACGGTGCAGTCGAATTACACGGGCGCGGTAGGGTCGACGTCGATATCTGCGGATATGGGTATGGATCCGTGCGGTAGTGCGGCTTGTAGTGCGGTCGTAGTAGAACAAGGGTCGTCGTGCAGAGGCAGTGGCAGAATGTCGAGCAGTCGTCAAATTGTCAGTCGCGGGTCGGGGGATTCTCGATGTTTGGGTCTAGCGTGTAGCTAAAATAGATGGTCGCCAGATAAAAAGAAGGTAAGGCGCGTGGATATGGATGGGCGACGATCGCACAGCGGCCAGCGGGTTTCACCTGCTTTTGGTTCCAGTTGTGGTTGCTGTATCCGGATGGTACCGCTTCCCTAACGGCTTCTGCACAGACTGCGCTGGCCCTTCGGGCAGATTACAAGGTGGTCTTGCAACGGCCAACGGTTTCACGTTCCTCTCGGCGACAGGAAGGACTGAGGGGAATACCGAGGAAGGAGACGGATGGATGGTGAACGTGAGATGGAATATTGATAAAGGTCGGCCGAATCAGTTGCGAACGCAGAGTCAGTGCTTCTCTCACTTGTTGGCAAAGATACGATACGATGCGATGGAGATTGCGGATTGATTGACAGGGTCGCGATTTCTTAAGGGACGACAAGAAAACAATAATTCGGTTGTACACGTATTCGCAATCGGGAGGGATAAATAGCCTTAATCCAGCGAATGACTTGAACAAAGTATGAAGCGGTCACAAGGTATGACGACGAACTGTGGTCGATTCCTGGGCTCTGTAAAGTAAGACAAGAGAAGATGATGACAGAATCTGTGTCGCGTCTTTCTTTGTTCGGTTTCAATTCTCGGACGGCATGGACTTTGAACTTTGGGGTCCTGGATTGTGGAAGTTGCACTGCCATTTTCCACTCAGGCGACAGCAACGGTGACGGCGACTGGACGATTCGGTCAAAGAAAGGATCCACCAAGCTCGGGCCTTTCCGATCTGTGGAGCCAATGTTTCGACCGCTGGGGTTTGTTGTGGGGCACTTTCTTCTCACGTGCCTTGCCAAGGACCAGGGCCATCAAGGTTCGCTTGTCTTTCTTTTCGGGTTGGGGGTCTCAATGCCAAGCCAGAGAGCTTGATCGCTTGACAAGCTTGACCTTGACGTCGTCTTCTCTGTTTGCTGTCAGTTCTGAATGGCTTCATTCAAGCCCTTCAATCACATCCGCTGGGCTCAGTTACCTAGCGAGCACTGATCACATTGAAGCCTGCCCAACAGTCAATCGCGCTTTTCATTTTTATCCTTACCCACCTCCTTCCCTTTTTGTTTCCTTCCCAATTCTAGTTGTCTGGAGGTCACTTCCTTCCAGAGCTCAACGGTGTCTGTTTAGGTCGCTGACCACCGAATCCATCCGCCAAGACACTTCAACAAAAAGTCATGTTGCACTCACATCAACCACCACCATGTCAATTCAACCACTCCCTGGGGACGTTGTCGCCCAGATCAAGTCTTCAGCTGTTATTACCTCCTTGAACGGGGTCGTTGATGGCCTGCTTCGCAACTCGCTCGACGCCGGCGCAACCAAGATCAACATATCTATCGACTACAGCCGTGGAAACTGCTCTGTTGAAGACAATGGGCTCGGGATTCCTCCAGCCTGCTTTCGCGAAGATGGCGGTCTCGGCAAGCTCTACTACACCTCGCGATATCCGCCAGACCCCGATTTCCATGGTAGACATGGCCAGTTCCTAGCTTCTTTGGCAGCCCTGTCTCTGCTTTCCATCTCTTCTCATCACCATGAACACCGCTCACATAACGCCTTGACAATTCACAACTCCCGAGTTGTCGCCCGCAATACCCCTGCTCTCCCTGAAGAACGGTTTCTGGTCTTCCCAAGTGGAACGCGTGTTATTGTTCGCAATCTTTTCGGCTCCATGCCCGTCCGCGTAAAGCAGAGGGCCACCGAAGTTGAACGACTGGGCACGGCTAAGACCCTTGACCAGCTCATTCATGTCATTACTTCCCTCCTTCTTGCTTGGCCAAACCAGGTGAATCTGTCCGTCCGAGACGCTGTTTCTCGACGTACTGTTACTCTTCGCACATCCGGGATGACCAGCCAGGTTCAAGACCGCCGGAACTCCGCCAACGTGCTGGTGCTGCGAGCCTCGAGCCTTTTTGCTCAAGCTTCGCTGACTGATGAACAAGACTCCAAGTCATGGGTTCCGGTTGGAGCCTCGGTACCTGGAGTTTCTGTGAGCGGCTGCTTCTGTCTAGTGCCAGTTGCAACGAGGCGAGTGCAGTTCATGTCTTTGGGCATCCAACCACTGTCAAACGAAAACGACTCCAACATCCTGTACGAGGAGGTCAATCGCGTGTTTGCGAACTCCGGGTTTGGCGTCATCGAGGAAGCGACCCTCAACGAAAAGCAACCGAGGAGGAAAGAAGGGTTCACACTAAAAGAACTCAAACCAAGGAAGGGCATTGATCGATGGCCCATGTTCTTTCTTCGAATCACCATGGCTGGACAAGAGGGTTCTCTGAATGCCGATGACTTTCTAGATGAAAGGCAACAGGACCTCTCGATCATCACCGACCTTCTTCAGGTGATAGCCTACGAGTTCCTAAAGAAACACCATTTCCGGCCCAAGTCTATCAACGCCTTTGGGAGACTCAAATCACCAAGGGGCTCATCAGATGAGGCCAGTGGTCTCAAGAGATCTGTATCTTCCTCATCCTCACAGACAGCCTCCAGCTGTAACAAAAAGCACACACCTTCGGGATTAGCGCGATCAACCGTCAGCAGCTCGAGAGGAAGCTCAAGTAGCTGTCAAATAGAAGAGGGCTCAGCGTCCCCATTTACATCGTGGTCACGCGTTAACTCGGGATCCACACCTGAATTACTACCATCCAAGAGCTCCTCAAGTTCAATCTTATCTGCAGGCAAGACCGTCAAATCTGCCAGCATATCCACACAAGACGGGGAAATCGTCCCATGGGCGCAAAACCCACTGTTTGACAGAGCGGGCAAGCTTATACGAAAGCCGTTCGAGGATGTCGAACCACCTCCATCAAGCAATAACCACCTCGCGTCACGGGGACCGAGTCGACAGTCTAGCCTGCCATCAATCCCGGGCAGCAGCAACACGGACAACTATATGGAGTGGGTAAATCCCATTACGAATATCAGAACGCTCATAAACCCGCGGACAGGTTTTATGATTCGGTCGCATTCTGTCCCTGGAACGAAACCTCGCGACACTCCAAAACCACGCCCAAAGGGGTCACCATCTCGAACCTCTGCCGCAGCTCCAAAAATTACCGCCTTCAAGCCTGTCGAAGCTCCCATACCCCGTGTACCAGAGCTTTATGAGTCTATGGAGCATGGCGCTCATCATAGCTGCAATCATCACTCTACGGGAGGAGTCAACGTAGAAACGGGCAACGGAGGGGCTTTGATGACACTACAGGGCCGAATCTCCAGAGATGCCCTGCGTACGGCAACTGTCATTGCACAAGTTGATAAAAAGTTTATCTTTGTCAAATTGGCTCCCACAGAGGCAGAAAAGTTCTCCCCAAGGCCCGATGTCGACAGAAGCGTCCTAGTCCTGGTCGATCAGCACGCGGCTGACGAGCGAGTCCGCGTGGAAGATTTGATGAAATCTTATTTCACCATAGCTCCTTCATCGGGTGGCACCAAGTCGAACGAAATCATCGCCCAAACCCAATCTCTTCAACGCCCTCTCCGCTTCGACCTATCCAAGCAAGACGGGACCCTTCTTCTCAGATACAAGCTACATTTCGAATACTGGGGCATATTTTATGAGGTCTTTGCCGGCGAGGACCACTCGACGAGGTTCACCGTGGAAGTACAGTCGTTGCCGCCCAGCATCTTGGAGCGGTGTCGGTTGGAGCCGCGTGTGCTGATCGAGTTGCTTCGAAAGGAGGTATGGAGGCTGAATGACAACCTGGGCTTGGGCTTGTCCACAAGCCATGGGATTAGGGGTGCCCAAGAAGAGGGAGAGCGTGACTGGGTCGCTAGGTTCCATGATTGCCCAGAGGGTATTTTGGAGCTATTAAATTCCAGGTCCTGCAGAAGTGAGTTGTCGCGATCTTTGTCTTTCCTAGTTGCATTTGGCATGCTAACAAGTCAGGCGCCATCATGTTCAACGACGAACTGTCCCTGGAGGAATGCAAAAGCTTGGTCTTGCAGCTGGCCGAATGTGCATTCCCGTTTCAATGCGCACATGGGAGACCGTCCATGGTTCCGCTTGTTGATCTGGGTGCTGGGCTCGTTCCAAGGTCGGATTTGACTATTCCTGACGACTTTGGTAGGAGCCGCGGCGAGGGAAACCAAGGCAAGAACAATTTGTGGTCTGAATTGAAGGGCTGGAGACGAGATAAGATCAGAGAAGGCCGATAAAGCCGGCAAACTAGGTGTCATCACATCTTCGAGATGATACAAGTTTGGGCTTGGTAATAAACACAATCAGACATCCCCTGAGGTGCTTGATATTGTGTGCAAACGATTTGTCATGGAGCATGCCACCTTGGCATGATTGGAGGTGATGATGTGATACCGCTTCAAGACAGGATGATGGATGGACGGAAAAGTGCGGCTGAGGACTGAATGTCGAGAAGGGTCAAGTCTTGCGGTTCTTATGTCTTCATCGTCCGCAACACATCAAAATCCCCCTCCCCTGACCATGTCCGATGCCAACGCATGCACACCACCCCGCAACTTTCCGGCACTCGTACATATCTCTAGCCCCAGATTCGGTTACGGCTAGCAAGTCAAATTCTTCGCGTAAGCAGTCATGCATGCACCGTCACTTTTTGATTTGACGGTGGACCATAACATATCATCGAAAAGGATTCGTTTAAGGGAGCGACGTCTTTCAAGGCTTCGCGTAATAATCTGTATGCGTAACAGGTTTTATGCCGCTTATTTCAATGAACACCCAGTCACATTAAAGATGACTGAGGCGAGCGGGCAGGGCGGGTACCGCGTCAGGTTCTCCTCTTTTTTTTGGTACTGATTAGGACCATGCTTATTATCACACTTTGGGGGGGTCGAAGGCGATGATGATCTTCCAATACTTTCCTTGGGAGCTGGGCTGAAACAGGTATAAGTACTTTACCCCTTTCTAGAGGTACCTCGATCTACCCCGCTGCCGAGACGAGACATGCATACATCTTAACAAACGCGGAGGGAAAGCACTACTGTTCAAGAAGTGCATCAGGAGAGGTATAAAAAGCTTCGGTCCGCTTTGTTCAACGCTGCTCAAGCCTCTCCGCACTTCCATCGCACATCGAACATCGACTTCCAAACATCAAAACGGGCATGCTCGTGCAGCCCACCTCAACATCACGATGAACGGCACGACACCATCACCACCCGACGGTCTCCTCTCGGCCATAATGCCCTCCATAACCCTAAATCTATCGAGCATCAGCCTCGGCCTCAGCTGGACCACCATCCTCACCATCCTCGTTCCTTCCTACCTCTTGCTGGTCCGCCACCTCCGCTTCCAACGCCTCCGTTCCTACCGCACCCGCTTCCCCCAATATTTTTTGCCTGACGGCACCCCCAACCCCACCAATTTATCCAAAATGACCCTCCAAGACGCCCACCAAATCATCATGGACCTCACCCAGCGCGAGTTTCCCTACCTCTACCAACGCTCGCTCTTCTTCGCCTTGTTCAAAACCTACGCCATCCCCTCCATTTCTTCCCTCTTACTAGCAACCGGTCAACTTTCTTCTCCGAAAACCGCCTCCAAGCGCGCAACAGACACGGAAGTGCTGGTGCTGGAAATCCTCACCAACCCGCCCTGGGAGAAGCGCGGGCTGGAAGCGCTGGCGAGAATGAATTGGTTGCATGGTCGCTGGCAAAAGGCAGGGAGGATCAGCGATGGGGATATGTTGTATACGCTGAGCATGTTTGCACTGGAGCCGGATCGGTGGATTAATAGGTGGGAGTGGAGGGATGTGACGGAGGTGGAGAGGTGTGCGACGGGCGTGGTGTGGAGAGAGGTTGGGGGGTTGATGGGGATTGGGTTTGAGGGTTTGGAGAGGTTTTCTGAAACTAAAGAGAAGAAGGGGGATGGGAAGGGTGATGGAGAGAAAGAGAAGGAAGAGAGTGGACTGGAATGGATGGAAAAGATGGAGCGGTGGAGTGAGTGGTATGAGGAGACGGAGATGCGGTATGAGGAGAGTAATGAGAAGGTGGCGAGGCATACGGTTGATTTGTTGCTTTTGAACCAGCTGAAGGTTTTGAGGGGGCTGGGTAAGGGGTTTATCAGGGTGTTGATGGGGAGGAGGTTGAGGGAGGCTATGAAGTATGTTTTTTTTTCCCTCTTTTTCTCGTTCCAATCCCGTTTTTGTGATGACAAAAGAGGAAGGCTAACGAACAACCATCCACAGTTTCCCCGAACCACCTCAATGGCAAGAAAAGTCCCTAACCTGGTTCCTCTACTTCCGCCGCTGGCTGCTCCTGCACCTCAGCCCTCCCCGATTCGAGTGGATGGTTCTGCACAAACTCAACAAGGATGCTGACCCGGTCACCGGAAAATATAACTATAACGTGTACGAACTTGATCCGTGGTATGTGAAGCCGACGTTTTGGAGCCGTTGGAGCCCGGCGGCTCTGCTAAGACGCTTGTCTGGTGCTCCGGTTCCGGGCGATGGTGGCAGCAGGTACCAGCCGGAAGGGTATAGCATCAGTGAGGTTGGCCCTGAGAAGTTGAAGGGACAAGGAAAGGAGGAGATCAAGGAGATGGTGAAGGATCTGGAGAGGAGAAGGATGGAAGTGTTGGCAAAGGGTGGTTCCTGCCCTGCAGGTGGTGGGGCTGATGGTGATAGGAGGAGGTGTCCTATGGGTCTTGCGTGAGGTCGTGTAATAAGTGAGAATATGAAGATACCCCGGAATGTACATATAAAGGCAGACGCTTCCCGCACCGGCACCAGAGTGGCCGAAAGTCCAGACGACAGGACCTTCCATGGATCATATAAGTCCCAAGCTCAGACCCTCCAGTAACTCCCGTACCCATCCGCCTTCTATCTTAGATTGTGTGTGTGGCCTAGCGGTATGGTATACTGTACGGGAGCCAGAAAACATTGCTCGGTGCGCGGTACTAGTGGTACAGTTTTCGTAAGTCGCAGCTGGTCTCGAGTTCGACTCGGACCTGGGCCACTGAGCTTTTTTTACTTTTTTGACTCTTTTGACTTTTTTGACTTTCCAAAATTTCCCCTTCCTCCTAAACGGTGCTTCCCTTGATTTTTTCAGGAGGGTTTTGGATTGTTCTGAGCTTGATAATCGGGTGTATACGGCGGTGTAATTGTTCAATTGAATCCGTTGTTTAAACACTGACCCGTTTTGTGGTTGAAGTCGCTCACTCCCATCGAGGGCATCAATTATGGCGGCACCGCAGCTCCCTCTTCTACTGTCCGTCCTCAATGACAGTCGGTGGAAAAGATGTCAGTGTGAATCGTTGATATTGAGTAAAGGAGCAGTTGAATTCGTCTGAGGGGAAATGGAACGCTCCTAGGTAAAGGGGCAGGAACGAGACTGTTTAACCCTAACCCCGGATGGACATGCGAATTGACCACTTTTCCGTGGACGCGCGGTGACATTTGCTGGAACATCGATTGAGTCTGGTGACTCCGACTTATCTGGACTGCAATATTTCGAGGGCCACCACCACTTTCGAGCCATCATCCGAAGATCGCCCCGGAAGCCATTTCATCATGTCCAATCATCAACGGGATCCTGTGTATAATTCCTATTACGGCAATGCGCCGCCCACCACCACTCGGGTCCCCCTGCCCTCGTACCCTTCCCAGCAGATAAACACCCAACAACACTATCACCAGCCTCTTCAGCACGCCCAGCAAGTCCAGTCATCCACTGACAAGACCCTCAGATAGCATGGACTGCAACCTCTCTACACAACAACAACAACAACAACAACAACAACAACAACAACAACAACTGCAGCAATTCCAACAGTCTCAAATTCATCAACAGCAGGCTTATTCTTCTCGCTCTCAGTCGTCTCAGTCCAATCTTCAGCAGCAACAGTATGGAGGCCAAGGACAAGGCCAGCTTCATCAACAACAGGTGCAAGTAGACCAACAGCCACAGCAAGAACAGCAAGAACAGGAACAGCAGGAACAACAGCAAGAATCCCAAGAACGGACCCCAGATGAACCATCTGAGGAGAGACCTGCCAAGAAGAAGAGAATCTCTCGTGCTTGTGATGCTTGCCATGGCCGCCGTCAAAAGTGCCAGGGCTTCCGGCCATGCGCAAACTGCATCAAGAAGGGCATAGACTGCACCTACAACAATCCCTACTACAGAGGCCGCGCAAGGACTCCTCCTCCACCTCCCGATGATCCCAGCACCCGTAACTTTGCCCGCAGTACTGACATCCGCGGAAAGGAGATACGCGAGCGAAGCTGGGTCAAGCGAGCCTGCGATATATGCCGTGATGGACGCCATCCCTGTTCAGGCACTCTACCGTGCGATACATGCTTCACCATGAGGCAGGAGTGCACCTACAAGAAACGCAATAGCCGTAACCGCTACGAGGATCTGCCCAACCCGGCGCTGAGAGGTCCCTATTCAAAGCAGTGGCCGGCGCCTGTCCAAGGGCCGGTTGCGGTTGATGACGACGGCCGGGAGAGCGCAGGGGGTGATGCCGAGGGACAGGCCATGAGAGACGACATTGCTCGCTACGGCGGCCCTGGACAAGACTACATGAGCCTCAAAATGGATCACCGCTACGGGAATGAGGACAACCCGCCTCTTGTCTTTCTTCATGCGGCTTGGAAAAAGATTGCCGAGGTCCAGCGGGATAATGAGCTTCCTGTCGACCAGCCTTGGGACCGTTCGGAAACCCCTCAATTCTCCTACGTTCGAGAGAGGTGGTACCAACAGCAGGACCACTTCTTCAAAAGCTGGAACGGTACCTTCCATTTCCTCCATCGTCATACTGTACGGAGGTGGTTGGAACATGTCGAAAGGAACCATGCAGCTCGTCAGGAGTTGTGGTCCGGTATAGGCCATGCCCGTGCCGCCATTGCACTCATGACCATGGCTCTTGGCGCCCTCTTCAAGGACGCCCCAAGGACGTGGGTGCGCATCAACAAAAAACCGGCCAGGCCATGAAGACCAGGAAAAAGCCTCTCCCAGACGAGTACATCTGGTCCTCCAAGCACGGCGATGCGTTGCTGAATATGGCTGTGAGTCTCACAGATGCCGAGACTGGCGAGCCGAGATTAGATTCTGTTCAGGCTCGTCTCTTGCAGGACATGTACCTCTTGAGCACGTGTCGCTACAACAAAGCTTGGTATACTTTTGGCAATACCCTTCAGATGATTACGGGCCTCGGCCTTCATCGCCGTCTAGGTAGGAACCGTGGGCTCGGTCGCGATATCAAGGAAAGACCGGACTATGCAAAGATCCAATGTGAGAGGCGGACATTCTGGACGGCTTACATCATTGATAAGCAACTTAGCATGGTCCTTGGGCGGCCCAGTCATTTCCGTGACGACTTCATCGACCAAGAGCTACCTGATGCCGTCAACGACGAAGACATGGGACCCACCGGCCCTGTCCGACCACACAAGGGGGATTGCTACATGGAAGCACTGCTCTCGCATGCCAAGTTGAACAGGCTCATCGACAAACTCCTCCACCAAGTATACGCCCTTCGAGAGATTCCCGACCAGCAAAGGATCGATAGTGCTCTAAGCATCGGCAAAGAGGTTCAGAAGTGGAGCGACGAGTTGCCATATCTCCTCAGGAATGTCAAGTCAACCTTACTCCTACCCCTTTTCCAGAGGCAGATGATTCTCATCAGGATAGCACACTGTCACGCCACCATGCTTGCCTACCGCCCCTTTATCACCGTGCCCTATCCCCAATCAGGTGAGCAGAAGGAGGCCGCCGATAACGCCATTCGCGAGTGTGTCGACTCAGCCCGAATCGCCCTCAGTGTCGTCACCGGGCTTGGTCGCACAGAGGATAGTGCGCAGTTTACCACGCTTTGGTATCCTCACCAAGTCGCCTACTGTGCCGCCGTCATCTTGGCCATCCTCCCGCACATTCGCGAACGACAGAAGTTGTTTGGCGGTCCTCACTACCGCGGCCATGGCGTGATGGACGGCAAGCTGCACAGGCTGTTGAATAGAGGCATCAATATGTTGGCGAACAGTACCAGTCCCTTTTCACCCGCGCATAGGTGGGCTACTATCCTGGAGGAACTGAAAAAGGAGGTGACGCGTCAGACTGGACATGTGTTCCCTGAACCGGCGGACACTGGTCTCAAGAAACTGCAAATGAGGACGGCACCCCAGCAGATGGGCATGAGAATGGGGAAGATGGGGAGAATGAAGAAGAGGAGGCTGAGAATGAAGCTGAGGAGGCTAGTGGTCCATCACCGAACGATCAGTTGCTGGAGGATGCCCTTCGCGCTCATTGGATGGCAGAAATGACTGGAGAGGTGCATGGCCAGGCAGATGGCCAGGAGGGAGAGGCCGCTACACCTGGTTTTACAAGGAGGCTTTGGGATAACTGGTCGTTTACGGACTGGGTGGACATGGACTCTGCAGTAAGTGAGGTGATTATTGGCTGTTTGTTTGAATTACTGTGCTAATGATTCCCTAGGCATTTGGACCCATTGCCGACTTTACTGAAGATCCGGTTCCAGCTCCAGTACCCGTTGTCGCTCCTGTTGTTGCTCCCGACGCCGCTCCAGCTCCATCTACTACTCCGACTCCTGTTACAGCTCCCGCTCCGGCGCCAGCGCCGGTTCATGCTCAAGTGTCTGCAATTTTCGCACCTGTTTGAGACCTGTCCAAAACTCCATATCCATGCATACCGAACAATTCCCAATCCTGTTTTATACAATCCCCGTAATGATGCGTTCTCGTCCATCTCGCTGTTCCCTATCGACTGTCCGCGCTTCCAGAGCTTGGTGGGCGAGACCCTCGGGATGATTGCGCCAGCGCATTCACCTCAGCCTCTAGGTGATCAATTCGGCCCAACACTCCATCGAGACCGGAGTGGTTCATCAACCGCTCGGTGACGGTTGGGTCGCTTTGGAGATATGTGCTGAGACGATATGAGCTTTCTGATGATTTTCTGCAGTCAAGTGTCAGACATTATTACCTCCGGCAAGATTGAGAATGGTTGGTACCACTTACTTCGCCTTTGATGGCTTTGAAGCAGTAATCTTGATGAGTGTCATTTTGTGCGTGGATTTTGGGAGCTGAGCAGAATGACAGTCTGTTCTGTGTTTGTTTGTTTGTTTGTGGATGGAGAACATTTTGGAATTCGACCACAGCGAAGCAGTTCTGAGCTTTTATCCTACATGGTATGGACGATTTGAGAGGCCCTAGAGAAGAGGCCAAGGACAGCAAAAGAGGCGAGAGAGGCCCCGACTTCGCGGTTGAGCATTGTCCTCCGAGCCGCCGCAACGGGAGGACTGAGATCGTCATTTCTACCCGGGAGGCATTTGCTTATCCGAAACGATTATGGCCACGCCAGCAAACGTGCCTCCGCCTCTGGATCCCGTCCCGGCCTCTTTGGGCGCCATGCATAGCCGGCCCTTTCCGCTGCTAACGTTTATAACAACACTCACCGAATCTTCACCTGCTCTTCCCGCAATTGAGCCATTGTACCTGGATTTCAAAACAGACCATAAGCCAAAGGAAACCAACATCGATGACAACTCATTATAAGAGTCAATAGCCCGGTCTGATATGCGATAAGGTGTGGACAAAAGGGCCAACTGGAGATAACAACCAAATAACCAATACGCGTCACTATCTCTTGGTGCCCAATGGGATGTTATACCTCTTTTCCACAGCCTCGTCTATTGCATGCGAGTCTCAATCGCCTCTACCAACATCAATATAGGGACTCCCCGCAATTGAGCAATTGCCTCATGCGCGAAGCCACCACAACATATAGGCCGCAGGCCGGGAGGCCAGGCCAAGCCAACCATCCTCAGCAGGATTGGAGTTAACCCTCTTTCGGCATGTCATGCGGAACAACCCTTTACTACCATCCTACCTTGCGGTGTATCCCGCCGCCGCCGTACCTCAGGTCTAGGTTGCAAAGGTCGCAGATATTGCAGTTGCAATGCTTCGCTGATCTTGTGTCACTGCTCATCCGCGCCGAGTTGTGTCCCGCTTCCATGAAGTTAATTGGAGAATTCGAGACTGTTGTTGCTGCGGGATCCTCGGAATCTCGGAAGGGGTGGTGGGTGAGGTGTGGTGTATCATGACACCAGGTGATGGAGGGGCTGTATCTACACCACTCTATCTTATTCCTTCTCCGCATTTGCGCAAACTGCGAGCAGCTATATAATATTTAGGATTTTGGGTCATGCTTTGTTCACCTTGTTCTTCCATCTTGTCATCCATCGAGTATTCATCTGATCTTGTTGACGCAATCCCTTCCGGTCTTCTTTTCACGATTCTCTGCAGCCTTTGGTCTTACAAGCATCCGTCTCTACCTGGCCCACAATCACTACTTGGTCACTTGACATCAATATTACCCCTTTGATCCGTTCATATTCCAGCATCTGCTCCTTTCCAGGCCCTCGTCCCATCAGGTACTGCTTTTCGTCTAGCTCCATTGCTCGACGTACGTCTTCAGCCCTAGGGCAGCCTTCCGTACCGTACCATACCCATCAACCCAGCTTTCTCCGTCCGAATTTTTGTATCGCTAGGATATCATCGCTGATGTCTCTGGCTTGGAGCTCTCTAGCCCAACACGGATCGATTCTATGATTGTTCCGGCCCTTGATGGAGGACGTGTGTATTTCCAAGTTAGGCAACACTCCAGCCAACAAGTCGACGACGACGACAACGACCCCCAACCGCTAGCAGCTCTGAGCCAACGAAAGAAGATAATCCTCCAGCTATCTATGGCGAGGTTTGCCGACAATCTTGAGAAATGGCTTGAAAAAAATCCCTGATCAGCCCTCCAAGAAGCGGCCCCGACGGGCCGTTGAAAGCGATTGTTTCTACGAGGACCAGGACCCTGCCACTGAGGACGAGTCTAAGGATCAACATGAACATCATCAGCATTACTCTGTGACGAGGGATGTCAAGAAGGCGACGACTACCAAGCGGGCGAAACACCATGGCCCTGAAGCACCCGGAGGAGAAGGCCGCAAGTTCGCTTGTCCGTTTTGTCAACATAATCCGGCCAAGTACAGAACAGTGAAGACATGTTGTGGGCCGGGATGGGATAGTGTTCATCGGGTCAAGTGCGTTGCCATATTTCATATCTCCTCCTTATTAGACACCAAGCTAACACCTGAGTTTAACGTACAGGGAACACATCTACCGCCGACACTCACTTAAGAACACCTGTCCCCGATGCTACGAGCAATTCAAAACAGACGATGACCTCAAGAGCCATCAGCGGGCAGAAACGCCCTGCCGGCTCCGAAAGGACAACGTCCCCGAGGTGATCACGGACGAACAAGACAAGAAGCTGCACGCCAGAGCCAAACCTGGGCTGTCGGAGGAAGACAAGTGGAATGATATGTACCGCATCATCTTTCCGGGGCCGGTGGGGTCGAAGATTCCTTCTCCTTGTACGTCCTCTTTTTTCCCCTTCTTTTTCCCCATATCATCCTTCCTTCCCTTCTTTTCTCCCTTGATCCCCTTTTCCTCTCACAATATGCTAACAAAAAAACAAACAGATTACGACACCTCCGCCCCTTCATCGTCCCCTTCCAACCAGTCTAACACTACGAACCCTTCTCCGAAGAACAAGAGGGCCTCAACACCACCAACAGCCTCCAACTTCGACATCTCCTCCTTCAAAGACCTCCTCCGCCGCGAACTTCCCCGCTACGTCGAGCCCATCTTCCGGCAGGAGCTCGACAAGATGATGACATCCGTGCAGACGCAGATGAACCAAAAGGCCGATCAGCTGTTCAAGGACGTGGTATTCAAGTTCAGTCGGACCTATGCTTGGCCTGCTACAACTGGCGCGGCTGGTGCTGGCGATACCGAAAATGACTCTGTGGCAGTGATCACACCGCTCAGCAGCCCGTGCAGCCCAAGCCCGGACCGTTGTGAGGAGACCCCCAATGACACGGGCGATGATGGCCACAGAGACGGGGCAGGAGATGCCCCAGCTGGGGTCGAGGAAGTCGCTTTCCCGGGGGGCCAAAGCTGGTTCGACTCCTTCGTCGAAACCATCGATCCCGACAGTCTCGGCTTTTCCTTCTATAAGAACGGCGAATTCAATCTCGAGGCTTGCTATGAGGAGGTAATGAACAGTGCTGGTGAAGAGATTCCGGATTCGGCATATGGTACTTTGCCGACGTCCGAGGGACAACACGGTTCTTATGGACTTGGCTTGGGGATGGGCATGGCCGGGATGACGGGGATGACGGGGGTTATGGGCTCAAACTTGGACGCATGGATGAGGTAGTTCCTGGCTTGGTACGGGAGTGGTTAGTGTGGTTGGTGTAGTCAATCCTTTGTCTCTTTTGTCTCTTCTTTCTATCTTTGTTGTTTTGCTGGTTGTTTGGCAACTATTATTTTTAAGGAAGAAGACATACCTTCCATCGCCTTGTCATAACATAGCCTCTGCGTGGACGCTCATGCTGTGTTGCCTTGCAATTTTGTTGAGATAATTGGATGAAGGGCGAGTCACAAGGTGGGCAGCACCGCTCAGATTTAGACATGGTCTGTTGAAGCTCCTGATCACATCGGTAACTCTGCGGCTTCCCGTCCTCAACTTTCTAGATCGTCAACTACTGGGTCAAATACCTGACACAAGGCCACAGCACAAATCCTTCGAGCTGCGCTCTGCCGACGGAGCCATAGAAAATCATTCAGGTTGTTTCCGAAAGACATGTCTACCTAATAATCAACTGTCAGCCTGACGACGGTAAAGGAGCCAAGCACCGGCGTATCGCCACATTTGCGCCCAACATGTTTCTCGAACACTTTCCGCCTTTCATAAGCCAGGCCATGCATTGGTTGCCTGCGCCTTGGTTGATCGCCTTGCTACAGAACGTGTCGTGGCATGGAAGTATCTTTCAATTTCTAATCTTCACATCTTCAAGCACTTCTCTTCCATCTCAGAATTTCTTCCGAATCCGTCCTCCGCAGAGCACGTTCTTTTCGCACAATTTGGTCACTTTTGCAACGACATGGCCTACCGAGCGAGAGCTTCATCTTACCTTCAACTGGGCATACGACATGTCTTGGTGTGCGTCCTTGGAATTGTCAGCACGATAGAAGCCCAAACCAGCCTTGGTCCGACACCCATCCCGCCAGCGGTGGTCAGTTCGGTAGCTCCAGAACCCCAAGCAGCTTACCACCAGGTGGAGTGAAAGGCACAAAAGTTTTTCCCGCTGGATTCAGTATGTCCTGTTCTCCAAGACTTATCCTGTGTTTTGCTCCGCTCTAACTGACGATCGTTCAGCAATAACTGAGTCTTGTGAACCGGGCAAGAGTCTCACAACTTTCTCTACATACGCCGCCTGCTGTGCAAGGGGGTCCCACTGCGACTTTGCGGTAGGGTGTGATGGTTCAACTTTGTTGTTCGATGGGAAGCCACATAGCACTTGGTATGTTTAATTCTTTACAAATCTGCCTGAACTGCCCCATGCCTAGGTACCTAAGCTAACCAACCATTCCTACAGTGGAGGCAAGTACCCAGACTGCTGGGGTACTACTATCTTCGACAGCTTTCCCTCGAAAACCAGAAGTTGGGTTGAGTGGGAGTGCGTTACCTCGACATTCGGGGCGGCTTATTCCATTTTTTACTACGTAGACGAGGCTTCATTGTCCTCCTACTTCTCCTGCTACGATGATTACAGCCAGTATTACTCAACAGTGAAGTCAACACAATATACCACAGCGACAAGAACAATGGGCACATCGGTATACACAACAGTCATACCAGTGACCTCGTCAAGCGGCTCGGAAGATGTTTCATCTACCACTACCGGAGAACCAGCGCCCGCACCAAGCGACCCATTCAACGAGGATCCCGTCCTAGAAAAATATTTTAGGCCTCCATCAAAAGCCTGGATAGCCGGCGCCGTTGCGGAACCCCTCCTCGCCTTGATCGCCGGTGGTTGCTTCGTCTTCTGGTTGAGACGACACAAGCAAAGAAAGAGGCTGGTAGAGAGCGGAGGCTCTGGCCCTGGCATCAACGTTAACGATCTTCCGTGTATTCAAGCAGAATTTGTGCAACCGTCATCGGAGGTGGCAAAGACATTTGATACTACTCCTCCTTCTATGTGCGAGCTGGAGGCAACGACGGGTGGTGCATCAGGACTTTTCAGGGAACAACAACAGGAACAGGTGGAGCAATGCGATTGTAGGTTATGGAGGATATGAAATTCCTTTTTACAGGTCTGAAGAGCTTTGCAGATAATATGCATGTACGACCATGGTTGGCAGGGGAAGGCCGAACCAGATATACCAGTGGGTTATAGATGTCAAACGACTTTACCATTGCGAGATAGGCACAAGATATTCTTCAAAACATATATAAGTAATAGTTTTAATGATCATTAGCACATACGACCATAGATGGTAGAAAACTCGGGATCCCGTCCGCTCTCCCATAGATAAGCTACCAATCGCCTGACTAGTAGTTGGGTCGGTGACGACCAGCGAATCCCAGGTGTTGTATGTTTTTTTCGTTTTTTGTTTTTGTTTTTTAGTAGTATAGCGTTCTACTTTCTTTTTCAACCCCTTTGCCTGCTCCTCTAATCTTCCTTTCTTTATACATTCCTATTGGGCGAAGCTCATTATGAAAACCGGCGTCTACGATATCATGAAGACTAGGTCGGCACGGTGGGTCCGAGCATCTTCACAGGGGACGAGTTAAAAGCTGACGCACTGTCACAACGAGTCAACAATCAATATGGGCGTCCTCCTAAAAAAAATTGAAGAAAGCGATTCCGCGGCGATGGACATTATTGAGCAGCCAGGGCCGCTCTGCGTTGCGTGGTTCTCGACGTTTCGCTAGGTATTCTTCCTGGTGACGTTGAGATCATGAAAAGGGGCTCGTCGTTTACATGCCCTGGTTCGCCAGAGTAGTATCGAGACCTCCCCCAGACTTGAAACACGTACTACTACGCTATGCACTAAACTACACGTGTACAGACGCAACCAACAATCGATACGCTAGATTTCTTCTCTTGACCATATCCAGCTAGGTAGCGGCGATGCTCCGGTTATTACGGAGTGCTATCCTCTCCGCTCTCTAGCTTCCCCATCATAGGTATGTATATCTCTGAGGGTCACCCCAGGATCCAACATCCAGATCAACCCGTCACTTCCTCTAGTTCTCATACACCCTCGGAACAATTTACCAAACAAGCCAACATGTCCTCCTCAACCAAACCAGTAATCTACATTGTCCCGGGCGCCTGGCAACTCCCCATCACCTGGGCAAACTTCATAACGACCGCCAAAGAAGCAGGCTACCCCGTCACCTTCACCCAGCTCCCCACCGTAGGCGGAATCCAACTGCCTCTCGCTGCTTTGCCGGATGACGTAGCAGTTGTGCAAGCAAACCTCCAAAAACTGGTCAACGAGGAAGAGAAAGAAGTGATTCTCGTCGGCCACTCCTCCGGCGGTCTAGTTGCTAGCTGTGCAGTTGAGGGTTTCGATGCCGTCAGTTGCAGGAAGGAGGGCAAAAAAAAGGAGAGGAGGGGTGATTCAGGTGGCGTTTTTGGCGGCGTTTGCGGTCCAAAGGGGGGAGACGATGTTGGAGATTTTGAGTGAACGGGAGAATAATATGCAGGAGGGCAGGGATTGGTTTTATCTGGGGGATGAGGTATGTTGGATTCCTTACCCTGACAGAAAATTATGGCGAGAGAGAGAGGTATTGATGGAATTTGCCAGGGCGATCGCACCTACCTCCACTCACAACCCGCCACCGACGCCCTTCTCAACGATCTTTCCGAAGAAGAGCAGAAATACTGGGGTAAACAGGTCACGCATACCTCGTTGGGCTTGTTCAACACGCCTTCTACGTTCGAGCCGTGGAGCAATGGGGTTCCGTGCTCGTATATCTACTGCGAGAGGGACAACGGGATTAACATGGCCCGTCAGAAACTGATGCGTGAGCGATTAGGGCCAGATGCGAAGGAGATTTATGTTGATTCTGGTCATTGTCCTTATTTGAGCATGCCGAAAGAGTTGCTCAGGGCGATCGAGGAGCTTTTGGCGTGAGGGGAACTGGAGTTGGAGCTAGGCGGGTGGACGGGACACTTCGCGGTAATTGCCGCCTGAGCTGCTGCAACGACTTGCTTTGCGGCAAAGCAGCTCAAGGGATGGACTAACAAGAAATGTCACAAAGACATCTAGGCTCCTGAGTGGCGTTTTCTTCTGTTGTGCCGGTCGACAAGGAGGGGAAAGATCCCGTCCTTGTGAGATCTTTGTCTGCCAGAGGTTCAGCGGGTCAGGAGATAAAGGCCGTTGGACAATTTGGGACAAAGAAAGACCCGGAATCAAGCCACGAACCAACCTTAAAGCTAAGAATAAAACAACCAGATGACATTATTCCGTTGGTTCATTGGGGAGTGAGTGAGTGATGTTGCTCAAAGAAGCCGAATGAATCATGGGTCATGGGGGGCAATCCCCAACCAGCCGCCTTATATCCCCATGCGACCGTATCGACTGACTTTGCTTCTCTGACCCGCTGTCAACTGAAAAGTATCCTTGTTCACGAGCAGAAACCTCATCACCAACTGCTCTGTTCTGTTACTCAATGCAAGCTACTCAATCCAAGCAGCTGATAGCTCGACATAGCAGATTGAGCTCCAAAAGCAGAGAGAATCCCAAGACAGATTACAGGCGTCAAGATTTAAGATGGTCGCCATCTGCCGCAAAGCCTCCTTCTCACACCGTGGAGAGAACGAGGAAGAGGTGGGCGATACCATCCACGTCTGCCTCTCCGACCACGACACTCTCCACGTCCACGCCCCGAAACCCAAGCGCCGACGCACGAACAGGAAATCCCCTTCTGCGAAGAAGTCCAAGTCTCCCGAAGTGTCAACCACAACATACCCTCCTCTGGACCCCAACACCGGGGCGCCTATTCCTGATGCGCTCCTCGATGACGTCTACCGGCGTTTAGCACTATCTGAGCTCGAGGAGGAGCTTTCCAAGGCTGACGCCGCTAGCACCACTATTGAGGACGGTGGTTATGCGATTCCAACACACGGCCAACGTACCCAGCGCTTGCTTTACTCGCTTCTGCAAAATGCTTCACATCCCAAGACCAATTTCACACGGAACACCAACACCGAGTCCGACGACAGACCCATCGAAGCACTCTACCTCAACCAATCCCAAGCCACAGCCCTCATCGAATCTCCCCATTACGACCCTAACGTACTGTTGATCGTCCAAGATAAACGGTACTTTGAACCCGCTCCGACCGTCTCCCTTGAGTCCCTTCCCTTTCCATACAAAAGCCCTCCCGCTTCACCAAAGCTGGAAACCAAGCCCGGAATTATCGCAGACCGTTCCCAGTACAGACCCATATCGCTCTTCTTCAACCACCTCCTGCCTACTCTCCATCGGCAAGTCTCCGTTCAAATTCCCAGCCAACCAGTGACTGAGCCTTCGGGACAACTGAGGACTTTGAGGTCGATTAGGGAACAGTTTGACTCCAAGGAGGAAGGTGCGTATGAGAGATATGGAGAGAATGATGATCCGTGGAATGTGCTGGATTTATCGACGCCTATACCCTCCACTACCCCTTCATTCTTGCAAGGGCCGGGGAGTCAGTTGTTGAGATACATCCGGTCGGAGGTGTTGACGGCTGCTGAGTCCAAGGGTATGGTTTCGCCTCCACCGTCTCCTATAAAGGCTGAGTTGGTAGAGTCGGGGCTGGTGACGCCGCCTGGGGATAGTCGGGAGCGAACGCCTGGTCTTGAGGACACTCCCGAACAGGGCACCGGTACGCTCTTGTTTCCCAACCTCGACCGCAAGTATACTCTCGATCCCGCTCACCCTTCCACACCCAACTCGTCACCATCACCCAAAACACCACCCAACCAAACTCCCAGCACACCCCCCTCCAAAAAGCGCGGCCGCCCTCCGAACTCCCACTCCAAATCCCCATCCCCAAAGAGACCCAAAACCTCCCCGGAGAAAAGAGCCGAACGCCTCCGCGCCTCCCCCTCTTCCTGGACCGAATGGACCAACGTCCAATCGTGGTCCCTCCTTTCTCAAGGCGGGCATCACACTCCCCCTCACTGCGACGCCTTTGGTTTCGACACCTGGATTACCGTCCAGGAGGGCATGGTTGGGTTTGGTTGGCTTTCCACTGCCCATTCCACACCCGAATCGAAATCGGAGGTTTTCGGCGAGAGGAAGAACTGGGCTGCTGATCCGCATCATTACGCCTCGGGACCGCGATGGAGGTTCGTGATATTGAAGCCGAAGCAGACGGTGTTCTTTCCTAGCGGGACGGTGCACTTTGTTTTTCGGCTTAAGAGTCAGGATAGTTTGAGTGTGGGTGGTCATCTGCTAAGATGGGATGGGGTGGAGAGGTGGTTGAGCGTTGTGCTTGAGCAGATGGGGAATGGTGAGATTACGAATGAGGATATGGAGTGGGCGGTGGTGAGGAGGTATGTGGATGTTGTTGGGAAGTTGGTTGCTAGGAGGGAGAAGGAAGGCGGAAAGACAATGGTGGGGGCGACGTGGGAGGAGTTGGTCAAGGTATTTTTTCACTTGTCGAGGTGTTTGAAGTGAATAAATGCTAACGAAACTGTTCACAGGAGTTCAAGGAGTTATCGAAAGGAAGAAAATGGCATTAGAACAAGTGAATTGGAGAGACATATAGAGAAGGCTACAGAGAAAGCATGCTGGCTCGCTTGCTTGGTGAATGCGATGCGATGGAATGTAGACAGAAGGGAAAGCCATATACAGGGTATTAGACAGAAAAAAAAAGAGAAGGACAAAATAAACAGAAATGGTATCCAGAGAGCCGCTCGTGTTTTTATCTCCCTGGTCGTAGCCCATAACCCTTTTCAAACAAAAGAAAACTCGTTTAACGTCCCACATTACACAGTGCCGCTCTGGGCTTCCTGCTTCTCTTGATCCTGAATCGGAGGTGCTGATACGGTAGGGTTGAATCGACCTGCTGTCTCCTTCTTCTTGTCTGTACGTGAGCTCTCTGAACTGCTGGCCTTGCTAGTGTCATTGTCCATGCTCTTTCTGGCCCCGTGATCTTCGCTGTTTCTGAATTTCTTGGTCAACGCCAACGCCGGTTGCATAATGCCAGTAGGCTCTCCGGCCTCTTGCTTGGCCTTCTTTTCGCGTTCCTTCTCCATCTTGTGCATGACTTCAGCTGTGAGCTCCTGCTTCAGTAGCCGCTCCAAGACATCCTTCTTGCGAGTTCGCCTATCGCCAATGGTAATGAGCAAACCGGCAGTACAGTTGGCAACAATGGAGCAGCAAAGGACAGCCGTGGTAACTGCACTGCTTCTAGTGCGGTAGTCCGTAGACCAGGTATAAGAACCGAGAGTGATCTGTAGACAACTGTGTAGATCCAGTAGGCAAACAATGGCAATGAGCAAGCCGATAGGGAAGGCATGGTGGGTTCCCGTTTCGTGGGGCTTGTAGAAAGTGTGTGATTTGGCAAGCTTCTTTTGATGATGAACGAATCGGGCTTGTGATTTCTCAGAGAGAACAGGGATGAACTGGTCGTCGTGTCGGACTTCGGTCATGTGAGGGTCTACGGGGGCGCGCTCAATGTCGGCTTGATCGATGGCGGCTTGATTTTGCAGAGGCACGTCATTGGGGTCCGTCAAAGGGATCAACAACTGCTTGCGGAGCTTGATGGTTTTGAGGTCTAGATAATAGTTAGCAATATGACACATGTTGACTGAAGTGCAAAATACTTACGATAGCGGGCCACAAAGATCATGTGGTATGTGTCTACCGCCCGGAAAGGAGCAAGACCGTCACCAACAATGGCGAACAAAGCGACAAGGACATTGTCAATGACATTGATGGTGTACAGCTGCTTGTCGCCGACGTAGATCCAGCCGATAAGGAAAAGAACCCAAGCAAGACCGAACAGGGTGATCAGAGTAGCATAGAGGGTAACAGCGAATCCCAGCGGGCGCCTGACGTACTTTCCAAAGGCCTTCATGCGCTGCTTGAACTTGGAACGCTTTGAGTGGAGCATATGTCGAACATAGTCGTTGAGCATCCGGATGTCTTCCTCGCGCCATCCCTCCAGAGTGGCATCCTTGGGCAGGATGGCATACTGAGGAGCAGTCAGGACAGTTGAGAAACTGTGAACATGAGGAGGCTGGGGACGCTCATATGGGCCCTCGTCCTCTACCTCACCCTCGCCGGAGGAGGTGGCCGTTCCGGTCGTTCTGATAGTACGAACATCCTCCTGGGAAGGGGGATATGTGCCGGGCAAGTTGGGTGGGAGAACTGGTAGCTGGGAGAGATCATATGTCGGTCTTCGGTTGACGAATCTACCCAGCGACGGAACGAAGAGGGAGTTTTGGACGTTGGTAATGGACGATAGCGTGGCGACTTCTGGGTCTGTAGTAGAGAGTAGTTAGTATTGTAAGAAGGTGAGAAGCTAAGGAGAAGTGTCACGTACCAATAACATCCAGAAAGTCTACAATCCGCGAGTCGTATATGTCCTGATCTGCCTGTGCCTGAGCATCCTCAGGGCTGGCCTGGTTCTCTCCACGACGACGGCGTGAAATAAGGTTTCGGAAGGTACCTTGATGGCGCAAACCTGGGTGCTGTGGCTCAATATGGATAGACGGCTGCTCCAGAATGTCTTCATTGATGGGAGAGAGATGAGCAGGTGGTGGCTGGGGCACCTCTCCTCCGACATGATCGGGGACTAGCGGTGTTGATTTGCGCATGATAGGTTGGTCATCCGCCCAGGTTCTGGCGCTGACTGGCCGTTGAGGTTCTGAGCTGGAACGACGTCGACCTGTTGTGGCTAAAGGTGCCGGGGCATCTTGGGGTTGTTGAGGTCCTAGTTGGGGGTGAGAAGGGCGTCTCTGACCAGGGATGACTGGCGGTCCTAATCTTGAGTTCTCTGACGGAGCGCGTAGTCTTCGAAGACGAATTGCGGATTCGTTACGGGTGGGTTGGTATGGAATGTTTCGAGCCTGACTTTGTTGTTGTTGTTGTTGTTGTTGTTGTTGTTGTTGTTTTGTGGGAGGAGGAGGAGCTGCACGGTGAGGGACCAGATCGGGCTGTGGTGATGGTTGAGGTTGAGCTTGACTCTGCTGTTGATGGAGTGCAGGGGGCTGCTCGTTGATGGGACTAAGAGCTGTTGGTGGTGGTATGTCTGCTTCTGCCGGGCGTGCAGTAGGGGCCAGCGGTGATTCTGCGAGTTCGAGTAGCGATGGAAGTCGAGTGGATGTTGTGCTGGACCGTCGAACGTCTTCCTCTGTGAAATATTCGCCTTGGCTGGCATGCCCCTGATTATCCTTCCCCGTCCCATCTGCCCCATTTCCTCCATTCTGTAGTTGTTGCGGCATTGCACCCGATATCACCTGTTATCCCAGTGTCGTAGCGGAGTGTCTCGTGTGTAGCGGTCCTTCCCGTCTTTGTCTAGAATTATTGTGAAAAGTATTGTGGTCGGGCAAACGAGCAGAGGGGAAATTGGAGAAGGCTCGTGAAAGGAAGGAGGGGGGTTGGAGACAGATGCCTGTTCCCGTTGATCACTGCTGGTTCGTTTGTTTGTTCCTTCCTGCTTGAACCTGAGTAAGGTCCTGGACAGAGCAGGAGCTTGAGACACTGCACGGAACAGACACACAGCACAGACAAGGCAACAAAGCTGAAGAGCTGAAGAACAAAACAGTCTAAAGATCCAACACATATAGGTAGCAGCCAGATATACTACAATCCCCAGCCATGCACATCATTTAGCACAAGATCTAGAATACCGTCACCACATGGCCAGCCCAAGGGATGGGGTCCATGCCAAGGTCACGACCAAGATGCAAACCAGGGACTTTGGTTCAGTGTTTTGGCCAGGCAGACAGGGAATTACACCATTGGCGATGATCCCCAAGCGCATTGGCTGAGCAATCTTCACGAGCAGCGAGTCCCCGAGCGCACATCGTCCCCAACACCAAGTCCCAATTTCCCTGTCTTTGAGCAGGTGTGCCTGTGACGTCATGTAACACTCAGCCAATCAACGTCCCACGTCTTCCCGTAATGTTTCAGATGAACAGCCACCATTGTATTGATAGCCGATAAGATAAGAGATCTGCCAAACAATTGTCCACCATGGTCTCCAGCAATTTGACACATGGATCCATCAAGGTGCATCACCATCACTAACAAAAACCCTCCACGAGTCCGAATACGCCGAACTGCTATTGAGTTAAACTATAACAATTGACCCAACAAAACTCACAGCTCAATCTCCGCATTTCTTCCCTTATACTCAACCTTCAAAAACGGATCCACCCCCATCGAGAAGCCAAACGTCCTGATCTTGGGATCAGACCCTCGGGCAGCCTCCACTCGTAATTCAGCAGCAGATAAATCACGGCAATCTTGACCTCATTCGCCGCAAAGAACCGTCCGGGGCACGCGTGCTGTCCGTGTCCGAATCCCAGGTGGTCGGGTCCCGTGCTCACCAGCTGCGCCACGTTCTCCTTGCCCGCTCCGGGCGTCTCGCGCATCTTCAAGAACCGTCTGCCGTCCCACTTCCCCGGCTGATCATACACTTCCGAGTTCCACATGTTGTGCGCCGAGACCGCCACGATGCCGCCCTTGGGGATCAAGGTGCCGTCCGAAAGCCTCAGGTCCTTGTCGACGTAGCGCCTCATGGAAACCATGCCGATGGGCTTGACGCGTTGCGACTCCTTGATCACGCTGTCGAGCAGCTTCATGTTGTACAGCGACGTCTTCTTCCACCCGCCTTCGCTGAGCACGCTGATCATCTCCTCGCGCAGGGGCGCAATGTACTCGGGGTATTGCATCAGGTTGGTCATTACTTGGCAGGTCAGGTCCGAGGTGGTGTGGATGGCTGCCATGGACATGACTAGCTGGGCAACTGCCGGGTCATAGTACTTGCCCTTGGCTGTGCGCTCGAACCACTCGATCGCGTCGTCGTGCTCGGCCTTACCGCCGTTGGCTGCCTTTTCCTGGCGTCTCTTCTGGAGGACGGGGTCGATGATTTTGCGGGCTACAGCGACGTGGGCGCGGGTGCGCTGGCAAGAGGGGAGGAAATAGTTGACAATGGGACGGAGAACGGCGGGCCAGAGACGGAGTTCTTCGGCGGCACGCATGGCGTCCATGGTGTACTGCTGCGTGACCTTGAGCCATTCCTCGTTGCGGCAGAGTTCCTCGCCAAGAAAGACGCGCGAGGAGATGCGGGCGATGATGGGAAGGACCTTGGAGCGGATGTTGACGGTGGACCACTCGCCGTTGGCTGGCTTGGGGAGGATTTCCTCAATCGCTAGAGAAGTTTCTTCGGCGAGTGGCTCGGTGACCTTGTCTGTCATTGTTGTCAGCATTCGTAGTGTCTCTCTACAAGGTAAGGAATTTGACATACTCAAGTACTTGGTAAGATCCCTCATGATAACCTCCTGAACAATCTGCGAATCACGGCTACCCTCACGGAACCCTTCGAAACCGGGGAGGTGCGCATGGAAGGCCTAGAATAGTTCGTCTTGTTAGCCCCGACCTTTACTCTTTTCCTACCCACGACACACCAAGGATAACAAACCTTATAAGTCCACTTTGAAAAGCTCAACCGATCATCACTCTTGATCTCGTTGGCAAAACGCGGCGGCAAAACCGTGATCTCGCCAAAATCGCTGATAACCCGGCAAGGCTTGTCGGGGTTGGTCTTGAACCAGTTCGCAATCATCTCGCGCGAGTTAGCCACGAACTCCTTCTTCGGTCTCGTGTCGCTAAACTCGAGAGGAGCCCGGGGGTTCAGGTGCTTGATGTTCTTGGGGTATCTCGGTCCCTGGAGGGAGTACACGATAACGATCAAGAGAAAGGCCGTGACGAGGTAGGGGAAAGGCTTGGCGGAGGGATCGGGAAACGACTTGATGTCAAACCGCTCCATCCACGAGGGGATGGAGCTAGGTGTGGCCAATGGGTTGGCCATGGTTGCTGTGTTGGTGTTCTCTCAGGACTGTGTCGTGATGGTTGTAATGCAATGCCTTTTATGGATTAGGAAAGGTAAGAAAGAGAGGTGAAAGTGAGTGTCTAAAAAAGAAGCACTCGAGGACGATCATGATCTTTATATGTAGTCCCACCAGTACTACCAGACACTACATCTGGGCAACTTAAAACAATCTCCTCTCGCTTTGTAACCCCTCAAAACTTTATCCATTTTTCACATTTCGTTTATGAAATATGAAGAAGCGGCACAAAAACATCCTTGCCATATTGATAACATGACCTTTGCCTCTGCAGTCCTTGCACAAAGCCTTTTAACCACCAGCAGGATATGAAGATCGCTGTGTAGCAGTACGGGATCTGGAACCCCAGACGGACCACCTCCTTACCGGCTTCTTACCGGCTTCTTACCGACACGTCAGTAACACCATGTTACTGGGGAATGAATGCAATGGTGGGGTTTTTCTCCAGAAATCAGGGATAGAAATAGAAGAAAGTAGGAACGTTGATGGATGCTAATGCAACGGTCCGGGTTGGAGGAAAGCGGAAGCGGAAGTGGCTTTTCTTTTCTCGGCGCGACTCTTTCCTTTCCAGTTCTGGATAGTTGGTGGACGGTAAATGCTTGCTTGCTTGACTCGAGCATGTAATTCAGTCAACCTTGATTTATTTCGCTTGCGGTGTACCTATGCATACAATCAACACCAACTTTACCCCCCCTATCATTATATTCTTCTTTGTCATCTCGTTCATGGACAAAGTCCATGACTCCTTGCTTACCTATGCATCTGGCTTCCACTTCTCAAGTTGTTCCGTTCTACGATGGCCCCAAAGTCGAGCAACTGCTGCTCGTGCTCGGGACCTTTCAGGTCACCGACGTCTCAGCCAGCATCTCCCATATCTGCCCAAAACAACCTGAGACACTCTCCCTCCCGCCAAGCTACACCGCAATGCTCACAGCCAGAATAAAACCCCACGCGGACCGCCGATCTCAAAGGGAATTTACCCCGTCGTGGCCCGTCTTCCTCACTGCCCATTGGCTGCTCCGCTCAAGCGAAAGCAACACTACCGTCCCGGACCATGCCGGCACGGCTGAGTGCCGGGGACCCACAGCTCCGGGTGTACAAGGTGTATAAGTGAGCATAATTCGCGGATAAGTATTTGTCTGTGCGGAAGCACAAAATGCATAACATTTGCACACCAAAAAGGAGGGTCTGTGTGCTGTGCAGTCCTACTTCAACCTCAACCATTGAATGCGGAAGTCCAACCGCACTTTGTCTTGACACCGAGAAAACTGAAAAAGTGAAAAAGAAAAGGAGAATGGGAAGGGACAAGAAAAGCGTTATCCCGGTGCATAAGGATGAAGATGCCAAAAAGATCAAAAAACATACAACACCTGGGATTCGCTGGTCGTCACCGACCCAACTACTAGTCAGGCGATTGGTAGCTTATCTATGGGAGAGCGGACGGGATCCCGAGTTTTCTACCATCTATGGTCGTATGTGTTTGTTTTACATTACTTTTGACCTTATCAAGGACTTTTTGATCTACACTGAAAGTTGCGAGATTCACCACCATCGTTTCAGCAAACAGAACCATCATCACATCGAACGCATCGCGATATCGGATTGTCAACCAAGGGTGGTACCATGGATCAATAAAACTGTATCTGGTACTCATGTTCTCCTTTTAACTTTTCTGTATCTACTCAGCAATAAGATATAAGCGTACAAGCTACTTGGACAACATGCAAATCTGATTACGCTCAGAACTACCAAGCAAGCTCACGTAGCCCATACAACCGTAGCCACTCAAACAATGTTACACAATCCACCTTTGCGACCCGTTCGCTCAAAAATTTTCATCTGCCCAAATACCCACGCTACAAAACCTGATAACAAGTTAAGAATGCAAGTAAGCAATAGCTAGCAAACTACCATCGATAAACCCACCCGGTCCATCTCCTCGGACAAATATGGCACCAACATAGATGGCCCAAGCCCATCCGTAAACTGTGACCGAGAGAAAAACAAGAAGCTGCCGAGAGTGGGTATCAAGAAAGCAAAGGGAAAATCCTCCTCAAACCGTCTACCATCCCCTCCTCAAAGCAAATTCAACTATGCGAGCGTCCCTAGTATGGCGCACCGGGATGGCCCAGCTGGCGCGAAGGCTGGCAACTTTCGCCGACACGTCCAGCAAGATTAGCAATGTTGGACAAGGTCTTCAGAGAGGCATCGTGGGGGGCCTCGCGGCTGATAGCGAGCAAGAGCTCCTCCACCTTGGCCTTGATCAGAGACATGACCTTCGGGACGGCCTCGACAACTTGATCCTCCTGTAAAACAAGACTGTTAGCGATCAAAAGTAAAGGCAAGAGCATAACTGGCTGGGTTATAGAAACACTTACCAAGTGGGGAAGGGATTGTGCAATGGAGTACACGACCGTTTCGACAATAGCAATCTTGATCTGAACCTTGGGGCTTCTGCGGGAAAGATTGCTGACAATGCTGGCTCCCACGGAAAGAAGGAAGATGGGCGCAAGACCAGAGAGGCAGCGGGGGTCATACTTGGAAATGACCTGCTGGAACACCTCCTCGCTCTTGTCCTCAGCCTGCAGCCAGCGCATGACTGCCTGGTCGTACTGGCCTGCACTCATGAAACGATCGATAGCTTCAAGCGTGTTGTTGAGCTCCATCTTCTCCCGGTTCTCGCGTGGGGTAGGAGAGAAAAGCACCTGTTGCTCCTGATTCATGAACTGCTGCTGTTGGTGTTGAGCCATGTTAGGAATGGACTGGGTGTGTTGGTGCTGCTGAGCTTGGGGCGGCGCATAGGCGACCAAATCACGAGAGGGTCCGCCAGCCTGTTGGTGCGAGCTAACGCTACCACTGGCACGAGAGTGCGTGTGACTGTGCGTAGGCTCCGGAGCGGCCAAGTCGCGATCACGGTTTTGCTCATGAAGCTGCTGCTTCAGGACGCCAAACTCCTTTTGCATATGAACCTGGGACGCAGCCAGACCTGCAAGTGCAGTGGATAGCTCAGTGTTTTGAGCAATGAGGCGATCAAGCTTTGCGTCATCGTCTCGCTTCCGCTCCTCAAACCGAGCAATGGTTTCGCCCATCCGCGTGCTGATGTCTCCTGCGATACGTTGGTGAACGTCTTCGGCTACACGCTTTGACAAGACGGGCAACTGCTCGCTGAAAGACTTTGCAAACTGGTTGGCTATATTAACATCCAACCGGGTGGCAACCTTTTGAAGAACCTGGTCCGCGAGCTTGTCCACCAAAGTCGACGCAATGTCAGCCTTTTGGAGCGACTGGGTGAGCAGAGAGGGGAGTCTCTTCTCGATCTCCTTCTGCATCGCGGGCAGTTGCTTGTTCAGGCTAGAGTCGACCTGATCCTTCGCCACCTTTTCCATGGTGGAACGGATGGCGGGAACAACAGCATTGTTCACTTGATCGACGATGAGATGCTTGAGAACGGTTTCAGTGTTATCGTTGAGAACGTCCGCAACTACCTTAAGGACTGCTGACTGGTTCTTGAGGAAGAGGTCATCACGATTGTCTGTGAAACTGCGCACCCAATCCTGCAGCCAGCCATTCAGCTGTTCGCGCTGCTTCTTAAACATATCGTTGCAGGATGACTCGAAAACACTGGACATATGTCCAGGCATCTTGTTCATGTTGTTCGAGATGCGTGACTCCATATCGGCGATGACTGTGTTGAGCTGTTCCTGAGAGATGCCAGAACCATTCAGAGAGAGGTCGGAAAACTGGTTGGGGAGGTTGAGAGCGGAAGAATCAGCATTTCTGGCAGATCTGGCCTTGACTTGAGATGAAGTGCGGCCAATTGTTGGGGGGGCTTGTTGTTGTTGCTCTGCCTGGCCATTGACAGCAGAATCGCCAGCGGCGACGGCGGCGGCGGCGGCGGCAGCAGCAGCAGCAGCCTTCTTCTTACGGCCCTTCTTCTCTGCCCGCTCCGGCTGGTTGTTATTCTGAACGGGAGTTTCGGTGTCTTCCTTGCGATCAGGCTTGACAGTTGAGACAGAATCAACCCCCTTCTTGTCATCACCCTGGGATGAGGGCGTCTTCTGAAGAATCTCCTTGTTGGGGCGTGTGGCGATACGGATCTGGGGCGGCGCGCTTGTCTCGGCCGGAACCGGGGCCTGTTGAACCTCTACTGGCTGCACAGGAGCAACCAGCTTGGAGATCTTGACCAAGCCAACCTTTTCAGCATCGGCTGGGCAGATGACCTTATTATCCTTGGACCAGCCAAGCTCGCCGTTCTTGATGAAAACACATGTAACACCCTTGGAGTGCATAGCATACAGCTCGAAGAGGTTCGCTTCATCGCCATCAGTAGAGCCTGCAGGGTTTCCAAGAATTCCGAGACTCCGCAGCACACCTTTGTTGGCGAAAGAATACTCCCGGATACCACTAATAACGGCAGTAGCTTCGGGCGGCGGAATCGAATTGTCCTGGGAAACAAGCCTCTGAATGTAATCCACCTGTGACAGGTTCTTGAGACCATACTTAGGGGCGGAGAGATGAAGGAAGTAGATCGAGTTACGTGTAGGGTGGCCGACAACAATCATGCTTGAGCGAGCATGATACATGACACTGCAGACGGCGTCGGACTCCTTGTTGTGGGGAAAGTTAAACTCTTGCACAGCCTTGCCCAGGGCAAGATCCCACAGCTGAAGGGTGTGATTCTGCTTCATGCCCACGATCATGTACCGCAGGGCAGCGCGCTTCTGATACGGGCGGTACTTGTCCAACAACAGGACGGACGTAGGCCAGGCCTTCTCGCCCTCTGGGGTGGTGGTCAAGGTCATCAAAGGATCCTTGATTTCCAAAGAGATGTGGGCAGGCATTGGGTTCAGGAGATCGGAGCCTTCCTTGACAGCGGTCAACTCGCGGATATCCCAGAACTTAACTCGGCCCGACTTGTCCAGCGTGACCATCAGTGTGTCATCCTGGCTGAAAGTGAAATCCT